TGCACATGACCCTTAACAGACTGGTCGGGGTTGTGGAGCTGCTGGCGGGCGCAGGCCAGATCTGTGCGTGGAAACTTGCACGATGTTGTAAAAAGGGATCAATGGCTGAAACTTTGAGGCCGCAGCGACCGGAAGTAACCGCCGCTGATTTAATCGTCGAGTAGGCCCACGAAGGCCAGCGGCAAGTGACAAGCAGGCGACGGCCCACCGTCTCGTAGTCGTTGCGGAGGGGCAAGCGCCAGCATCACGCCGGCACCCCCGCCATCCGCCGGTAGGAAGGCTTCCTTGCCCACCTGGTGTGCGGCCATCCAGAGTAGCCCACGAAACAGTGTCTTGGGCAGCGAACCCCTGTACTGTCCGCTCCGCAGTCGCCAGCAGAGCGCGAAGACGGAAGATCGCCGAGACCAAAAAGAAGGCCAAGGAGCGCCTCGGTATTCATCCCGAGAACGTGCTTCTATTCCGTTCACAATAGCAGTGTTTGAGCGTTTGCTCCTGATAGAACGAACCGTACGCCTTCGAGATGAGGTCGGATTAATGATGAAACCACCACAGTCAATAGCAGTCCTCATTTTGTTGTTCTCTGGAACTGGGTGGTTCCTGGTGATACTGAAAATGTGCCATGGGCACGCGTGGGTTCGCCATCGCCCTGGTCCGGTGAGGCATTGATAATGGAGTCTTTCTGTGGCTCCGACTACCTGAAAGCGCCGGGCCGAACTCAAGAAGGCCGGCGGACAAACAGAAGTCCACCGCCACGCCGAAAAGAAACCCGTATGGTGTGATGGTGCTTGTAAGTTGGTTCGATTAAAAGGTATTCTGAGGAAGTCATGGGGGTGAAGGAAAAAGAGAAAAGATGAGCCCGGCCAGCGAGGACAATACGGTGGGCTGCCAGGACCGGGCGAGAGATCCGATCGTAGAGACAGAGGTGGTGTTTGAGATGAAAGAACTGCCGGGAGTCGTGGGAGGAATGAGAAGTACAAGCCGATGAAGCGGTGAAATCTTGTCAATCGAGTCGATCCGCCTCCATCTTGGTGGACCCAGCGTGCGAACTCTTGGGATCCGCACTCCGAGTGGAATTCCCAGAGGCTTCCCTCCAAGCCTCTTATGACCTGCTTGGTATCTTCGGGAACGTCGTTCAAGCACCTCCAATCTTTCCTAGGAGACATGACCCGCTGGTCTTGTACCTCGGGCTCCAGAGGAAAGTGGCGGGGAATCCAAAACTCCCATATTCGGCCATTCAGAGGAATTTGACCTGCTGCTTGGTCTCGCCGCTCATCCCAAGATGACGATAACCGCTGGGCCGTGCTCAACGAACTGCCCAGGAGCGGTCATACTGGTTGAAGAAATCACCGCCTGCCCGCCGGAGCTGGTCTCAAAGAACGGGCGCTTTTGTGCGAGGGGTTTGCTATCCCCCCCGGAGAATCTGCTCTTATCTTGTGCAGCGGCCCCAAAGCTCTATCACCACAGCAACAGCATTAGTTGCTCTAGGTTCGAGCGCAGACGCCGCAAGCCTGGGAAAGGCTGAAACTATCCGGAGCCATCGCGGATGATGTATTCATAGTCGAAACAGTTCCGTTTGCAGCCGGGAATAGGTTCTGTGCTTGAAATCTGCAAGCCGTTAGTAAAGGCGGCCCGAACTTGTCTTATCATCGGAGGGGAGGTAGAATCGCACCCAAATTCTACAAATTCATGCGATACTGACAGATTCCAATTCCAGCCAACGAATTTCAAAGCCACCTACGAGCGCGCTGGCCCCAGGTGCCTCGACTGCAAGGTTTCTGGCTCGTGCTCGGAGAGTCCTCTGAGTACGGAGATGGATTGTTCCATCTCGATGTTCGAGATATCCGAAGCACAACGGCCAGCGCAAGTCTAGGAGGCTCGCTCGTCTCGGGCTGCGTCCAGTAGCAAGCTTCGATAGCAGTCTGCTCCCGCTGAAGATTGATGTCAGCAGGATCATTCTACCTGCCGTAGCAGAGACTTGGTCATGGGCTGAAGGGGCACTCACATCGTAATCCACCGGTGGCAGTCTTGGCGATGGAACTTCGTCAAAGTGACTGGCCACAGCCATTGCTAGATCCGATAGGCTCCTTTGGTGTAAAAGAAAGATGACTAGGCACCATCTCACACCCATGGCCGTGACAAAGTTTGACACTCTCTTGTGGAATCCGAAGAGCCGGGAGACGCCCTGTGCAACCAGATAAGACACGATGGTCTGTATGACAAAGATGATGGGAATGACGGCGAGCCCGATGAGCTTGTCGGCGTTGAGCCGAGTGGCAGGCTACCATCCAGCGGGCAACTCGGCCGGCGCCCCTAGTCGAGCAAATTCGTACTACACTAAGATTGTCAGATTGCACCACTTTGACCCGGCATACTCTGGTGGGCTTTTTCCAGCGTACTTAAGAGTCACTAGAGTCCCAAAAGCATTTTCAGGCCCAGCTGAGTGGTCATAATTAGACTTACCTATGGAACCGTCGCCGGCAAAGAAGAGGCCACACCCCCAGCGTCTTGATTGAGGGACAACTGTCCCGAGTTCGCATGTACACTGCTCATTGTCAGTCAATACGATATATTCAAGCAAGACACCATGCCGAAACTTACCTACCTAGGGAGCAAATCTCCAATCCCACAGGAAAGTGCAGGCCGGAGGTGCCCAACTCAGCGGGCGGGACAGTCGGCCGGACTGTGATGCGGCGAGGTCAGGTCGTTGAAGGACATCAGGGATGTCATGAGGGCTTGGCAGTGCTTCGAAAGCGCACCAATCTCTGGTATCGAGGTTTGGAATCCCTCGCCCTCGTCGTCGCTGATGTCACCGTCGCCCTCGCCCCCGTTGCGACGGAGATTGCGACCGAGATCTACACCCGTTGCGGGCCTGTAATTATCCAACAGGAATGGTGGATGCCTACCAAAGCCATCTTTGCGACTGTCTTGGAACAACAATTCTGGATTCCATGACATTCCTCGACGTTGTGGAGCTGGCCCCGATAGGGAGGAATTGGGTGTGGTTGCTGGCCACGATTGCCAAACACGACGCCGACGACGGCACCGGCAACCGCCTGGACCAGGAGAACGAGGGCGGTGATAACGTCGACTTTAATTATCAACCAAGAAGAAAAGATGTCGTATGGCCAAAGGACAGTGGGCGCTCAGGTCATCTGGTTCCACAACCGCGCCTGTCGAGCACTCAGTACCGTCGTACTCCAGCTTGCAGAGTGGTCAGGATGGCTGCAAGTCTGTCTCCCCCGGCATGGTTGTGGGCTCTGGACGAGAATTCCCGATGGCCTCCGCATATTGAGAGTGCCTGATGGTTCCGTTGTGTGGGGTAGACACTGTGGTGGTGTTCCTGGTGTCAGGGTGAGCACCCTGGATCGTGAAGGTCAATCCCGCAGAGGAGAGAGTGCGGGCGCCCCAACGCTGGAGTCGGCGTTGTCGACTTCCACACCCAAGACTCAAACACTGCTAGGAGACTAGAATTAGTTCTTTAGAGTTCCTTCCGACGCGAACGCAGTGGCGGGGACTTCTTTGCCGGTCATCAGTGGACTTTTCACCGAGATCAACCATACCTAGGTATGTGCGATCGACCAGACAGTCGAAATTTGAAGCTGTCGCCGAAGTCGAGAGCAGTAAGCGGATGCCGATGCTCTGGTAATATACCAGTAGCGCAATGACAAGAACGTCGCCGATTGCGACAAACACGGCATCGATTGCTGATACCATTTGTCCTGGGCTAGAGAGTGTCTTCAAGGCAGCGAGACGGCCGTTGTGGTGTGTTTCAAGTTGCATGTCTGGGAGAAGGATGGGACAGGGCGCCGAAAGAGCTGTATGGCTTTTTCTTGGATTTTTTGCTTCTTGGACGAGGAAAGAAAACCTTGAACGACGCTATTGTCTCGTCGGGCTGCTTATTCCAGACAAGTTAGTTCAGCTTCCTCGTTGACTTCTATAGGGTGACTATGGGGAAAGACCTTTTGCATCCGAGATCATCATCCGATGTAGGAAGATGCCAGTGGGCTCGGGCCACTTGAAAAGTACGAAATCAGGGGGCCTGGAGGCAGGGAACTGTGGCAGCGAGGCCAGAGCCAAGGCGGCTGGCCTGTGTGACAAGGCCGGCGGCTGGGGCTGGCTGGAATCTGGGCTTGTCTCTTCGCATAGGAACTTGAGCGAGGCCCATCTGCGAAACAACAGATGGTTTGATGCGTTTGCAAGGCTCCGAGCTTTGGAGCTGTGCTTGGTTGGTCATCAGGGGCAATCTGATGGGAGCCGTCTTTACGGATCGAAGGCGACAGACAGCCTCTGGACGACGGTGTCTCCATTTCGCGAGGGAGGTAGCCTTGTTTACATGGCAAATGATGATGGGAGGTAGGAAACGGAGACTTGAACAAGTAATGCGTTGCCTTGGACGGCGTGCGTAACTTACTTGTGTCTTTGATCTCCGTCTCTGAAGGCTGCTGGTCGGGTGACTCTGCCGTGGTTGATTTCGATGGAGTAGACTCTTTCTTTGCTGTGTTGACTTCTTGATGGTTGGGAGAGGAAAAGGGAGTCGTGAAGAATGGGGTGTTCAGGGGAAGAGGACATTTGATGGGGCTTGACCATAGAAGCTCCTGGGAGGGCCAGAGGGCATGTGTAGGCATTTCACCGCTCCTGCGAGTTTGGAACTGGCGAGTCCGACTTGACTCTGGGGACCTGCCGGTTTCCTGTAACGCTCTGTCTGGGAAAACACTGCAGCCTTTCTGCAAGAGACCACTGTAACATTCCACTGGTACACCTTCGAGAGCTCTCCCTCCAAGATATCACCCTCCAAGACATCCCCGCGGCCTTCTCCTATCAAAGAGAAAATTACTCAGGCCCTTCTCCTCTACTTCCAGCAATCAATTCAACCACTTAACCATCTCCATCATCCTACCGGCCTTCGTTCCCGGCCTCCATCAATTTGACCAGCAAGTACCCAACCTGTCCTCGAGTGCAGCACGCTGTTTTAACACGAGGATCAGCTCCAGCGAGACAAAATGGTTTCTACTTCCACATGCTCGTCCTGCTCCACGTCGTCCTCCTCGTCCTCGTCCTCTACCTCTGCACCTGTCCCCAACGACGACACGGTCCTGGAGCCATCGAACGCCAAACTCAGCACGTTGAGATGCCTTGTAGGTCAACAACTCCGTCCTGCCCCCCATTCCCGCCTCTTCCCAACCGCTGAACTCAATTTCTTGTGGCAGACTGGTACTGCTCTGACCCGAGCGTCTCGACACACGTTTAACAGCCTCGCCCGCAAGAAGCTTCTCAAGGGGCAGAGAGGCTGCCGACGCTGCGTTGGCTGCGGCTTCTGGAAGCAGAGCCTTGGCTTCGTCCGAAGCCTCGCCCAGGTCGGCTCTCCATCCTTCCAGCTTCGCACGTTCAGGACGTGCAACGAGTGTTCCCGCCACCGCAAGGACATGGACGAGGAGGAGCATCTCGAGCTCTACGGAGCCAGAGATGTCAACCCATGAGTAAGCGCTTCCCAGCTCCCTGGTGTTGTTGGAGCAGGCTGGATTGCAACCCCTTGCTGACGTAATATCAACCTGCAGTGGACGGACCAGTTCGACGTCGATGGGATGGTCGGTGGAGTCGCCCCGCCAACTAGGATTGCATGTGGAGGGAATCCCCTGTGAACCACCAGCACAGCGTTGTTTCTCTTGAACCAACTGAGACAATAGAAAGGCTATAGACACTTAATGATCACCGCTTGGCATATATATTTTGTCCCTCCCTTCTGATGCAGCACTTCCCTTTGTTGTCAGCCAGCAATGATGGCGTGAAGGAGGGGCATCCAGCCAAGCCCGTGGATGGAAGCATAGGGTAAGCCGCCTTGTTTGACTTAATGTATTACTGTCTAATCTTTCCTATATAGTCTTTATAGCCCTCCGGATCATCAACATCCTCCAGCTCGTTGGCAGGCTGTGTCGACACACCTTGTCACACCTTGTCCGGGATCCACAGCAGGTGACGGCACCTCTGTCCCGGGGTTGTGCCGGGTCAACCCACAAGCAACATCTGTCAGATCCAATTCAGGGAGGATACTTGCAAGCTATCCCTCTACACTGCTGAAAGAAAATTGTGGCTATACGTGTGGAGGGCCATGATGGGTTTGCCAGGGCAGCTGTTCCCACAGACATTGGTGGCCGAGGAGCGGATGATGGAATTAAGAGCTGGCAGCTCAAGCCTTTAGACTCCGAGGACGCCTTATATACTAGACTGGCACCTCCCATTCTTCTCTTGGTTCTTTCAAGGCCTGTGGAGGGCCTATTATCAGGAAGGACCTTATTGGAGACCAGACTCCGACCCGGCACAAATCCTCATTATCTGCCTGCTGGCTCGAGTTACAGACAAGTTGAAGCTTATCCAGACCACAGAAAATATGTAACAGCTGTATAGAGGCTGTCATACCCATTGCCTTAAATTCTTATAAGCGCTCTCTTAGACAAGGCCTCTTCATTGCCCTTAAGAGAGTCATCCATGCTCTTCTTCATCTACTCCTGGACTTATATATACCATCTTGACATTATTGCTTCCCAGGCAGCCTTGAACTGCCAGGCCATGTCTACAAACTCCGCTAGGTGATCTTCGAGATGCCCTGGATGCGGGTCGAGCTACATCCCAGCCTCTCGGTCCCGGGAAGCAAATTCTGTTGCCGCTATCCTCCTGGGCACCCTAGACTCTCTCTATTGCCTTTCTGTCAACACTTCTCTAAGAGCCCTGGTGTCCTGTATGTCCGTGGTAGATATTAAGAGCCACTCTATAGACTTTGAGCCAGCAGGCTGTGGTTGGATCAAAACATGCGAACCAAGAGCAGCAAGTGTACAGTTCCCACTCTTATGGCTCATGTTATCCATACACACCTGACAGAGTGTGGTCATACAGACCCAATGATTTTCTCGGCCGTCAAGACAAAGGAATTTGTCACACGAGAGCTGTTGGATGTAGCCTTCGAGACTGATGGGGTGTGCTCTGCACTCTGTCCCTTGACCTCATGGTTGGATACCCGAGGCGCTGCTCTCTTCATGTAACAGGAGATCTTCTTTGAGAATAGATGCAGAATACTGGCCTTGGGGGCCGTTGAGAACAAGGCTCAGAATACCATGGTGGCTGGAGGTCGAGCCTTCTCGGTGTCGAAGCGTCTCCGGCACTGCTGGTGACCGCAGGCAAGATCAAGAGACTGTTTTAAGATGCCGCCTGGCAAGGAGAAGAGGCCACTGCGGGCTTCTGGGACCTGTTGATGGAATGGTCAGAGAAAATCATGTGATGGAGGGAGATGGGGGGAGATGGGGGGAGATGGACATATCGGACTGGCCTTGGGCTCTGTTTTCTGGTAAGGAAGCATCACGTGATTTGATCTTGTAGGCAGAGAGGTGTGTTCCAGGCGTGTCAGGCCCAGCTCAGGTATTGCTGCAACCAACAGACGGCCAGCCATGGCCCGGGGTTCATGGGCAGAGGTGCTGCAGCGGCTCTCTTAGTGGACCACCCCGAGCATCTGGCCGTGGGGGCACTGAAAGACATCTTCAAGGCGATGGACACAGCTACCCCGCACCATAGCTCACGGGTTAGCTGGCTGACTTGCTGCAGCAACAGCCATACCACGGCCGCTGATGGCTAGCAGGTTTGGCAAAGAGAGCTTCACCCACCAAACCTCCCCCTGCCGCCCTTGGCCGGCCTCCTGCTCGCAGCATTGAGCTTCGGCCACCAGGACCAGAGGGGCCTTTGGCCAGTCGCAGAGGCACATAGCAAAGAGGCAAGCCCAACTACTTCCCATCTTCGACAACAAAACTGACTCCCTTGTTGTCCAGACATGCCAGAATTTCCAACATGTCTCAATTTCCTGGCCAGTCACAGAAGAATGGCTCACTGCCCCCGCTAGATTTCTCACACCTCCTATGACCACTACCAGCTCCATTGGGTACTGTACAAGCATGGGCGACATGAAAAGCAGATATCAGCATTTTCTTGAGCAGCTCCTCGATTGTCTCAACCTCAAGGACTGGGAACCTCATGGCAAGAACTTGGCCAACCTTTCCTCTATTCGTCATCGGCCCTCAGGAGACTGGGACTACTTGATCCACGTCTACTGCTACGTACTGCTAGTAAGTTGTCCTTTGGCCTAGTCCCTATAGCTACAGGTTCCTGACCATTTGCTGTTTTCCAAGCAGTGTCACAGGGAGGATGCTGAACAAGTCTCGACAATGTCGGCAGGGCCGTCCATCTACATCACATTAAAGCGGCGTGGTTCTACAGAAAAGTAGAGCCTCTATTTCTATGCAACAAGCCCACATCTTTCTGGTGATACTATCGCCCGTGTTGATCCAGCCAAGCTGCTCATTTTCTCGTTGGGCAATAGAGATTCCTCCCATACCTTGGCTCACATTGACATCTTGTGGAACTCTGCAGATCTCACCTTATCTGTCCAATTGGTGAGCACCCAATCCCCTTGGTAACTCTCCCCTCTTCCCGGGCAGGCCTCTTCCCGGGCAGGCCCAGACAGAATGCATATATTCCTTCGCAAAATAGTCAAACCCTCCCAACAACCATCGCTGACACTTTTTGATACAGCCTCCTCTGATCTTCCGACATACGGCCTTACGGCCCCATCGGCCCCCCACCTCGTGCTGGTGGCCCCTCCTCTCACTTTGGCACAAGACCGGAACATTGCCAGCCATCTCGTACCGGGTCCTCAGTCCATAGCGCCAATGCTCCTCACCACCCAAACGCTTGAAGTCCCCCAAGCCTCGCGGCCCGGCACTGGATTCTCTTCCGTTGGATACGAGCAATGCCAACAGTGGAGACCGCCGAGGCCGTTTCTGATAGCCGAGCGCCAGCAGCAACGGCCCAGCTGTGTCGCAGAGACCTCCCGCCAATGGTCACAGGGCGATGGAGGTCGGGAGATAGCCGGCGTTGCCCGCTTTAGACAAGTCATGTTCAAAAAGAAGGGGCGGCCCTTGCTTGCGGCTGCCAGAGGGCAGCCTTGCATGATAAGCGCGGGAAGGCGGGAAGCGGGCAAGGCTGTGTAAGTGAACCCCGAGGCTAGCCCCGCACGCCGGCGTATCAAGTTTCGCCGTAGCGCTTTGTGCAATTCGGATTACTAACAATACTCAGCGCAATTACTAGCTAGCAAAATAGCAAGCCGTCCGTCTGCGGCTAGAAGACTCGTTCTGTGGCCATAGTCTGTGATTTCTGGGGGCCAGCAAGGAAAGATCCTGCATTATAAGCTCAAGGCTACTCCCTGTGAAGCAGCGGACCTCCCGCCCACTTCTCAAGGCCTTGCGGCAAAGCAGACTTGTTGTTCGCACGGCTGGCTCATAGGCTTCTCAGCCTGTTGGGCTAGCCACACCTCGCCTTCTGCGCCGACGCTCCGGATGGCAGCAAGGCACCCGTGAAGCGAGCTCGCGAAGGGAGCGAAGACGTCGCGAAGAAGGAGTCTCCTGACAACAATTACGACCAGGAGAGCCGCCCAGCGAAGCGACCGTGCAGGCTGAAACTTCCCCAAGTTACCTTCAAGAGGAAGGGGAAGGATTCCGCCAACATCCTACACCCATCCTATGGCTTACCTTTGCCTGAAACAACAGGGTATCTGCAGCACGTGAGGAAACAACCAACAAAGGCATACAATAGCCGAAAGTCCCGTAATATGGGGCCATGATGCGGGTGGGCAGCTGCTGTGGGCCGAGAACCGAAACACCATGCGGTCCGAGTCTGCAGTGGAATAGTGATAATGGCTTGTTGACCCCAGATAATCGATATCCGTGTTTTCGATTACGATAAGGTCCCTCGCCGGTGACGCAAAGGTAGACACCATGTATCACGTGATCATTCCCGGAAGCGTTGGTACGACGTCCACATGTCTAGAAATGTCGTTGTGAACCGCATGTCACCACTCGTGATCTGGTGAGCTGTATCGATTGTCTCCCCGTAGTTTCCTGGTCTATGCTACGATGCGACCCGCTTCCTTCCGGCCTCCCTCTTTGGGAATCTTCAGGGCAAAGCGGTCCTCAAAGGTCCCAGCCACCATCGGTCCCTCTCCATTAGGAGAATGCCCTGTCACATATACGAACAGCTAGATAGCCCCCACAGTTACAATGTCGAGGATGGTCGTACAGTCGACCTCCATCCTCACCAGCTCACATTTCTTCTACCAAACCTCAACACGAAGGCCAACGTCACCAACATTGGAATTTCCGAAGTGTCTGGGACCGAAATGTGGGCAGACAATGCGGGCCGAGAGCGGCCCAAGGCATGCATGAGGTCAAGTGTCTTTTCGCACGGCCAGGACTGCCGTATTTGACTTTTGCAGGAAATTTGGAATCTGTATGAGAACACCGCTGCTGTTCTGCTTCTGGTGGAAGTTCCGGCGCAACGCAGGCGGCGGCAACTCTCAGCCCAGCCGCTCTGGTGCATTGATGGCATGGATGCCCAGGTGTGAGACCGTCCCGCGTGTACACCACAAAATTTGAAATCCATATCTACCTACTTAAAGGAGACTTGACGTGAAATTCAACGCCTGGGTCCCCTTTACAGCCAAGTGCAAGCCATTGAATACGAGCCCGGTACACTTTCGGCAAGTGAGGAGTCATCATACTGCCACACCAACTTTCGGTCCCCCTTCCACTCGCGTAACCTGACCTGGAGCGTGTAGGAAACTGCTAATGCAGTGGAATTCCAAGCAAGTAGCTGTGACCGAATCTCTTGAATCTCCATCATAGTAGTATCCAAGTCCCTCATCGGAGAGTGCATGTTCTTCGCCTATTTGACCCTATTTAGGCCCCATGGGAACCACTTCACAATCCAAACATGGCTGCCGGAATCTTCATGGGCTATTATCGGTCAGCAGAGTGACATGCCTTGCTACCCCGTGTGTTCAAGGGCCATGGATAGCCACTATTTGGGTGTCGTTGAAGATCAGCCCACCCTCCAGGTTCATTGACCACTCGTAAGGAGAACTGGAGGCCTTGAGACAGATGGGTGAACTGAGACACGAGGGCAGAAGGAACATCGGACGTGCACACAAACCACAATCATGGTGTATCCATGATTCCTCTTCTTGAAAATAACAAAACCCAGCCTCTATTGTTCGAGGTTCGACTGGAAGCCTGATGTAATGGTCCTCAGCCGCCCGATCGTCCCATGTCTCTACATGTGACGTAGTCTCGAGAAGCTGCTCGCACATCGGCGTAGGTATTATTCCGAGTCCATTCACCCAACGCCGACAATGGCAAACATCAGAGCAAGTAAATGGTAGAAAACAAGGGCGGTGAAAATCCGTCCGCATGCTGGACGTGCGGCAGAATATCCTTCCAAACAATATTTAACACCCTGCACCCCACACCCAATTCCTGCCTTCCTTTCTTCCTTCCACCATCCACAAACTACCACAACAAGTTGATGCATCCTTCTTTGCTCTTCTCTTCTGCATCCCCTCTCCCCTGGCTGCTGCCTTCCTCCAGCAGCTTCTCTTCCACCATGCACCATTCTCCAAGACCGCCTACACCCTCCCCCTCCACAGCAGCTCAAATCCTTGGGCACAGGTAAGCACTCTTCTTTTGTACATGACATCGGGACCCATGTTTACACCTCATATCATCAAAATTACCCAAAGTCATACTTATCCTTTATCCCAGCCATACCCAGTCCTCATTCAACTCCCTACCCGGTGAGATCAGTCTCCAGTCCTATTTCTTGCTCTTTTCTTTGGAGCGGGCCCTACTTTCACATCTGAAGACCTTCACAGACCTGGACTGCCTACTAATCATCTGAATTCAAATTGAATAGTTCAAAGCTCTGTCTCTTCGCCTCAACAGATCACCATGAATTCCAACAACTGAAAGCTCCAATGAATTGTATGTCCCACCTCTTCTAGCCTCAGCATCCAACAGATATCTTCACCACAACCAATGTCCTCTTGTTCATCTGCCTAACGCTATGTGCCAACATAGGAACCATGCCTCTTCTACTTGGGGTTTCATCCTGGCACAGAGGTGCCAGCTCTCCCTCCCGTTCACCCTTGGTAGTGGTTCTTCATCAAACCTCAAGATGGAGCTGCAAAGGAGTTCACGGTCAACGGCTAAGACGGTCCGGACAACTACTGCAAGGATCCCCCCTTCAGAAACGAGTCGATGTAAGTAAGACATTCTATTACAGGCAGGCAAAAGAGTCTAGAGAACTGACATGAATTCCACATCACAGGAGCGGCATCGGTGTCCGTCTTTCTTGCTGCAGAGGCAGCAAATACCACAACAACGGACACTGTGAGGACACTGTGAGGTTCCAGTTCAACATGCAAGCAAAACACACAGTCCTCATACTCACAACAGCCCTGGGGCACAAATTCGTCCTTAACTCCTCTTGCAGTCAGCTTTACTGGGTGGAAACTCTGTCCTCATCGGAAGAGTACAAGCGTTTTAGAATCGACCATGAAACGGAATTTGAGCCGTACATACCTCCAGGCAGGGAACTCGAGTGGACAGATTGGTGGGAACGCTCCATAGTGGAAGACGTCGAGGAGTTGACCAAGACCCACTTGGACACAAACGGCGGTATTGGCTCCATCCTTAAGCTTCCGGCTTCTCGGTTTGACGGCCATTGCTTCGCATCAATTGCAGTTCAGGTTGGGAGCTACGATGCGAGCCCGGGACGAGGCCGTCCAGTGCTCACCGCCCCATCTTCAAGTTCTCGTTCCTCTCCTAGCTGTGCCCTCGACATCTACATCATGATACAGCCTGGCCAACCCCCCGGTTTCAACTCCCACCGCGCCAACGCCCGCGCTCTCGCCCACGCCCCAGCCCCAGCCCCAACCCCAACCCCAGCCTCACAAATGTCTGGATTTTGAAGAACAGAGGTTCTTCCCGGGCTTGGAAGTGGGCGCTTGGTTTCCCACGCGGCTGCCTGTCGGCTTTGGCAAACGGAGCTTGAGAACATCCCAGGCTGGAACTGCAGGCAATGGACTCTGAGTCCTCCATCCACAAATGGGTCTCGGAAGAACAGAGGCTCTTCCTTTCACACACCTCCGCGGGCTCGTCATTCTATCAGGCCGTGGGGGAGAGCCCAAGCCGGATAAACAACGTGTTCCCCCTTCCGCTCAGCCTGCCACGGGATTGGGGGTGCGCGCCATTCGCCAAGAAGACTGCCGTGGCCACTGGCCGCGCTGCTGCCAACAAGAAAGCGCAGTCTACTGGTGGTGCTGGTCCCGGTGAGAACCCCCAACCTACTGGCACTCCAAGCGCTTTTGCGACGGCGAGGCAGCTAAGTCTTGCGGCAGCGATGGGCGCAGGTCCTGTGGCGGCGGAGTCCTTGAGTCAACCCACTACCGGCGGCCTGGCCCAGAACTCGAAGCGAGACCATGAGCAGGCATTCCCTCCCCGCGAGCCGAAGAGGCCTACAGACAGACAACCGAGGTCAGAACTTCCCTCACCCAGCAGCTCAATGAGTCTCGTGCTGCGTGCGATGAGGCAAATCATCCTCCATCCTCACTCGGCTCACCCTCTGCCACCTTCGGGGAAGAATGCCGACATCTCATTCCCCCGCGAGACCTCTTCATCCGACGCCAGGAACCTGGTTTGGCCTGGTAACTCCAGGCATCCCCAGGTGCCGCGTGCCATCGACCAACCGCCTTGACCACCTGGGCCCTTGGGCGGCCGACATTTGGCTTCAGAGGAAGCCATCGCGCAAGCTACCCCGTCCTCCGAGGCTGCCCTGCCCTCTGTCGGCTGCCGCGGGCTTTCCGCGACCTCCGCATCAGGGCCAGCGGACTGAAAAGCTCCTTGCATGTGGTTGATCCTTCGCTTCATCTACCTGTCACGGAGGACACCTCCAACGAAGCCAACAGTGGGCGCACATCCCCGCAGTCAGACGCAAGCATTGGGGAGAGCACCCCAGCCGGCTCCAGGGTTTGGGGGAGGGGCAGTTCGGTACTGCCATTGTTCAGAGGAACGGGAGTCATCATATCGACTTTCTGCAGATGAATGGAGGACCATAGATTAGTCGGCCACTGGGCACCCCCATAGCTTGAATGACCACATGAGCACACTGCCACTTGACTGCGAGTTGAATGACTTGAACGTGACAACCAAGTGATCTGATAAGCAAAGCTCTAAGGAAGTAAATCTGTGAAGGTTAGACGCTGACTGACGGCATGTTTAGTTTTCTAAACATGCTGCCCATTGCTAAAGAGGTTGTAACTAAATTACCTGGACTCATGTGCTTTGGTTGGTGAAAAGATGTGGAATGCCCGCGGACATCTGGAACCGTGGACCGGCCGTGGTCAGGCACAGTTGTGATGCGAGAGTGGCCATGTGTTCCTCTATGGCCAGAACTTCTTCTGACATCTGGTTCACGACACACCAGCCGGGTGCCTTCATTAGATACCTAGGTAAGCAACGCTTCTCATAGCACTTGGTGTGAAAGCAAGGCATGGAACACATCTGTTAGTTCAAAGAGATACTTAACTAAACTCAGATGACTTATCCAATTATTTTTCAGCACATCGCCGTAGTTGCGTAATGTGATTCATGATTCCGGTCACATTTGAAAGTTTTTGTTGTTTAAGACGGCTAATATCTTCACTTTACTCACAAATATTCATGTTCAAACCACTGATAGGATTTCTGATTACCTTCTTATCTTCCTTGCATCATAGTAAGTTGTATTTGCCTGGCATGGGAATAGGGGCTGCCGGACATAACTGTTTTTGAATTTCGTAAGTTTCATGGCCGCAGCTGCAAGCTGATCTCCAGGCCTTGGGATTTTCCGTAAGTTTAGGGCGAGGACATCTCGGAGAGAGTCCGGCCGGAGTAGCATAAACGCAGTGAACGTTTGTGTTGGCACGGAGAATCTCAGAAGTAGGATATCAAACTTGTCAGAATGTCTGAAGGGTGAAAACAATGCATGATGAAAGCAAGAGTTTGTAAATTTTGATAAAGGCTGGTATCATCATGACTGCATTTCGGTTCATGACTAGGTTGATGGCTCACAGTATGACTTAGTTGATGACTGTCGTATCGCTCATGTATTCATGGCAGAACTATAAAATCAAGGTCCATCCTAGTGTTGTACGGTTGACAGCCGTGGAGGATAGACAGCAGCACAGCTACATTTTCACATCTCGTCGAACCAGAAGGGGCAGATGGGACTTCTAGAACATCAACTTGCTAATTCCTGGGAGTTGATAAACAACGGAGATTCAGGACGGCAGTTTGTAACTCTGTGTAACCTGCTGCCGGCACCTGGGCACTTTCTTCTTCGGAGAGGACTGCATCCTGGGGCTGTGGTCTGCAACACTGGGCCTAACTCGCGGAGATCATGAGGGACAACTGGGCGGGCCACCATTCAAGAGTTTCTGCCACAATCATCCCCGTTGCCGGAAAGCTTTTCGTCCCAGACAGAGCCGCCCTCATATCATCACAGAGCAAGTGGACACCTTTTGCTTGACCCAGCGGCCTGCTGCATGCCCGGATGCTTCAGCCGCCGTCTCTTACACCCGCCCCGTTGAGATGAGGTCACATTCAGCAAGCGGAAGAAGTGGAGGGGGAGCAAGTAATCCACCCTCTACCACGGGACGAAGAGGCAGGACCGAGGAGGTTGGAACAGCTTGCTTCTGGAAAAGGATTGGTCTGGAGATCGCTCGACCTTTGCCTGGCCCTTCGCCTCTCGCACTTTCATCTAATGAGGGCTCGGAATTGAGGTTTATTTCTTGCTTCTGTCTCGTATCGGCGGACCGTCACTCGACTTGGCCAATTCCAGAGGTGGTCCGGGCGTATCAAATACATGACGACGTCGGGAGTCTGCTCCCGGCCGCGCAGTTCCTGTTCACCTCCTCCGGAGAGCAAGGCTCACGGCTTTGGGCTGACCCGCGCGGCACCATCGTCGTCGTCGTGGTTGGTGCATTTGTACAGGAGCACCTCGTGGCTACTGAGCGTGCTTTCAAACTCCTCCCATGGCACGCGCATGGATTCCAGCACGACAACGACCTCGTGCCCGGCGGAAGGGAGCTGCTTTGGAGCGGTTGTGGGTTCCGGCGGCCCGTCGAACTCCATCGAAACGACGCTCAAATGGGGATGCGCCCCTCCAGCGTGATGGCGGATCCAGAATTCCAGTTCTGAGGCAGCAGGCCAGGCCACGCCGGAGTTGACCTCGAGCTCTGAGTATTGGACTTGTCTTTTGGAAACATGCTCCCAAGCATGCCGGCGTGGGAGAGCGCGGCTCGGCCTCGTCCTCAGGCATCCGGGTTTGCTACAGCATGAAACTCGCCTTAATTTGTTCTTGAACGAAAGATGGTCTGATTGGGCTGGGAAGGCAGAGCAGATACCGCCGTACACCTGGAGAAGAAACGGTCAGCCGGCTTCGAGGCCATTGCTTGTCAGGGTACAAAGGGGAGCTCGCCAACAAGCCAGAAGAGCCAGAAGAGCCATGCGCTTCGCAGGCATGTGTCTTGGAGTCAGTTGAGGAATCCTCGTTTCTTCTTTCTTCAAGACAGGCAAGACAGCCTGTGCCTTACAGGTGCTTTGTTCCTCCTCCTACAGGGGACCTCAATGCCTGCAGGGTGGAAATCAAGGAGCATCGATCAGGCTGCCGATGGCAAGATTCGCCATGGCCATATCCATAGCGCCATGTCGATTCGAGCTCCCCCCTGGGGGCCTGAGTGGGACCTGGGGAGCTCGAGCCAGGCGGGCACCCATGGCTGGGACACAAAGCGCGGTACACACGCGTGAAGCACCAAGGCAGCCTTGTTAGGCATTCGACGCGCGACAACATCCAGTTAACCTGCAACCCATTCATGAAGGGCTCAAAGCCACGCCAACTCGTTCCTCCAAGGCTCACCATCAATGTAAATTGAGGCGCCCCCCATCATCATTCTGTTCAAATTGATCCAACACAGTCCCAACACAAGAAAATGGCAACCATGGCTGTCGCCACTCGATGCAATGATTGTCGCAAGTGGAAGGCCCACAAGGCCTTTGTCCGCAGCCGCGTGAAGCGTGATTCGGTCCTCTGGCATCAGAAGGGATACATGTGGCACAAGTACAAGAGTTGCAACCAGTGCTTCAGGACCTACCGAAACAGAGGCATGTCTGTGCAAGAGTTCATCAAGGTCTTTGGAGCGGAGGAGCACAACTCGTAAGTTCTGGAAGAGACCACCTCGGGCCTCTCTGAATACCTTCACTGCTCCTTGCAGGAATCTGCTAACACATCTCTTGTGCAGGTCTGAGCCCGAGATCCTCATCGATGAGTTCGAGGCCCAGAAAATCCTGGACATGCGCCAAGAAGTGCTGGACAAGCGCGCCAACGACAACAACACCAAGGACGAGGCCGCTGAGCCCGAGCCCGAGCCCGAGCCTGAGCAAAGTGAGGCTGCCAAGATGTTCGAGAAGCACATCAAGTTCGAGGACAAAAATGCAGAGTACATCGCAGTCACCAACCTCAAGTACACTCGACTGATGGAGTGGTTGGATGGAGCCAGTTGCGAGGCTGTCTGAGGTGTCTTTGTGTCATGCTTTACCTTTTACCTCTGCTGTCAACTCTTTTACGGGGGAACTATCGTCTTTTGGAGGATACAAGGCATTGACAGTTTAATTTTTTGTTGTGGTCCACCAAGGGAGCATATCTTCATGAGCCTCGAGCGGCTTTGTTGCAATGAAAAAGACCATGCCATGCTGCCCCTACTTGCATTGGCCAGCTCTTAACGTGACTCCTTCATCATGATTTTACTAGACCCCTTTTCCATCATTGAATCACAATTTATCAGAGGAGGCGTTGACTGGGCATGAGAGCCGCGTCAGGTTCCAAACTGAAGTCCAGAGGTGTTTGGAGACAGGCCGACCCATCACCGATGACGTTGTGCGGCCATGGAAAGGGGATTCACTCCCAAATTTCATGGGACAACACGCGTTTGTCTTTCCAGCACTTGGTGTATAAATCTGATTTCAGTCTGGCCCAACGTCAACAGCTACCCCGCCATCCAGCGATTTCTGTAGCACTTTCCAAAACTCTCCTTCATCGCACCACCACCACCACCACCACCACCACAAGAACATCCACCAGCGTGCCAATTTGTCAATTTGCCAATAAGCACAGCAATTCTCTCAGTTGCACTTCTCTTCAGCAGTTCTTTTTGTTTTTGCTTTATAGAATCCCTCTTTTCTATATCCAAATCTCCGCAATGCAATCAGCAGCTATGGAGACCACCCTCCCTGAGCTCATCTTCGAGAACGTCGAGGACGGCGAGGTTATATATCAAGTAAGCATATCAACAAACTCTTCAAGAAGTATTCTAACAGTCCTTTTCCCCAGCGATGCCTCATTATCAAAGCGCGGTTCTCCCCACCCGCGGACGCCCCGTCCATGGTGACGGTCGAGCAAAGCTCTGAGCCGTTTGACGCTCTCTTCCCACCGCAGACCTGGCCCGTCGAGGACGGCAACACAAAGATGATTGTAATGCTCAGCGTCGGAGTCAATCATCTTTCCATCCACCCCAACAGCGACGCCACCCAAACCCACAACCTGAGGCTGACCTACAGCCCCGACACCCGGCTGCCCCCACTCCACTTGGCGGTGATGTACGCAAGAGACTCAACCTTCACAATGGACACTGAGTCAAACATTCCCCATTTTGGCAACCCAGGCTCACTTGGGTCCGTCCTCGGGAGGTTCCGCATGGCCGCCTACATGTGGCAGGCCATGATCGCCGAGGACATGCGAAAGAAGGGCCTCGGCCGGCGGTCGTTCCGTCTCGACGAGAGCTGGGACCCCGACACCACCAGCGTGAAGTTCAAGCACGCTGCCAGGGACGAGGAGGCTACTGAGATGGGAGTGTTCCGCAACACGGCCAAGATCCATCTGGTCAAGTCGGAACACACGACCGAAGAGATCCGGGACGCCAGGATCGCCCAGGACAACCCGCTCGGTGTCACTAACGCCATCATCTACCACTGGTTCCTCGCCGCCCTCCAACATTCCCGCGTCCCAATACTCAACTGGCCCGCAAACCCTATCGTTGCCGGTCTGATAATAGACGCCACTTGGTCGGAGGACGACTTCTTCACGGTCGGCCACGCCGCCGTTGGAGGACACGAGTCGCTGGATGTTTCCCTTTGCACCTTCGGCAGCCACCTGATGTGGTCTTGGCCCGAGCACCTCGAGGACATTCAGCGCTGCCTCACAGACGTCACCCGACCGGAAGAGGGCGTCGTCGACACCGGTAAAGACAGGGCTGGAACAAAGTGGGAGGTCTGCGCGATCGGCCAGACCCAATTCCTCCACCAGCTGGCGCACGCTTTCGGCGCCGGCCACAGCACAGGGATCACAAACGGCGACGGCGCTAGCCACTGGCCGAGGCACTTCGTCGCCCGCACGTCGCCATCTACTCTGACCGGGGAGGTTGGAATAGTAGTCGACCAGGGGACCGCCAACGACGCGGTCTTCGATCTCAAGGACCTGCTGACCTTCAAGCACCTCCCGCACTTCTGGATGGAGGGAGACGAGAAGGTCCCCGGGGATCCCCTTGTCACACGCACAGCCATCCCCACGATATCCTACGAGTTCTCAGCCAGCGAGGACCTCACCGTCACCATGAACAAGGTGATGGTAGCTTCGCCCGCGAAGATCGTGCGGGTCCTCTGGAACGGCGAGCCCGGCATCGGCGGCCCGACCCTCGCAAACCCCATCGCCGGCGTGTCCATCTCCACCAGCGACATCGATGCCGAGTACTCCCGCGCCGAGCCGCTGCGTGTCGCCTTCCTCGCCGGCAACGGCAAGGAGCGCGTCATCCCCAACCTCTGGGATCTCCTGGACCCAGCGAACCTCCACGTCCCCGGGTCAGAGGTCGTGCTCCACCGCCGCTCTGTCAAGTGTGGGGACCTCGAGAACGGCCGCGACGACCTCAACTACTTGGCCTTCTGGAGCTGGGCGACGCTGCTCACCAAGCCCATGGCGCACGGCACCATTGCGCGCGCCAACGAGATCAACAGCTGTGTCAAGGAGTCTCTTCTCGGTTTGTACGTCCGCTTCCAGGACGGCGCCCGCGTCAACTGTGGCCCACGCCGCGAGGTCATGGAGGACGGCAAGCACGAGAAGCACTTTGGCGGGGATAGGGAGGACTGCATGATCCCTCCCAACCACGACATCGTGCGCGTAGAGGTCTCCCGGGATTCCTTGACCATCGTGGGGATCAGGTTCCACCTGAGCAACGGTGACGCGAAGGGCTCGCTCACCCGAGGTCTCGTCGACTACGAGCCGAGCCACGTTCTTGGTAGGTTTCTCGATACTCTGTCCCTGTTCTCTGGTCGATGGCCACTTCGCTAACTATGTCATCCCAAACAGAGCCACCCAGCGGAGAGCGCATCATCGGGTTCTTCGGTCGGAACTACTTCCTCGAGGATCTGGACTCGGTGGCAGAGTTCGGGATCATCACGGCGCCCATCGACTTCAAGCTGCCCCCACAGGTGTATGACATGCCTCAGCTGCAGAACACCGATGGCGGCATGACTGTAAGTATTGCCGGCCAGACCTCCAGGTATCTGTGAGCTCCTGCTAATGCTTTCTGTTTATAGAAGGCCGATTACAAGCGTGACGATGACCCGAGGCACATTATGACCGACTGGTCTGAGCTCGACTCCGAGGAGCCCGAGGATCCCGATTCCCCGCAACCCCCACAAGCCCCGTTCGAGGTCGACGACTCCGACGAGGAACTCATGGCGGGAGTGGGGGGCATGAATCTTAATGGGCCGGACGTGGACGAGTAAAAGGCCTCAGTACCGGAGTCGGACCCAATATACAGGCACTCGCTGTGGGAAGCGACAAAGTAGAATGACGGGGGGTTGACCACCTGGGTACAAAACAGCAGGGAAAAATAAACACCTTGGGTCGGAGAAAAAAAAGAAGGGGCACTGGAAGACTTTGGGATTCATGGCATAGCGAACGGCGAAAAAAAGGCACTCGTTTGATTCATGTGCTTGTAGCTATTGCTTAGTCTGATTTAAAACATCACAGCGGCTGATTTGTATTCCGAGCACGCTTCAGGAAATAGAATCCGGTACCTTGAACGGAAAGTTCGTTCTTGATAATGGTTGTTTTGCATGGCCGTGTGGTAAATATGCAGTGGTTGGGTGCATGTAGTGAGAAAAGACCCACAAGCCCTCCTTCATCCTACTGGGCCCAAGGCGATGAGTAGACGGGTGCAAGATCACTGACTCCTGATGTGCTTAGCCTCCTGTTAGAGAGATGGCTACTTTAAATTTGTCTTGGAAACCGGGTTCTGCCCTCCTTGGTAGGACATGAGACTTTCCAACATATATGTGCTCCACGGATTCTTCCCTCTACTGGAGGAAGCCGCCTCTATGCCGGTGCAAAGCTGCTGTTATCTAGGATGCCTTTTTTATAATACTTGGGCCATGCATCGCGCGCCTTGATACGGACTCTTTCAACTGCTTTACAGGACTTATACTCCTTGGCCTCATGGGTACCACTTGGGCGGCCCTCAATCACATAATAGCTAAATAACAGGGCAGCAACGGCAACATCATTTCCCCGAAGCCCTGGCCACACATGAATGCGGCCACATTTCAACCATGTCAGAAATAAATCCGTGAACACTCTGAATGTGGTCCCTTAGGAGCCACCTTCAGTCAGTCCCCAGGACATCCACTAGCTATACATACTCTATATGTTTTATTAGTGGATAATTTCAGTATCATGTCACTGAAAAATACATAAATGGATTAACAGTGGCATGGAATTAGTTCCTGTGAACTAGAATTTACTACCTTAGTTTTCTAATATTTGCTCCCATCCTGAAACTACCCCTAAACTTCCACCCAGAGAGACTGTCAATGACAGGCATCGCTGAACCCCTGTGCCAGCCACTACCGAGCCCGGACCAGCCCACCAGTTGGAGGAGACGACGGGGTTGGTGAGGCCGCTGCCCATGCTGGTGCTGGCAGTGAGCGCAGGGAACATGCCGTGTCCAGAGTTCAGGCTGACTGGACGGTCGTCGAGCACCATCGGGCGCTGGATGTCCATGGCTGCCTTCTTCCACCACGGCCGTTGCTAAAAGCGGTATTGAAGGACTCCCCTGAGTCCGGGGCCCGCTCAAGACACAATGTGGAGAAGATGTTGTGATGTCGGAGGTAGGTTTGCAGGCCACTCATCCACACGGCCTTCTACTTGTGAGCGCTCCTCTGAGCGGAAGAGTGCGGAGGTCGAGGCGGATATTCGGAGATGACATGTGGCATACTAAGAGCCGGACGGCACCTCTCGCCACAAAGCCACCTTGCTGAAGGGAGGTCTGCTCGTGCAAGTGGCTTCGGTATTGGCGGGAGCCTTTAAGTAGTGCTCCAGTGTAGCGAAAGCCCCGCGTGATATCTTGGATGGCTCCACTTTCCTCATCAAAGCTGCTAAGCAGGAAGTCCCACTTGGAAAAGGTTGTCTGCTCGTGGGGCCGGCTCCCGTTGCTGGCGTTATGGTTGTGCAGGTGCTGGCGTTATGATTGTGAAGATGCTGTTGTTATGATTGTGAAGGTGCTGGAGGCTCTGGTGTTACCACCTTGTCTGAGGCCCTTCAGCAGCCACTTCGGAAATTTCTGCTCCGGCACCAACTTCCACAAAGCTAGCGAGCAACAGGATGTCTCGTGTCGCAGTACCTTGCCTCCCCAGTATCTTGCCTCCCCAAGTGCAGCAGGGCGTCTCGCATCACCCAGGAGGGAGGTCAGCTCCGCAATGGTGGGTGTATTGGCTGGGTTGACGGCCTGGTGGTGCAGTGCGGCGGCTCGGACAGCGGCGTGGAGTCCCTGGATGGCGAAGGATCCTGCAAGGGCTGTGGGGGTGGCAGGCACGGAAGAGTCAATAGGTGGATCCTCTGATCCCCAGCCAGGATAAACTTTGGGTGTCCTGGCTTCGACTGTGACCATGCCATCAAGCCTCTCCGCCTTATAGCCGAGGCCGTTGCTGCTGATGCTGCTCCGCAACTGCTGGTGCTCGTGGTTATACTGAAGGAGGATGCCTTGGCGTGGACTATTAACCGCAGTAGGTCCAGCCACCTGCAAGATCGCTTGAGCTGCTCACTGTGCTTGAAGATGCTCAGGTCGGGGATCCCTCGACCCTTCTTGCTAGCCTGGGTGAAGTTCTGAATGGGATGGCGCTCGGCCACAAACCATCGGATCCTAGCGATAAGGGCCTTCTCAACCTTTAGGTACATGATGGTCGACACATCCGCGCCGACCAGTTGGCTCTGAGCTGCCATACTGAGAATTCACAGCTGTTCATAGTGCGCACCTCCTCTCGATCGGTCATGACGGCCGGGATTGGGTGTCAAGTAGGGTCCCTCCGGACCTGGGAATTGGAAGTCTTGATCGTATTTTTTGTAGTAGAGCATGCTGAGGAACGCAAACTTAGGAAATCAGTCTCCGGTGCACCTTTCATAGTAGAGCGTGCCAACAAACACGGTGCTTAGGTGATTTGTTGCCATGGACTAGGCACTGGTTGAGATTTTCGCCTGGGTCCAGACAGATCCTCCGGGCCAGCTTCCTGAGGGCCTTGACGAAGGCTAAGCAGCTATCGCGGGACTATTGCTGCGCCTCTGCGCCTTAGTATCTGTAGATCTCAGAGTCTATAGCGTTGACACAACGGCTTAGGAAGTACTCGTTGACACTAGGCAGCTTGTCCATGTAGTTCTTAAACTTTAAGTACCTAGTGCCTTGGCCTCTGTAGATCTCAGAGTCCACCGCCAGGCGCCAATCCACCAAACAAGGAGCTGGGTTTGGTGCGGTGCGGGATCCTCTGATCCCGGTGAGCTTGTCGGTCGCGGAAAGGCCCAAGGGGTAGGCTGCTGGGCTGGACTCTGCTCCAGCTTGCCGCGGCTCTTGTGCTGCGCACCCGGATTGCCTTGCTTCTAATGGCCCGTGATGTGTTTCTTCATCTCAGAGAGCCTGCTCGTGCCATAGTGGACCTTCTCAGAGCCGTCGTGAGGGCAGGCCGTTGTGAATCTTCTTATCACACCGCTCGTAAGGGCAGAAGAAAGCTCGCCTAGGGTCCTTCACGTGCATCTCGTCCCTATGCCGCTTGCATTCCCGGATGATGGAGACCTTGCTCTGAACCTTGCCCGTGCGACCGTTGTGGTCTGCCTTCATGGCCGCAAAGAAGATATTAAGGGCAACCAGCTTCTCTCTGGTCACCCACGGTACCTTCCTCTCCTCCTCGGGCTTGCCGAGCAGACTGTCTCGCCAGGTCGGATCAGTGGTGTCGCTCTCGCCGTACATCCAGTGCTTCAACTTCTTGAGGTCTGCCTCCTTGGCCGAAAGGAAGACATTGAGGGCAACCAGCTTCTCTCTGGCTACCCACGGTACTATCCTCTCAGCCTCGGGCTTGCTGAGAAGAGTGTCCCGCCAGGTCGCATCGGTGGTGTCGCTGTCACCGTACATCCACTCCTTCAATTTCCGAAGGTCTGCCTCCTTGGCCTTGTCGATTCCGATGACGCCCCGGTAGCACCGGTTTCCTGACCCGAGTAGGCGGGGCAAGAGACGGAGCCGGACGTTGCTGAGGATTTCTGTTGGCGTCCCTCTGGACGTCGGGAGAGGGAATTGAAGCGGCCCTCAAGGCGTCGTTCTCCTCCTGAAGGCGACGCACCGCCTCCTCTAGCGACTCCATCTTGACGTCCTCGACGTCCTCCTCCATCTTGATATCCTCACCCTCCAGGTTCTCTTCCATCATGGCATCCTCTTCCTTGATTCGCATCTGGTTGATGACGGTGTCGTAGATCCCCGTCTGATCTGGGTCTTGGGCATACTCGTCGAGAAAGCCGGCCCAGTAGGGATGCTCGTCGACTTCAGCTTAGGGGGACAGCGGGAAGTCAAGGCAGCTTTTCTGGGCCCGAGTAGGCGGGGCAAGAGACGGAGCCGAGCGTTACTGAGGATTCTGTTGGCGTCCCTCTGGACGCCGGGAGAGGGAATTCAAGCGGCCCTCTAGACGCTGAGAGAGGAGATTGGAGCGGCTCTCTGAATGTGGGAGCAGGGAGGGAGAATTGGAGCGTCCCTCTGGACACTGATGGCGTTGGGTTTGTCGGTGAGAAACGGTGAAACTATGTTCCCACAAGGTCTTCTTAGGTCATGATGATGTTAGTATTTGGTGGTGTTGTAAAAGGGTGTCTGAGGCTGAGGGAGGATAACTTACATTGATGGTAGTGGAGGAGGGCCATTACTGTCGGGTTGAAGACAATCCATTGGCATGTCTTTTATGGGAGTTGTAGAAGGTGTGATGGGGATGAATGAAGGTCTTGGAGATTGGAGCAGGTTGATGGTTGATGGAAGAAAGGAAGGGAGGGAGGAAGAGATTGGGTGTGTAGGCCTTGGGTTTAAATATTCGGCGGCCAACTATTCTGCCGCAGGATTCCTGCGTCCGTTTTTACACCGCCTCTGGCTGATACTATTGTCTGATTCGCTAGATTATACATCAGACGGAGGCGGTGCGGTGGTTGGTTGATACAAAGAGCTGCTGGCTGGCAGTCTTCAGTCACTGACTCCCCTAGTATGGCTGGTGGTGCGGGGCAGCTTTCGGACGGCCTTGCAAACACGCCACGCTGAGTCTTGTTGGTATCTTCACAGCTGCAGCTGTGACTGCTAAACACGATCTATCATGTACTCTGTGCCCATTTGAGGCCATTTTATTCATTCCTACTCATGTTTTGCCAACATTTTCACAATGGCTGATGTTTAGCAGCCTTGTTCACGTGATGAGGCGGCAGAACCAGCACTGCCACCGCCTACCAGATCTGTGTGTGTTGACGGTCAGGCCTAGGTCTCCAATTGCAGCAGTCACGCCAGTCCATCGTCCAGCAAAACCACCTGCTTGCTGTCTGCAGCTCATCTACTGATTTCCAGTCCCTCACAATGCTTGTCGTGATGAAAGAAAGACTTTGTATGTACCTCCTATCAGGCCCTGCTAACAGAGAGCAAGGCAGCCAGCTTCCTGAGTCCAGAGACCTGCAAGACATCCAAGTACAACACACATTGCTTCGCTGCTTCTGTGAGTACGATTACTTCCTCAGCCCTGCTGCTCTCTGAAGACGTGCCAGACCAGGGCTAGACCCGGAGCCAGATACTCCCTACTGAGCCGATCACCAGAGACTGCATCACAGTGCCCAGTTGCCCTCCTGAAGGCTACCAGACCGTCTCCATGCGACGGCCGTCTATTCTGTCAGTTCCGAGTTCCGTGGCGGCTTGGGCCAACGACGAATGATCAGGGGACAGAGCAGCCGAAGCTGAGGCTGAGGTATGGAGGCGGTTTGGCACGGAATCGTCACGACGAGAGATCGCCGGTCGTAACGGATGAGATCATGACTGACGGTTGCCAGGGCTTAGAGTGCGCGAAGCTTCACAGGAAACAATGAACACGCGACTTAGGCGATAAACACTTCCATCGAGTCCATGCCATCTTTCCCAGCACGACAGTCTCAAGACCGCGAGCCAAACACCGAGCAGATTCCCAGAAACAAGTGCCAGCCGCCTTGATGGTTCCGCACGACCCTCCCCTATGAGACCGATCCCATGCCCCTACGAGACAAATGCCACGTTCCAAGCCCGATTTCTCCCACCCTCTCAGACCCTCAAGATTTCGCGACCGGCGGCGCGGGCCGTCCCGAATACAGATAAATACAAGTCATGTGCTTGAATTGAAAGTTGGGTTCAAAGAGGAGGAAAAACAAATTATATGAGTTGGGAAAGCATGACATTCTGAAGAGATGGACACCTGGCACATTCAGTGGCACAATTGGAACATGGAACAAGCAAAGCCGACGAAGGGCAACCCGGTCAACCGCTGCGATTTCATACCCTTCCGAGACCGAGTCTCCCGTTTCCAACAATTGCGCCATACACTCAAAGTACCACACCGAACTGTCGACCCTTTGGCCTTGCCTGCATGCCATGACGTCCGACGCGGCTACGCTAAGCGCGCGAGGCTGAGAACTGCCTAATCCAGAGGCGCGCCAAGCCTTGGCGCCTTGGCACGGGCCATGCCTTGCAAGAGAGCTTTGTGGAACCTCAAAATTGAGCTCTTCTCTCTCGCGGCATCTTGTCATTCCAGACGGTGGCAGTGAGGGAATAAATCGAAGCCTACACGTGTCTGATATTGGGAAGAGGTGGGCCCGGTGACGCTGGGCTGGCGGAAACAAGTCAGTCCCAGCAGTGAAGTGCCATTGCAAGCCGGCACAGCCCAAAAGACGTTTTTGAGACGGAATCTGGGTGTGTATCAGCACTTCCGCCATTCACCGGTAATCCAGCCATTCACCGGTAATCCAGCCATAACGGTAAGTGGCCAGTCCAGCTGGCGTATGGCAGAGCTGCAGATACCGCAATTCCAGAATCGGCGGCCGGCCCCCTATGCTTGCAGCGACACAACACACCTACCTCCCTGCGGACAGTAAGCCCCTGAATGGGCGGTCCAAGATCTGAATCTTGATGCTGCAGCGGCTAAGCTCAGATTGCCCCGGATTTCAAGAAGCACATGCCCCCCTTTTGCCTTGATCCGCCACCCCGGTCCATTGACGGCCAAAAACGGCCCCAATCTGAATTATCGGCAGCAGCCCCTTCTTGCAAATCTGTTCTAACTTGACCTTTTCTGTAGAACGCGCCGCCGCCGCCGGACTCGCAACAAATCGCACCTGGGCCTGGCTATCGGCTCGCCGCCGTGGCCACCTCACGCTCTCATTTTGAGGTCCGCTCTACAAATATCCCCTCGAGGCAAAATTCAGGATCCCGTCCAAGCCCCACCTTTGGCGCCAGGACACAGGCATTCATACCACGATCGGAACATGAATGCATCGAGTCCAACGCGTATTCGCAGAACAATCCACGGCTGCGTCAGTCGAAGCCCCATGCACACTACTCCTATCTCTGAGCTGGATCTAGGGAATGAATAACATTTGGGTCATATGCTTCTCTGGTGACTCCCCGTCACTCTTTCGGTTTCCCATGGCCCTTCAGAACCTCTGCTTCTTCTCTCAAGCGTAGATCTTCCAGAAGCAGCATTTTCTCGCATGGCTTACGCCCTCCTGGCCGCCCTCCTTCAGTCCAGCCGAGGTGTCTTGAGTTATGAAGTGCCCCCATCTCGTCAAGGTCAAGACTTCATTCAAGTGGGTATCTGCAATAGTTGTATTGGCTTTCGGGACAGTCTTCGGAACCTTTTAACCAGAACACATCTTGCTTGAGATGCGTGTTCCGAAGGTATTCAATAGAACTTGCCCTGTGCTAGAAGCCTCAGCAGACCCGAAACCATGATAACTCCATACTCCCCAGCGTAGCTTTGGGTCAGTGATGTCCTGAACCTTGACTCCATTCCCAACATCCCGGAGACCTTGAATCTCCATTCCATCCCCAATCCCCCTGGGCCTTTCAACTTCTAGATTGAGGATCCTAATGGACACCGTCATCCAAGCCTCCACTCAAGCCTGAACCGAAGGCAACAAGCAAGTCCCCATCTTATCGAGCCACTTTCTTCATCATTCATGGCACTTTCAACCTCAACTCAACCTTATCCTCCACTCAGTCCTCAGCCTTCAAGTCAACCACATATACTCATACTACCTCATAACAGCTTCACACCATATTCAGCCATCCTACCCAGGTATCTTGAGCTTCCCCTCAAACTAATGTAACTGAAGCTTCACGAGACCCCCGCAGGCTATATTCAATCTTCAACCCCCGGGATCTTCGCGATACTTTACATGACACCCGCACTTTACAAGCCCTCCACGCAACGCGGCCTTGATACGATCTTTAGCCTCAACTAACAACATACACCTTCAAGATTCATAAGAGTCCATCGGGATGGGGAAGCCCAGAAGCCATTGGACTGCCGTAGCCCGTCACGCACTCTTCATTCTTCATCATACCTCCTATCTCCTCAAGCTATCTCGCCAGAACCGTCTCCTTTCCCGAGACTCCCAACCTTCACAGACAACGCGAGTCTCTTGAACCTTTTAAGACCCGAGGCGCTGTTCGAGAGGACTGTATTTAGAGTGAAGGATATCACAGCTTCTAATTCAAGCCCCGGTGACAGGATTTATCCGGCCAGCTATCAAGATCAGGGGTCAACTTCCAAGCCGCTTCCATGGAAGCTCCCGGCAATCACTTCCACGCTGCGGCACAGTTCATCCGCGACTGGGCCCAGCGCAACTGTAGCCAAAAGCATTGGATTTCTCTCCTGAGCCCGAGAGCTGACTAATTTCTTTCCACTGGCAACATCGTCCAACTCGTACCTGACAGCCCATCCTCAGGCATCCTTTGAACCACAGCATACGCAGCCAGCATCTCTTGCTAGCAGCCGCCATCTTCTCCTCGCAACCAACAGATGATCTCTTCCTCGTTGCCACCATCTCTTCCTCGTAGCCACCATCTCTTCCTCGTAGCCACCATCTCTTCCTCGTAGCCACCATCTCTTCGTAGCCACCATCTCTTCCTCGTAGCCGCCATCTCTTCCTCGAAGCCCCCATCTCTCCCTTGACTTCTTCTGGTCTTTCTGACCTCGGCACACCCTTCTTGACAGCCAACTTCGATCCAAAGACATACGCAACCACTCTGTCTTCCTTGAAACTGCTGTTGGTGTTTCCAACCTCGGTCCACCCTTCTCGGCAGCCAAGTTCCGGTAAGAGACAAACGCTCCCATCGTCTATCCCTTGACGTCTGTTGGTCTTTCTGACCTTTACGCATCCTTCTCGACAGCCAAGTTCTGGTAAGAGACATACGGCCCCCACCATCTACCCCTTGACTCCGCTGGGTCTTCTGACCTTGACACACACATCCTTCTCCACTGTCAAGTTCTGGTAAGAGACATACCGCTCCCGCCACCTAACTCTTGACTTCGCTGGGTCTCTCTGGCCCTGACACACACATTCTTCTCGAGAGTCAAGTCTCATCAAAGACAGACGCTCCCACCGTCTACCCCTTGACTTCGTTGAGTCTTTCTGACCTTGACACACACACCCTTCTCAACAGCCAAGTCTCATCGAAGACAAACGCGAGCACAAGACCCCCAGCTTCGAAGAGTCAGTTGGTTCCATTACCACCTAAACTCGGCCAGACTCTTCCCCCACCACCCAACACTCAGCCAGACTCTTCCCTCACCACCTAACACTCAGCCAGACTCTTCCCTTACCACCCAACGCTCAGCCAGACTCTTCCCCCACCACCTAACACTCTGCCAGACTCTTCTCTTACCACCCAACGCTCAGCCAGAGTCTTCCCTCACCACCTAACACTCAGGCAGACCCTTTCATCGTCACACAACTCAGATCAGGGTACGTGAAGCCATCCGCAAACGGCCCAGAAGCCACAACCGTTCAACCTTCCCCTTCTGTAAGCTTGATCCACCACAGGGCTAACAACAACACCCATCCAGACAGTCCACTGCTGCTCGAAGAAGCCATCTTTGAGGTTATCAACAGTCCAGTAAGTCAGCACAACGCCCGCGGCCGACGCAGGCTGTACGTAGGTAGCAGTCACGACGTCGACGACATCCAAGGCACCCACGAAGAAGCAGTCTTTCCACCCACTACCCCCAGGTGGCCTGCTTTTATCCCGCTTTTCTCCCGCCAGTTGCCCCCTTGTAACTCGCAAACACAACCAAAACACAGCAGACCCGAGAGGTAACTAACCTCACGGCACAGCCTTTCAAGGTAAAAAGAAGCCATCTTTGAGGGTATCACCAGTCCAGTAAGTCAACAGACCATCCGCAGCCGAAGCAGGCCCTACGTAGGTGGCGGTCCTGTCGTCTACAACACCCAAGGCACCCACGAAGAAACAGCTTTCCCACCCACTACCACCAGGGCGGCCTGCTTTTCACCCGCGACTTGACCTTTTGGAACTCGCAAACACAAGCAAAACACAGCAGACCCCAGAGGTAACTGACCACGCGTCACAGCCCTTAAAGCTCTATCGTATCTCGAACAACGCACGACTTGACCTGAACTTCCTCTCCTGCCATTCAAGCATCGGCTACTCAAGGATTTGCTTCTGCAATCACAGCTTCCTCAGTAAGAAACGCCCTCTCTTTACAGCTCTCATCCACTGCTCTCATCCACTGCTCTCTCCCGACCGGGTTCTCTCATGCCCAAGCCCGCACGCTGACACGCGTCCAGTCTCGCCTCATCAGCAGCCTTGACATTCTCAAACATCTCGCTCAGGATCCAACATGATGTCTGACGCGGAGTTCGAGACTCTTGTTGTGGGCCAGGGAGCCAAGTACCAGGGATATAAGGGCCAGGCATCCAAGGGCCAGGCATCCCGTGCAGACATGCCAGCTCCTGTGGGCGGACACGGCCCTGCGACCGCGGCCACCGCCGTTGCCCTGCCGAAGACTTCTGAGAAGAGTGTCGTCACCGCCAACACCCTCACTCATACCGCTGAGAGGGCTCTCACCACCGCCAACGCCCTGACTCAGACCTCTGAGAAGACTGCCACCACCGCAAACGCTCCCTCGCAGACCGCCGAGAAGACCGTGACCAACGCCAACAACGGCGAGAAGGCGCAGCCTTTCACCCCTATCCCGGCCGACAACACCGACGAGGTGAACCGCCTTGCCCGTCTCGTGGAGGAGATGGACACGAAGAGCAAGGAGGCTGACGAAAAAGAGCGGTACAACCGTACCGTGGTCATCTCGCCTCTGCCGGAGGACATCACGATCGCAGACGTGCTGCCCCGTGTCCGTGGCGGGATCGACTCATCCTGTGTCAGCATGTTCAACGGCGACCGCATTGCGGTGGTGACCTTCAAGCACCCGGCAGATGCCATCACATATGTTGAGTTCTGCGCAGAGACTTGCATCTGGGCCCTATGGACATTCCGCTATTCCCGCCCCGGCGTCGAGGAGGAGGAGCCCCGCCGCGCCGAGGTCAACCTCTTCCGGTCTGCCTCCGGAATGAGAGCCGGTTGGAACCGACTCGCCATCCTGGTGCGGTCCCCGGCCGCCGTGCCCACCGGCACCCGCTGCCTGGTCCTCGCGGGGTGTAAGCCACACGAGGTGGCCGGAATATACCGCGCCCTTGGGCTGGGCTACTCGCAGCACCAGCGGGACCAGGTGGAGGCGATGTGGCTCGACGGCCCGGCCCGTGACGGGAACGGCGACCCGGTCCACGGGCGCCTTCACATATGGTACACCAGCATCCGCGCCGCACAGGAGGCGAAGATGCGCTGGCCGCCCTTGGAGTACGAGTGGGACCCATGTTCGGACTCTCCTCCGTCCCTCATCCTGAGCATCGAGGAAATCCAGGCCGGCGAGGTCGGCATCTTCCAGCATAGCTACCCCTTTGTGAACCTAATCGAGGTGAACCAGGACACCATCTTCAACGGAGTCATGAACGGCGTCGTCGACCCGGCACGCGTCTACTTCCGACCCCTGAACGCGGCCTACCCAGGCGACGGAGCCAGCCTCGCCACCCGCCTCCAGTGGTCCCTGCAGAACCGCGGCGCCGCACAGCAGCCATCCTTCAACATGCCGCCTGCCAGCCTCGCGACGCCCTTCGGTCATGCCGGCGCCATGTTTCACGCGGCCGCGGTGGCCGACCCCTTCTACGAGTCCCTCCCGATCGCCGCCGGCATCCCGCCGCGCCTGCGTGACGACGGCGCCACTGGCACCTACATGAACTACGACGACGCCGGCCAGAACCTCCCCGTCCGCGTCCAGAACGTCCCCGCCCGCCCCCAGCCGCCCGTGGCCGCTCGCGCTGTGCAGGAGCCCCGGGTCCTGGGATACCCCCCCTACACCCACGTTGGAAGGCAGAACAATGTCGCCTCTGGCGGATTCGATGGCGCTGGCGCGGTTGGAAACGTGGCCGGCCAGAGCAATGTCACCTCTGGCGGCTTTGACGGGGCCTGCCAGGGCAATGTCGTGTATGGCGGCTTCGACGGCGCGGGCAGGGCTGGCCACAGCACCAACACCAATAACACCAACAACACCGGCAACTCCTCCAACTTGGGTGGAAACAACCCCCACAGCGGACGCCAGCCTCACCGGGGACCTGATAGATCCTAGGGCGATGATGACAACCGGGCCGATCTGACGGATGCTCCACCGGACATCCAGGTTCCAGGAGACTCTGTTCTCTCGTCTGTACTCAGCAGCGCGCCTTTGCTTTCTCATTCCCACGAGTCTTTCCCATCGTCTTCAGCTACGCCTGTTGCTCCTCCTTCACCAGCCATCACTAAGATGGATGACATCGGACAGGAAGGTAGCAGCATCGACTGTCCTGGTGAGGACAAGGACACACGCAACAATCACCCTGCAACTCCCCCTGGTGGCTCACCTTCGCCTACGGCCACAGCCACACCCAAACCTGTCGGTGGCAATGGGGGCAATGTTTCTACTACTCCCCCTCCTCAAAAATCTGGCAACTACTCGCACAAGATCCTCGGCACCCACGACGTGTTCTGGACCTGCAGCCTGGAGGAATTCCACGCCATGACGGACGAGCAGTGGGCCTCCTTCGGCACCGCCTTCTACAAACCCCCGGAAGGCTTCAGCTCGGCCACAAGGCACGTTGTGCAGCTTGAGTGAGATGGATGGATGAGTCAGGCCGCGCTGGGACAAAGCCTCCTCTTTGTCGGGCTGCACTTGGGCTGCCTGACCATGGAGCATGGCTTCTACTTCTCACGAGTCCTACCCAAGGTTGAGCAACCTCACCGCCAAAAAGTGTGGGTGCAGGCCTTACTTGGAATTCGGACTCTTTGCACTCAGGGTGCTTTCTTGCCCAGCTACTGCCGACATCGCGTGGTGGGACCTGTGCTGTGCTCGTGCGGGCGTTAAGAGTCCCCTGAGCAATGCCTGTTAGGAAAGGCCATGTCGAAATTTTAGACCCTGGAGGATGCTCCGGACTAGGAGGAGCAGTCCCCCGTTTTGAGAGGCTCAATGCTTGCAGCTCACTACTAATATCTCTCTGGCGGGCATTGGTCACCTCTCTTTTTTAGACCCCATCATTCCTCCTAAAACATTCCCGGAGACTCCCCCCAGTAATTTACACCTTAATACCCAGTACCCCAGAACCCCCCTCTCACCCACTCCAGACAGACAGACAATGCATTTTACAATAGTTTTGGTAGAAATTGCTATTTCAGGCTGCTTAAGCCTCTAAGAGAGTTCTCTCTGCTTGCTCTCCATCTATTGACATGTATGTACAAACTCCTACACGGAGGCCCACAAATGATTCCCACGGCGCTCAGGTGTCCGCCTGCCTCCCTTGCTCCTTGAAGCTGTAGAATCAAGCAGGCTGCTCAGCTGATATCTGCAAGCGAAGCCATCCCACCCCAGTACGCCAGATGCCATTGAATAGAACAAGAGAAAGCTAGAAGTGCCGGGGAGCAGGTCTCGCCATGCCGGCAAGCTGCGTAGCAAACTCAGCCTGTGCGGCCCTACGCCTCTCAATGTCAACAAGCTCCCTGTCCTGGTCAATAACAAAGAGCTCGTCATGGCCATCACCACCAGCGTGCACGTCCTCGTCATGGTGTGCACCACCCTGATCAAGGTCCACGTCGCCAGGGCCATCCAGGTTCATCTGCCCCTCAAACACCTCCAGCACGCTGCCGTAGGCCTTGGCCTGGTCCACGAGCGGGTTGGCCTGCTGCTTCGCCTTTGCTTTCTTCTTTGTCCTGGCCCTGGCATGCCGGTCCGCCTCGCCCTTGGCCTTTCGCCTCAGGTACTGCTTCACCAGCCTCTCTGCGATGTTCTCCCTCGGCTCCCAGGTCGGGTTCTCCTCCTCGGGCCAGTCGCCTTCCCACCGCACCCTGAACCAGTGGATCCCGTCTATGATCTGATCACCCTCCAGGCGCTTGACCACGTATTCCTGCTCGCCCTGGGCCAGGTCCAGGCCGGGGTCGGGTGGGCCTGCAGGTTGTGCTATTGCCTCGGGATACACAAGGGGCAGATCTGGACGCTTCTTCTTCCTCCTGCTCTTGCCCGGTTTCGGCGCTGCAGATGCGTCGTCGGGATGAGGCGACCCATCTGCTGGTCTTTTGGGTGGCCGTGGGAATGTGCCGCCTATGGGCGTGAAGCCGTTGGTATGGGATGACAGGTCTGCAGGGGAGGAGCGCTGGCCGCGTATTGGGTCAGACTGTGAGTGGGTCGGGGCTGAGCCTTGGGCGCCCGCCACCTTCGGCTGCGAAATCGTCGTCGTCGATGCCTCACCCGTATCCTTGGCTTTTGGTCTCCAGTTCATCATCCGGGAGAACACCGATGGGAGTGGTATCGGCGTGGTCGAGATTGGGTGCTTCTGCCGGGCCGCACTGGGTGCGCTCGTGGCTGGGGCACTGGCCCGATCTGCAGGGCCCGCCGGCCTTGCGCTGCTGGCCCGAGAGGACTCGCCGCTGGATATCCCCGGCGCAGCAGAGCCCAGGCGGAGCCCGTCCAGGTCTTCCACCACTCCCCCCTTGACGTCTCTGTCCGAGGTGCTCGCGCTCTCGCCCCCGCCAAGCGCGCCCAGGGGCGGCGCAGGCACCGCGTCCTCGTCGACCGCGTCCAGCTCCTCCAGCATCGCCACCTCGGCCTGCAGCTGCGCCAGCCTGCTCTTCTGGGGCGTCGACAGCGACGGCCCCCGCATGCGCTTGTGGACCAGCTCCTCCTGCTCGCTGTTGAGCTCGGGCTCGGACGGGGGCCCGTCGTCCACCATCATCCTCGACTTCGGGGGCCGCCCTGGCCGTCGTGTCGCGCCGCCCGGCTGCAGAAGAGGGCCGGCCACGCCCTTGCCCTTGGCCAGCGCCCTTCTCTCGGCCTCCTCGGCCCTCTCCCGCTCCTCCTCGCGGCGCAGCGCATCTTGGTATTCCCAATCCTCGAGGGTGCGGGGCGAGACGTAGTCGAGGACCCTGCTGGCGTCCACGACGGGGCGCGCCGCGGGCAGGTCGGGCCAGCCGATGATGTAGTAGCACCGCCGCTGTCGGGCCCTGCTGCTGTTCGGCGGGGAGGGGCCCTGCGGGAGGACGACCTTGTCGACGATGAAGGCGTTGCTGTCGTGGACGGGCCGCAGGCTGACGCGCGGCGGAGGGGGCCCGCTGCCGGGCCTGTACCTGGCGGCCTGGGGGCGGATCGGGATATGGAATTGTAGTTTGGGCTTCTGCGGGGTGGGGTCGTCGGTGATGTCCCTCGATCCTCGTATGTCGGCGCGGAACCGCTGCTCCCAGCCCGCCTCGGGGTCGGCCATTGCTGTGGCGGAGGCAGAGACGGGTGACTGAGGCGGCTCAGATAGCGCGGTGTTGGGGCGCGGCGATGGGCCGGGCGCCCAACAAAGGGGCCAGGTCGACACGGCAACGTCTGTCCCCCTTGGTTGTGAGCAGTGGGTGCCCAGGTCGGCAATGGATGCCTCCCGTGGTTCTGCAGCAAATGTCGAGGGTTGCTCGAGGAGGCGCGTCAGGTCGCGACGGGCTGGTGTGTGGGTTCGGGCCACCTAAAGGGGGTATGTAGGATAAAAAGCATTTAGGTAGCGTAAATCCTATTAAGCTAGCTGAAAGTGGGATTAGAAGAGGTTAAAGCTATTTTTAAATTAAGTATATTAAGATTTAAATTATTTATTTAATATTAAAATATTTTTAAAAGAAATTATATTATAAACTCTTTTTAATTTAATTTAACTAAATTTTTTAAATTAGAGGTATTACAATTATTTAGGTACTTTTCTTTAATACTTATTTTTAAAAAAAAACTTCCGTTTTGTCGTTTCAACTGCATGGCAAGTTACAGGATTGCAAAGTCAATTTAGTAGCGCTAGCCCAGTCAGTTCGCTGGCTGTGGTGCCACTACTCTGTAGTCCACGACGCGGCAGGCACGCGACAGCTCGGCCGTGCAGCTGGCCAGGCCTGTTACACAGTAGCTCTAGGCTGGGGTGGAGAGCGAGGTGGAGAGAGGTGCTGCGGCCATGCTCCAAGAGCGGGACCACTAGAAGAGCTTCGAAAGCTTTGACTCCGTTCGACCTCGACCTCGCACCACACACCAAAGCTCCTCCCCCAAGGCAAATCTTCCCATTTTACATCCCGCACCAGCCATCAACGTCACAGCTCCACCAAACTTTTTCGTCGGCGCGAACCACGCGACCCTTCGACCTTACTGCTCGAGTGTGTTCTGGAACTGTTTCAATTGCAGGAACCACCTACGAGCCGGTTTCGACAGTGCCCGCGCGCAGCACTCACTCACTCACACACACAGACATAGTCACACAACCACGCCCACCACCGCCATGATCGCACCGACGGCGACGGCGATGCTCCGCTCAGGCGTCTCCCGCGGCGGCTGCGCCCTGCAGCCCATCCTCCTGCGCAGCACCACCAGCTGCCCCTACTCGACCATCGTCACAGCCGCCTCGCCCTTCGCCAGCGTGCGCTCCAAGCTCTCCGACTCGAGAACAACAGCAACCCCCTCCGCCAAGCCATCACCACCATCATCGCCCGCCACCATCACCAGCCCCACCCTCACAACAGCCCGCCGCCAGCCAGCAGCCCGCTACTCGACAGACCAGGCCGCCGACGCGGCAGCGGCGCAGCGCGCCGCGCAGCGCGCCGAGGCCTACGCCCGCTCGAACCCGGACATGCCGCCGCTGGACTGGGACTCGTTCTTCCAGCTGCGCAAGACGCGGCGCCGGTGGCAGGTCGGCTTCAGCGTGCTCATGTCGCTGGGCTCCGGGGCCGCGGGCGCCGTCGTGCTCGGGTCGGGGGCCGCCGACGCCCTCACGAACCAGATCCCCCTCGACCCCATCCTCACGCTCGGCCTCATCACCCTCGGCTGCACCGCCATGGGCTGGGTCGTCGGCCCCAGCCTGGGGAACGCCGTGTTCTACCTCATCAAGCGCAAGTACAAGGCGCCTATGACTGTGGTGAGTGGTTGTTGTTGCGCTCTTCCTTTCCTCCCCTTCTTTTTTTATGTGTGCGTCGTGCGTGCTTCAGACAGACGAAGTCTGGTTGGAGACGAGGTGGAATACTGACGAGTGATGCGTCATACAGAAGGAGAGCCAGTTCTTCGCCCGCATCAAGAAGAACCGCGTGGACCCGTCCAACTCGTCCACCGGCAACCCGGTGCCTGACTTCTACGGCGAGAAGATCTCCAGCGTCGCCGGATACAGGCAATGGCTGAAGGACCAGAGGGCCTACAACAAGAAGAGGACCACCTTCATCTGAGTGATGCTTTGAGGGCTGTTCCCAGTTGGACGATCAGGGCCGAACACGCGGGGTTGTCCTGAAGATATGTTGCGGCGGAATCCCGTCTCCTGGGAACGCAATCAACGGGGTTTGTGGGCAGAATGAACGAGTGGATTGCCAATGGCACTACAGAAGAAGGCCAAGACTGGTCGCGGGTTGGTTGGAATTGTTGCAAACACACACACACACAAGTATGAGTCTCATTTGCCGGAGTTCAGAGCCTCTCCATAATTGTACTTGTACCTACAGCACCGTAATGCCGCACAAATAACGTGACATCCTCCTCTTCAATTGTGTATTTGTTCACGTGCCTCTGAACTTTGTCCACTTTTCCAACATTACCAGGGCTACAGGAACGGCAGGGTGCCGTCTACCTCGTGCTTCCAAGCCCTCATGCCGCCCTTGATATCCCCAATGAACCTCTCGCCCCCACGGCCGAGCCCCAGGTCCTTCAGCTGCTTGGCCACGAGCTGGGAGTCGTTGCCCACCCTGCACACCACATAGATCGGCGCGTGCCCGGACAGGCCCGCGGGTATCCAGTCCGGCAGCTCAGCACCGCCCTCGCCCTCGGGCCTCTTCGCCGCCCTCGCAGAGCCCTGGATCCGCGAGTACGGGATGTTGACAGCCCCGTCGATACACCCGACGTCAAACAGCTCCTTCTCCCTGACATCCAGCAGCACGGGCCTCGCCGCCCCCGCCCCATCACCACCACCACCACCACCCGCCGTGACAAGATCCCGATAAGCACCAGCAGAAACCCTCTCCCCTTCTCCAAGCACACTAACCGACGATGCCGCGCCCCCGCAGAACGCAACATAATCCACGCCCCCACTCCTCAACGTCCCCAGCGACAGCCTGTCCGCGCTCCCCTCGCCGCAGGCGAAGCAGTCCCGCCTGCGGGCGCGCATCCGCACGGACCGGAACGAGGGGGCGCCGGCCGCCGAGCCGGAGAAGAGCAGCAGCGTCGGCTGTGGCTGTGGCTGTGGCTGTGGCTGTGGCTGTGGCGGCGGTGACGGTGACGGTGATGGGAGGTGCAGGCCGCCGGCGACGATCTTGACCGCCTCGAGCGCCTGCAGCACGCCCATGGCGCCGACGACGGGGCCCAGGATGCCGCCCTCGCCGCAGCTGACGACGGCGTCCGGGGGCGGGGGCCGGGGGAAGACGCAGCGGTAGCAGGGCGGGGGGCCTGCTGTTGCTGCTCCTGCTGCTGCTGATGATGCTTTCCCGTCGGCGGCTGGTGGTGGGACGGCGAGGACGCCCTGGGGCGTGGGCGGGCAGTTGAGGACGATGAGCTGGCCGTCTGTCCGCAGCGCCGAGGCGGAGACGAGGGGCCTGCGCAGGAGGACACAGGCGTCTGAGATGAGGTAGCGCGAGGTGGGGTGGTCGGTGCAGTCGAGGACGAGGTCGTAGGCGCCCACTATGGCCTCTGCATTCTGCGGGGTGAGGTGCTCCCTGTGGGGGATGTACTCTGGGAGGGGGTTGAGTCTGGTGCTGGGGTGTCAGTTGTGGTTGTCCATGATATAATATAGACTTAGTCAAAGTATGGGTGGATATATGTATATGTGTACACACACACACACACACACATATATATATGTATATACGTACCCCCTGCAGTAGGCCACCAGGCTGTCCACCTTGGGCATGCCCACCCTCGACGTCGAGTGGGCGATCTGCCGGTGGAGGTTGGACGGCTCGACCACGTCGCCGTCGACGATGCCCAGGGTGCCTACCCCGGCGCCGGCGATGTACGCTGCTGCCGGGCAGCCGAGGCCACCTGCGCCGACGATGAGGATCCTGGAGGCCTTCAGCCTCTGCTGGCCTGGACGGGAACATCAGCAACACGTCTTTGACCTTGAAGGGGGGGGGGACAGTGGTCAGTCTATCTGACCTTGGATGCCAACACTGGGCAGGATCAGCTGCCGCCCATAGCGATCGTACTCTTCAGCCTTCAGCGGCCACTTCCAGGCCGGGCCGTTGACGACGCCACCGGCAGCCTCTGCCTCTGCCTCTGCCTCCTGGTCCCGCTCCTGAGCCTCGGCGTGGGCGAGTTGCGCCTTTAGATGCTGCAGCTCCTCTTCTGTCCTCGCTACCTGCTCACGCAGCTGTGCTGCGCTCTTCCCAGCTGTGTCCATGGCATGGCATGGTATGAAGCAGAATAAAAAAGAGTAAGACAGGCCACTTTATTAGTCGTAAACAGGCCTGATATCTTGGCACAAGGTGGGCAGATCCTCTGCAACGGTTACGAGCGTCAGCCGTCGCCCATAGGGCTGAGATGACTAAAGTCCCGGGGTTCAGTGCCCCCCCATGCGCCCTGTGGATCTCCCCTGCCCTCCCCTCCCTGCCGGTGTTCCAGTGGGATCGACTGCCTGCCGCCACAAATCCTACAGAACCCTGAGCCTGCTGTTCCCTGTCCATTAATTTTTTTGAAGGCTGCCAATTGATCCTTCCCATCCTCGTCACATGAAAAAGGCCCCCGTCATTCAAAGCTTCCCATACCTATTCATTCAGCCTCTCGACAAGCTTGCTCGTACCACACGCGTCACTCAGCAACCAACCACATCAGATCTGCCATCATGGTGAGCAACCCATGCCCTTCCACTCCCCTCCCCTCCCCCAAATCACCCAATCCCCCCCCCCCCAAGATATACACTACTAACGACCACGACCAAACAAGGCCCCAACAGCCCCAACAAAACGCAAATCCCTCCGCGCAAAAGCAACAGAGCGCCTGGCGAACCCCCTGGCCCCGCGCAAGACCCACCGCCCCCAGGCGCAGGTCTCCGAGTCCTTTATAGAATCCAAGCGCGACAGGCGGCTGATCAAGCACTCCTCCTTCGTCTCGCGCATCACAAAACCATCCTCGACCCGCCTGACGCCAACCCAGCGCAAGAACCTCAAGCGCCGCGCAAAGGCCCGCGAGTCCGCCACGAACGCCGCCACGAACCTGACCTCCCTGTCGGACGCCCTCCCCAGCCTGACGGAGGACGAGGTCCGCGCGGGCGAGACCCAGGCCGCGGGGCGGGTGCGCCACAAGTCGCTCAAGAGCACGCCGGGGGCCCTGCGCAGGAAGGAGCGGCTCGTCCGCGGCGAGATGGAGCGCTTCGGGCTGAGCCTCGCGCAGCTGAGCACGGTGCGGGAGCAGCCCGCCCCCACCCCGGCAGCGGCTGAGGGGATGAACGTCGAGGACAAGGACGGCGAGGAGGAGAACCGCGCGCCCGTGCAGAGCACCGCGGGCCGGTTCGCCGCGCTGCGGGGGTTCATCGCCGCCACCATGGAGCAGAACCCGGCCTTCTCGAGGCAGAACGGACTCGCGGGGAGGACGGGGTGAGGAGGGGCTGGCTGGTTGGTTGCGTGGCTGGTTGTGGGTAGGAAGGAGGTATGACTGACTCTCAGCACCCACGGCCGACATGCATCATCATCACATCTGATCCCGCAGTGGGCGGTCCCGGCTTCATCTCTGGTCTTCTGGCCTGGCCACGCTAGTTTCCCTTGGTCGTCCTTCTGCCGCTGGATGCAGCCGGACATCTCCAGGGTCTGCCCAGCGGTACAGCTGACGGATAAGAGAGTATCACATAGGAGGGTATGTCGTAGGAGGGATATCCCGCAGGAGATTACGCTACAAGAAGGCGTCCCATAAGCGGTCGTCCCACAGGAAGTTGATCAGGGGATGTGGATATTGTGGCCGGGTGGTAGACACCCGAGCAAGGCTCATCAAGCAATACTGCAGACGATTTTTATCACCTCAATCGCAAGTAGAGAGGGTAGACCAATCCAGGCCAAAAGTCGGCCATGCAGACCGTTGCTCTTTATTCGGATCATCATATCCATCCTACTACCCAAGCGTCCTCTACAGAGAATATGGGCGCCAAGCTTCACGGCAGCGTGAAGCGCCTCCCTTCTCACGAGAGCACAACTGCCAAAGACACGGAGGATACCTTGCCCTCAGGATCCCCTTGTCCCCCACCTCGGCCATAGCATCACCAGTCCGGTGGAATGACACACAAGTTGCAAGATGAAGAAAAGACGCCCCTGCCTATTCGCCAGCCAGTCCTCGACTTTGGTGAGAAGCAAAGCGGATAGCCCCATGATGACCTTGCCGCTGTTCTCGTATGACGTGCGAAATCACTCGCTTGAATATCGATTCTCTCAAACGCCCGCTGCTGAAATCCTCATGCCCAAAACTCTTCCCCCACCACCCAATTCCGGCTTGCGTTGTGCCACGACGGTCGGAGTACTTAATGGTGTGAGCGCACAGGCTCTCGCGTGTCGCGAGTAGTGTTTACCCATCAGAAAGCAGTGTGGGCCGCGCCAACACCTTCCGGCTCCAGAGACAGTCAGTCATGCACATATCCATAAAACCCAGGGCCTCTTGGGAAGCTGGATCGCTCCTTCCATTCGATGTCGGGGTCCCGTCAGAAATGCTGCTTCGGGAACGGTTTACTAGTCGATCCGCGGGGCGCCCTCCTGCTTCGGAAAGGGGCTGGCGCTTCGGCGCCTCTCACCCTCCTTTCGTAGACTCTCGATGATCTTGATCATCTCCTTACGAGCGCCTGAGGCATCAATCATCTTATTCGACATGCTCATGGAGACTTTCTCCCGGGCGTTCGCGTTGAGGAGGCGCTTGACCAGCAGGTGGCGCATGAGGATGCAGACAAACACGCCGCAGTCGTTGCCGTTCTCCTGCTGGGGGCAGTCGGTGATGTTCTGGAAGCGCAGCGGCATGCCGAGCAGCGCCGCCATCCTGTCGCTGGCGCGTGCTCCCTCGCCCGAGTTGGCGCCGCCCAGCGAGTCGTAGTGGAAGGAAACCCCGTCGATCTTGGACACGAGCAGCAGCGACCAGTGTGACCCGTCAGGCTGCGTCCGGCTCACCGCGTCGTTGACAGGCAGGAAAATGTGTGTGACCTTGGACATGTCTGGCAGGGCAGTGCGAATTGACGCCGGGTCGTTGCGCATCAGTAGGTACGTCATGGATGGCCGCAACAAGCAGATCCGAGCCTGAGGGTATTTGGGGAGGATCTCGTGCTCAAGCCACCTGGAGGAGGCGGGTGCGTCAGTACAAGCTGCAAGGTGTGCGGGACGGCGGGGCAGGGCGAGGCAAAGGTGAGGATGTCACGAACTCCTCCCAGAAATGGATGTTCTATCAAGACCACGTTAGCGTTGAGCCCTCGGGAAGGGGAGGCCACCCCCTTTTCTCGCACGTACGTTATCGGTAAGCCAGTCGTTGCGGAGGGCCTTGATATCCTCGTATGTCACTATTGCTTGTCAGCGGTACTGGTCGGTGGCTCGGAAGGGTAGCACCTGGGTTGTCGCATACGGCAGATGTCGTGGTCTGCGAAGGAAAGGTCTCGGTCAGCTCGGTATGACATGGCATGCAGCAGACGCAATGGCGGCCGGGATAATTGGACTCACATGACAGGTAGTGGGCGGTAGGCGAAAGCTGGTTGCCGTGGGTGTCAGTCATGCTGCAGCTGGCTCTAGTCACACGGGTGTGGAGTTTTATTCTGCGTCTAGAGTTGGTACTCTTGGCGCCTGGAGTGTGCGTATGGCTTGATCGTGGCGAGGAGGATCTGCCCAAGGATCTCATGGGCGAACCCGGAGAGGAGGGGGCAGAGGGGTAGGCGTGGGAGTTGCCAGTGGTGCGCCGGCTTGCCGCCCTCGTGCTCGTCCTCGTCCTCGCTCTCGCACTGGCCGTTGGTCCGGGGCTCTTGACGACGTTGCCGGCGTTACCGACGCGAGGGTCTGGAGAGCTTACTGTCTCGCCCCACCGGCGGGCCATCCTGTCTCTAAAGGGCATGGCGATGCGGACCTCTGCTACGGCCGAGGGTGAGGAGGAGGAAGAGGAGGAGGTAGATGATGGTAAATGGTGGGGTAGGTGGGAGTCGGCGCGACGAGGCACGACTTCCACGTGGGCCGGGGGTTGGGGGATAGGCGTGAGACGGTGGCAGAAGCGGGCTGATATCAAGGGAGCGAAGGCCAATATTAGTAGGAGTGCTGGTGGTGGTAGTGGTATTCCTAGTAGCACTTGAAGTAGCAGTATGATGGCAGGACGGATAGATGGTGCGAGGGCGTCGATCGCAACGAGTCCAAAGTGGCTTGGATTTGGGTCTTGGGGGGCTTATTAGGCCCAGAACACCCCGTTGCGCACAGCATTTGGTCTGGTGGCCCGTGCCTGCCTCTGCCGTTAGTGGGGTGGGCCGCTGGGGTCACTCGGGCCCACTTTGAGGAACACCTGCTTGAGTGTGATTTTCCTACATGTACCCAGGTACCTAGTTGGTTGACCTCCTCCTGCCATGGCACAACCTCCTACAAAGGATAGCCTGCTCTAGGATGACATGTATCTTTCATGTATGGCTGATGCTCTGGCTAGGCGGCTAGAACGTGTCTCAGCCTGTGTCTATTGGTCGGTGGTGTAGATGAACCTCGGATGTGGGGAACTTCCAAGAGTCATCAAGTCGAAAGGGCGTATCGGATGGATGTCGGCCTCCATCGACTGCGGCATCTAACTCGTAGCATTTTAAGCATTTTAGGCAACCCCCCAGTGATAGCCTCGGAGGCAGCCTTCTAGGAGAAGACAGAAGGTCTATGGAAGAGCGTCCTACTCCTCAACTCGAGATGCTCCCCATCCTGCTCACACATGCTGACAAGCCTTGAGGTGACGTAACGCACACCACAACCCTTCCCTCGCAGACAGTCAGGGTGCAACTGCGGGGTCCTCTGTCCCTCGCCTTTCGGGCACGGGTCTCGTCCAGTCTAGCCCGCCTGCCTGCCTAGCCTTCCCGAGCTGCCGTGGTAGGATCAGGTAAAATGGCCAAGCTTCCCCAGCTGAGTGGCACCTTACACTACACTAACACTAACACCTACTGTGTACGTACCCAGCACAGCCACTCCACGCCCGCGCAGTTGTTGCTCCACCAGCATCAGCCACCGCCGTCGCGATGCCCAAGTAGTGGACCACGTCGGCGCTGACCCGGGCTATGGCCCGCCGCCGTTCTTGGCCTGTTATCGCAGTGGACCAGCAACGCACCGTTATTGTTGTTTTCGGATGATATCTTCTCTCCTGCGGGCATCCCTTCCCACCGCAGCCTCACCAGCATTGCTATGAGTAGTGGGAGCGATAACATCTGCACTGAGGCACACCAGGCATCTTCTCCTCATCCCAGCGCGACCCGGAGCATGTCGAGCAACCCCAGCATGCGGAGACTGCTCGTGCCCGTAGTAAATAGACTGCCTGTTCCCCCGGAAAGGCCCTGGTTGACCACCACCCCCAGCGTGCAGGCCTGCTCCTTGCTAACCTGGCGGTGGCCTTCGTCCCCTATAAGCACCTTCTCGTATATCTGGAGGTTTGACCCAAGGGATGAGAGCGCCTTCCTGGGTAGCCTGGCCGCGAGAACTGCGGGCTCAGCTGTAGCTTGGTGTCGAATTGCCCACAAATATGGTTCCCCGGGGGGGTCACGTGAAAGATCCAAGGCAGCCTGGCAAACCTCAACCTCCAGACTTCACTTGTCATCACAAGGCTAACAGGCAGGAGCAGACCGGCCAAAAACACCAAAACACTTGTGCTCACACCAGCCGAGCAGGTACTGGTGAAACCGGACAGCAAACACCACCAACAGCTTGTACACAGGACAGTCGAGAAGGCACAGACGAAACCATCCAGCAAGATGCAAGCCAATCCGGGCTCGGCTCTAACGCAAGAGTCCGCCTCAGTCGACCGGGGAGATTTTGTGGGCTCTGATGAGGAAGACGAGGTGGAGGATGAGTCGGAGGACTCACTGCAGTATCTCTACGGCCTATACTATCCCGTGCGCATCGGGGACCTCTTCCACCGAGACCGATATCAAATTATTCACAAGCTCGGCCGTGGCGGTTTCTCCACAGTGTGGCTGGCGCATGACAGGCGAGATGGGAAGGATGTCGCCCTCAAGATCCTTAGCTCGTCTGAGAATGCTGCTAAGGAATACAAAATCCACGAAGCCATCAGGCAAAGGGTACAGGGTCGCTCTCGGCTGGTCTTGTTCCAGGACTACTTCACGCTGACCTGGGTGGACCGTTCCAAAACCGAGCGCAAGCATCATGTCCTAGTTCTGCCTCTGCACGGCCCGAGCCTTTTGACGCTCTTGAACACAAGAAATAAGCCACTCTCGGAGCGCATGTCTGCCGCAAAGCAGATCTTACAAGCCATCGCTACCATCCACAGTGCTGGGCTGGTTCATAGAGGTGAGCAAACTCCTGGTTCCACTTCACGTACATTACTGACTATCTATCTCACCAGATATCGTCCTCGGTAACGTCGTGTGTGGCCTGAAGGTAGACCTCGGGAAGAAGTCTGTAAATGAGAAGTACCAGCTTCTCGGTCGGCCGCGGAAGGCAAAAGCACTTTGGGAGGAGGACCCCGAAACAGGCAAGGACGTGATCCTCGGGGAACTGGTGGCACCGGCCACGTTTCCACCTGCCCTGGTCGGAGCAGATGCATACCTGTGCGACTTCGGCATTCTCGTCCCAGCTGGCACCTCGGTGCGAAACAAGCTTCAGTCACAGCCAGTCTACTGCGCCCCTGAGCTCTTCCACAATATTGAGCCTAGCTTTGCCAGTGACGTCTGGAGCTACATGGTCCTGTTCTTATACCTGTACACGGAGAATTCAGTCTTTGCAATCGGACCGGGTTTTGCGGGCGTACTTAACTCCATTGTCGATGGGGTGGGTTTGCTTCCGAAGGAGTGGAAGGGACGCTACGAGGCTTACGATAAAGCAAAAGCCAAGGAGGCGTGGTACGGCAGGGGTTCGCCAGCGAAGAGCATGTTTAGTGCTTTTCTGGATATGCACCGGCCTGATATAACCGCAGCTGAGAAGGCACTCGTGCATTCGATAATCCAACAGGTCTTTCGTCCAAGGCCGGGAGATCGCGTCACGGCCGTGGGGCTTATGGACAATACGGATTTCAAGGCGCTGATGAGTATTTATGGAGTGCATTAAGGGGTTCAGGGCATAGGGTCATATGAGTTATCATTTCCTGGCTTGTGAACCTAGCCGGCGGATGAGAAGACGAGACCAGCATGTTTCTATAACTAGACGCCCACGATGAGTTAGGCCCCTAGTCTGGAAATAAGAGCAGGCTGTCTTTCGGGGTCGAAGGTACTTAGACGGCCTTATTGTTGACATGTGTCCCTGCAAGGTGCCCCTCCAGCCCTGAGCATCCGGCCTCCAATCCATCAGTCTTTGCTATCTTGCCTCTTCTTACTCCGCCGCCCGCCATTGTCAGGTCAAAATTAGCCAGGAACTTATTTCCCCGTGCTCAATCTCTCCAGTACTCTCCGCTCCGATGCCCGCACCATCTCTGCCATTCGCAAAGCACCCCGGGATCTGCAGCTTACTGCGCCACCAGTCGCTCGTCAGACCCATGTGGCTGAGGCAGGCAGGCTACTGTGCCGAGGCGAACTTGGACAAGCCTGTGCTGTCAATCTGAAAATCCCCGTCAACTCAAGCTGAAAATCTCCGTCAACGACTCGTATTGCCCACACTCTCCGGACCATCTACCCCACTCATTGATGTTCCCTGGCCCAAACTACATTACTGCCTGCCACTGGTGGGGGTGGTCTACATTATCCCGAGCACCTCCAAGAGGCTCTCTATGCACAATTTGGAATCCGTCCTGTTTCACTCAATACCACCACCGTCAAATCGGATCACACCGTCCGCCACACCCGGGAGATGGATGGTGTCGCAACAAGCTTATAGCCGTCTCAGGGATCTGCCAACCGCCAACCTTAACAGCAATAAGCACAAGCTGCTGTATTTCGCAGCAGCATTTCCCGGATGGGCTCAGTTCTGAGCCGAGCATCACTCACTGGTGAAGCGAATATCGTCTTGCATTGAGAGATAGAAGCCACCCGTCAACATGCCCCAAGCTAAACTTATCATACTGTCCACCACCACTGGCCATAATTGTGAACACCCACATTACCATTAGAAACCCACCACTCGATTCAAGCTCGCCACACCTTCCCTGCAAATTGTATTGCACAAAGGATCCGGGCCCTCCGGCTCTCAATCACGAGTGCCGCATCCACGTGCGTTTCGCCAAGCAAACACTGACAGGCGCGCCTGTTCCTGAACTGAACTGCGATGCCCCTGGATAGTCCCGGGATCAAACATCCCTGATCCTCTGCTTCAATTGCTGCAGGCGATTGGCAGGCGAATCCTTCGCCATGTCGACCATTATTGTGTCAAGGTCCACTGACTCCAGCTGGCCCAGCACCCTCTCAGTGACCTGCTGGGCTTGGCCGTAGGCCTGGAGACGTCGCAGTCGCTCCTGCTCTTGCTGCTGAATGACAAGCACTTTCTCCTTCCGGTGCTTCTCTGCTATTCTTTCCACCACTCGTTGGCCATCGTTTCTGTAGTCCTCAACCACATCGTCGATCGATGATTCGGTTGCTTTCAGGCCTCGCAAAATAGTCTGCCCACGTCAGTTAGTTGGGCTGGATTCCTTATTGCATCAAGGGTTTCAGCTCACGTTGACAATCTTGTGCATCGTCTCCCCAAGGGTCTCGGCGTATGGCTCCGTTGCCTTCTTCCAAGCACGTGTTCTTTCCTCCAACTCTGAGGTCTTGCTCTGCTCAAATGCATCATTAGGCCAAGGGCCCTGCACCTCACCATGGGCAAAGCTCTTTCCACGTTCGTCACCCGAAGCCAGTGGGTTGGGTGCTCGTTCATCCTCTGACTCCAATGCTGCCCGCATCCTCTTTCCCATGTCATCCATTTTCTGGTTTCCCACTGGCGTTGACATGACTTCTGGGGCACCGGAGCGGGCTTCACTTGCATGATAGAATGGAGCGGCAGATTGGCGAGGAACAGCAGCCCTGCCCGATGCGGCCTGTGCTACGGGTCCAACTTGACCAGCATCATGATCTGCCGACTCGCTATTGATCAAGCGCTGAGTAAACGCCGATGCTGCGAAAAGTTTGCCCTTCCTGATTGAGCCAAAGATGTCGTCACGGCTCTCGTTATCGGCCCCTCGGTTGAGACTGTTTAGTCCACCAAATGGGTGTCTGTCGTGATTGGCGTCTCCGTGGACTCGGACTGGGCGGGCTGAAATGTATCTCGCCTTCTTCATGGGCGGCCCCTCGCTTTCTGATGGAACGCCTGCCGAGCTCTTCCGCAACGTGGGAAAGTCCCTGTACTGGAATTCAGTTTTCGACATCAGTGGTTGTTGGTCAGCCGACACTTTTGGGGCAGTGGTCAGCACAGGAAACTTTCGTTTCGTCAAATGCGGTAAGTCGTTTGGCGCATCTTTGGGGAGGCTGCGAATGTTGGGATCAACTTCCCCCAGCATAGTGCGATGCTCTCCTATCTGCGGGTACTTAATTTTCTCTGGGAGTGGCTCAAGTACCTCTCTTCCCCAGGTGCCGTCAAAGTCATGCGCCGCTCCATGCTTCTGCCGACCGTAGGAATGTGCTACCGCATTCATTGCGTCCTCCACTACTGTGTCATCTTCGGCGTCGCCAGGGACAAATGTATCAGTCGCGTCGGCCCACTCAGCTTCATAGTTGGGCTCCGTTGTCTCCGCATCGGAATGCACTACGGAGGTGTTCTTGTCGGCTTCAGGGGTTGCCCGGTCTGGAATCACCTGACCCCCGTTCGGCTGGGTGTTGCGTGAAGATCGGCTCTGGCCGATTTCGCAGTTTTCGCTGGGACTGCCTTCACTTTCGACTGTCGTCTTCAGGCGCATTCTAGGGGCGTTCTGGCTCTCCTTTGCCGTCCTCGTCTTGCTGGGTGCAGATTGTCCCCCCTTGCTGGGACCGAGCCTCTGATCTTCCGACCGCAAGTCCACAGTCGTTGTTGTCTTTAGCGACTTGCCGTTGTTCTTGGGATCATCATGTCCAATAGCAACGGTATTTGGGTTGCGGACCAAAGTTCCAGTCAGTTTGGCCGGTGCCGAGGCTTGCACAACTTCATTCGTCTTCCCCTTTCCCGTAGACCTGGCTTTGGGTGGCACAGCAGCATCCCGCCGCACGTGGCCTTTGTCCTTGTTAATTTCATTAGCTGCGGCTGTCTGTTTCGCAGTCGAGATCATTTCCTCGGGTTGCTTATCGGACGGCCACGTCTTGGCTGACATCGTCTTGGTCGGCTCCGTCTCCTCCGTTGGTTCCGAGGTCGACTTCACTGGCGCTGCAGCACCATTGGACTTTCCAGCTGCGGCCTTTGTGGTTGACTTCTTCGACTGTGCCCTTGATTGCACTCTAGGGTTTCGTTGGTGACTTTCGTCTTTCGCTTGGGGTCGCTGCGAGTTCGAGACCGGAGCTGACTTGTCCTCGACTTTCGCGGCAGCTTCTTTGCGGGCCTGACTTTGAGCAACAGCGGCCCTCGTTCTCCGGCGAGCATTGGCTGGTGTCATCTTTCTAGTACATTCAAAGTCTTCATCGTCTGTGTTGTCCGACTCTGGGAACGAAGAAATAGATTCAGATGATATCGTGATGTGGTCTTGGCCCTCCTCGTTGACAGGTGAGCTAGGTTTGTGGGCCCGGGGGCTCACTGTCTCACGCAATCCCGCTTCATGAGGCCCTGGGTTGAGACCAGAAGGCTCATGCTCATGCTCATTGTTCTCGCATTCGTCCTCTGGCGCATCTGTTTGGACCTCTGAGTTCATGTTAAATGATGGATCAGGCGCAGCTTTCGCCTGCTTTGCACGATCTGCTGACGGCCGTTTCCCTTGCTTCACGGGGGCTTTCGAATCTTTCTTCGCTGCCCGTGCGTTGGCCTTGGGCTCCGCCTTCTTCGCAGCTGAACTCCTGGGCGCGGGTTTCTTCTTGGCCGGAGACGTCGCAGGAGAGCTGCTGTTGGATGCGGGTAGCGAGTAATCATGCTCCTGAGGCTTGCGGTCAACCGGGCTCGCTGTCTCTGTATCACCCTCCAATTCAAGCGCAGGCAATTTCGCTTTGTTAACAGCAAGGGCCTTCCTCGCTGCTACCTTGGGCTTGGACGCAGTCTCTTTGGTAGTGGCCTCACGTTTTGCCCGTGCCGGTGTCGTCCCCTGCCCTGCCGATCCTGGCTTCTGGGTCTGCTTCAGGTGGGACGGCTTCTTCGAAGCTACTGCCGCTGGAGGGGGTTTCTTGAGCTCCTCGAAAAGCCCGAATGGATCAGTAGAATCAGGTCTACTGCTCCTTGGGATGGGTATGGGTTGAGCGGATTGAGGTGGCATGTGGGCGGCTTGGGATGCACGAGGAGTTGGGGAATCGATGTTGAAACTACAGTTGCTCTCTCCATCCAGTGCTAGATCAGGTTCCGAAGCAGTGGAGTCAAATTGTTTTCGATCGTCGAACGGATCTTGTGGATCGGCATTCACGTCATTGCTGTACTGCTCTTCTGCTCCCTGACCGGTGTTGTCATCGTCGTCATCAAGGAAAGAGGCTTTTGCGATCTGCCGGACTTGACTGCGGCGAGGATTGGTGTATGACTCCTGTGTGGCAATCGGGGACCCGAATCCAGCTGATTTGGGAGTATAGAGGGGCAGTAATTGTTCGGGGTCTGGTTCTTGGGAGTCCTTTACGACTCCCGGGCCTGGGGTGTCCATGACGAAGAATGTGCTTCAGTCGGCCTGTAACCAGACTATCTGGAGAAGGCGTGGTTGAGAGAAGCTGCAGGAAAGGGTAGAGAGATGCTTATCGGCCACCACAGGAGATTGGGGGCCTGCAGTTCACAGAAGGATGCTTCCTTGGTTTGATGGGTGGGATGACTGGTGTGAGATTGCAGGCACAAGAAGAGAAGAATGGGTCAAGTTTGGTGGGAGTTCACAGGGTGCAAGCCTTTCGGACGGGTGTTCGGCAAGGTGATGTGCAGGCAAGCTGGCAGGTGTGCAAGAGTGGCTGATCCGAACGGAAGGAGACTGGGTACCTTGGTACCTTGGTACCTCAAGGCATCCATCCCAATGGACAATTACTGCTGTGCTATTTCTTCCTTTTCTCCACAGTCTGACTGCTCTCCCCTACCTGCTGCTTGTGCATCAGGTTTGCATCAGGTTTTACCTTGCCTTTGCCGTACACGTAACAATGCCCCTTTCGTCCGCTCAGCCAACGTGGCCCTCCATAGCCTCGTCTGGTTCAGGATGAACATCTCGCCCTCCCTTCCGAAGCAGAAGTTAGCCACACCTCCCCTCATCCTCACTTTACGACACAGCACGACTCCTGGTGCCCACACGTTGATACCTTCCCCAGATCCACTGTTAAAATTCCTGTCCACACCGCACTTGATCCTGTTTGGCACGTCTGACCTCAGCCAATGCGAACACCAGGCGATTCATGAGAAACGGCTGACCAGAGTACGTCCACACGTCGAGAGCATATCTATGAGCCAGTAATAAGCATCTGCCTCTCTGGTCTTTTCACATGCCGCCGAATGACCTCACCACATGGTAGACGGCCTCTTCCATTCTTTATCCCAGTTGCCGTGGATATAATCGGTGTCGGTGATGTAGAGCATCGATTTAAATGGGCTGCAGCAGATCCCATTCGGCCGGCCAAACCATCCTCGACCGCCCTGATGCTGCTCTTGCCTTCGAAACACCCCCCTTGGGATCGAACCGACAGGCCTGATGCGACAGGGTTGACGTCGGCTGGATCCCTTGCGCGTGTCCGTGAGGCGGATCTGTGAACCAGATCGACCAGTCACTGTGCACAACCACGTCGCTGACGCTGTTGAAGCGACTTCCATGGAAGAGAATCCACAAGAGCCCGCGTCTTTTACGGAGGCCGGGCTTCCATGGGCGCTCCCTCAGGGTCCATCTCCTCCACCTCAGCCGTCGTCCTGGTCTTGCCCTGTGGCGCAAAAAGGACTGGCTGCTCCGACTAAGGATCGCTGATCAAGATAACCGACTGACGTGACATTGCCGTTCCACCACTACAAACCCAGCTTCTCCTCCGCATTTTCAGGCCCTTTTCTTTTGTTCTCCGCTGTGTCTCTCTCTTGACGTCTATAGTTGTGTACGGACAACGGCCGAAAACGTCGGTGCCGAGATGCAAATCTCGCCGGGCCGATCAAGCTTAGGGCTTCGGCTTCCATTCAACCGCGCGACTGTTCAAACATGAATCTTCTTGTTCATGTGCGCAAAATATTTATACAAATCATAAGACCTGAATTCGCACCCTGTTCACAAGGCCACCAAGATGCGGCTCAATAATAAATGTCATTACCTGCACTTCCTTCACCATGCAGTGTGCTCAGAGAGGCCTCGATGGAGAATGGTTTAATAATTGTTGGTGAGTTTTGAATGAGTTCGCGGAACTCGAAAGAAAACAACAATTCGTGCCGGGCCGTACATCCAGCGTCTGATTTCCCGGATGTCTCAGCAGAGATGCGTCGCCTCCTTCCCAGCTAACTGCCCAGTTAGGCCACCAGGACCAAACCATTGCCTCAGATCCAGTGATAAGCGAATGATAGGTGTTGCAAGGAGAAAAGCTGCCATCCACGTCGAATCATCCTGTTTCTAGTGGCGCAGCTGGACATGCCGAAGATGGCTGTCAACGCCGCCTCAAGCAGCATCACATCAACGCAGCTCATGCTCATGAGTCTCGTCTAGTTAACGAAGGAGAGACGGACACTCTGTCCCAGCCCCGTTCTTCACGCAATTGACCCAATCTCCGTAGACTCCATCGCAGTACAGCACCAAGCGGCCCTGTTCGTCCAGTCCGATACCGAGGAATTCATCTATTGACGCCGTCGTTAATCCAAGCCGGAATATCGCGCTGTACCCACGTAGCCTTCCGGTTTCTCCAGCACCTGATTTGAGCGGTGGTTTCCAACTTACTCATATCCATCAGAGTGACCTTTCGGTCAGTGGCGCTTGCATTCAGACACGAGCACTGCAGGCTGGTGCGGTTGCACGTGTCACACAGGTAAAAGCCCACATCACAGTTGCAACTACTCAATGCGCCGCCGCTAGATAGAAAAGTAAAAAGAATAATCAGCAAAGAGGTCTTCTACGACGACATGGGAGGAACTCACTGCGCCCTCGGGACCAAGTTGCCATTGTCGTTGTACAGACACTGGTCAATGTTTATGTGTGAGGCAAACAAGGCGGCTCCCATCTTCTGGGCGCCTCTGGGGTCGGGCGCGCAGTTGCCCGAGACCTGGAGCACGTCGCCCTTCTGATCGAGGCTGTACGAGTCACAGAAGTCGGAGAAGCCGTTGACGCGGACCGGGAACTTGGTCATCCTCGGCTCCGCGACTGCAGCTGCGGCACTGCCGGAGACTGCGATAAGGCTGGCGAGAAGAATGCTGAAGGCTTGCATGGCTAGGAATATGCAACAAAACTTTTGGCAAAAAATGATTTTGAGAACAAGGTTTCGGGAAACAAACAGGTAGTGTCCAGTCAGTCAGATGCCACCCGGGGCTTGTCCAGGTGTCGAGACGAGGGGGAATATATTGACTTCAAGCACGGCTTAGAGCGGTAACCATTCCCTTGCCCTTTGCGGGACGGAAATGGGTCGGACCTGGGCCTTGGATCCGTTGCCGCCCACGTTTGGTATCTTTGGTCTTGTGGGCAGCTGTCCTCAAAAGACCATTGAGTGATGCAGCAGGTTGGCGGACTGAACAAAGGAAACCTTGGCTGCAGGGCCGGGCTGAGATATTGGTGCCATGAAAGACATACCATGCCGTGCATGGGGCGGGAAAAAAAGTTGTGATTTCAGCCTATGAGAAGTTCACAGGAACATAGGGTCTGATAGTCAAGCGAAAGCATCAAAACTTCAGCACAAGTCTTCCGGAAGGATGCCGATAATGACGTTTAAGCAGTTTGCGTTCAGCACAAACACGGGGGCAGTGTGGCTGTTGGTAGGACTTGAACGTAAGTTCGTTGATAACTGGCATGTGTTCGTTGGTGGTTGTTGCTAAGTTCCGAAGAGGACCCTCCGTGGATGAGCAACCCGCCCAGATCTAAGCCTAAAATTCCTTCCACGTAGCAACAGGGGGAGAGTACTTGAGGACATTCGCAATTTCACATTGGCTGGCAGTAAGGAAAAGGAAAAGTCTAAAAGCCAAGGACACCAACAATTTCTATTTCTAGAACTCCAGACACACTCGCACTACGGGACAAATGAACTTCTAAAAACTATTGGGCTGCGTATTGTGATTACCCCTACATCATTCCAAGGTTACTTAGCCGGAGGCGTGCGAAGAATACTGACCAAATTCTGATACGCTGCCAGAGGAATACCGTCAGAGCCGTCTTGTTGAGTATTAATCCCATCAAAAGAAGAGAACGCACCATCAGACCTCAGCTCGATCTTCAAGAGCCCAGCGGGGTGGGACCAGAAAGTGAGTTCCCCGCCCAGGCGCTCGCACATGCTTTCAGCCTGCCCGATGAGGAGAAGCGCACGCCTGCACCTGTCCAGGCCCAGCCCAAGCTCCTCCTCAGACGACGTGTATGAGTCCGGGTCGACGACGGAGATCCACGAATGCAAGTCTGTGAGGCCGAGCCACTTTGCGCGCTCGACGCGGAGCTCGAGGTCCTCCAGCGAACCCTGGTTGGCCTCGAATCCCGGAGGACAGACCTTGTCACTCTTACCAAATGTAATGTGGAACATGAACTTGTCGAACCGCTCAACGAGAGACCCATCTGGTGGGTCGCTGTACCGCCCCTTAATTGCCACGACCATGTCAATCCAACTCCCGACTTGAAGAGAAGGATTCGCGGACGGCTGGTATGCGACAAGGCGGTCCCTGTTCTCGGCCCCGGAGAGGATCTCGTTCAGGAACACGGTCATCGACATCTTGGAATGTTATCGAATATCAAAGGTGTTTCCAGAGTGTTTGAGTGGTGATGTGGATGGAAACTCGCATGATAACAAGAAAGTTGTGTCTCGAGTGAAGCTCATCTACCCATTATATATCCGGCACCGTATTGAATGAATGCAACTCTCTACTTGTTTCAACAATGGGAATATAATGGGCTTGTCACTAATAAATTACTGGTATCTTTGTTCCTCGTGAAATCGTGACAATGACTTCTCTGGTGATCACGGAAAGGAAACAAAGCACGGAAGGGCATTCGTCCATGCTCCAATTTTCATGGCAAATTGTCTGGTCAACGCCCTACACCAGAGACAGTCTGGTTTCTCCGTCGCCCTGCACCACATCAAATCCCATCGCTCGTAATTTCTGTATCGCCTTTGCGCCTTCACCCCGTTCAAGCCTATGAGAGGCACACGGTTAGCAGTGAAGACAAATTAGCTTTCCTTCATCTGGTGGCCCATGCTGCCTCCCAAGCCAGAAGAGAATTGAGTGAGACACCAACGGGAATCTGGGATACTTACTGCTCCTTTAGAGTGTCGGCAGCCTTGACAAAAATCCCAGTATCGCCCTCCGCCAATGCCATGAAAGTCCAACCAACCAGCCACGGCAGCTGGCTCTCCCTCTCCATGTATTCAGGGCCATACCGCCTCAACAGTAAGGGCTCACAGCCCTCTCGCAACGCACGAAGCATACGCCAGGACGTGCGGTGCAGCGTAAGGTAAGGGAACGCCAGCGTAATCGACTCGGCGTGGAGTGCGAGGGTGAGGGCTCTGATGAGTCGGTCCGGGGGCATACGGGCGCCGGCAGCCGTCGTCTTCTTACCTACCCTGCCGGCGGCAATGTTCCTCTTGCGCTCACGCAACTTCTCCGGGTCGTCAATCTGGCCTAAGAGGACTTTACCGTCCTCGTCCTTCCCCTCTTCCTCGAAGAGGCTACAAGAGACAATCTGGTCGACGTGCTCGGGGGTCCAGTCCACCTGGCCCGTGTTGTGGACATAACGGTCGACGAACATGCCAGAAACGGGCGCGCAGTCCTCCTTGATACCGCGTGGTCCCTTCTTGGAGTGCAGGTCCTCGAGGTTACGCATACGCTTGTGCTTGATCTTCATGAAGGCGGACGCGGTGGTGCCCATCTGGAGGCAGAACTTCTTGAAGTAGTCCTGCGGGTTCTTGGGTAGCTCGGCGCCGACGAAAAAGCTGCCCTCGTTCAGAATCGTTAGCGCGAGGTCCATGTCCTCCCACGTCTCTGCCGAGGATCCGGGAGGCGACAGGAGCCTTTCCTGCTGTAGAGCATTGTAAAGGTGTAGCGAATAGGCGACCGAGCCCCATGCGTTGGCAACTGTGAGGCCTAAATCGTATGTCTGGGCGCGAAAATGGTAAAGAATGAGGCCCGAGAGCACAGGCGAGTATTTCAAAATGCGATGGGCGGGCGCAGTGATTGCCGATTGACCGAAAACCTTCGCCTTGACATTGTGCACAGGATCTTCCTGGACCCACTAAAATACAGAGTGTTAGCTGTCTTGATTAAAATCCAATTTGTAAGGACCTCTCGAAGTGTGCAAGCTAGTTTACCTTGATCTTCTCTCGAAGCTGCCTTATCATCTCGTCGTTCGACGCTGGCCAGTGCTTGATGCGGAGCTTGGTATGGAAATCTAGGTGGAGTCTGAGGTCTTCGTCCATGATTCTGATGTTTGACATGCACTTTTCGTGTGCTGAGTAAACCTTTTCCCGTAATACGTGATGGATATCGAGAAAGACTTGGGCCGTGAAGGCCAGATACATGGGGATTTCTCGGGTGCGGTCGAGCTCTTGCATGCCGCGAATGAACTCGTCACAGACAGGGTAGTTCGGAATACATCGAGCAACGGTCACAAGCTCGCCAAAGACCTCCATCATCAGAACCTTGTCCTGTTTGAACTTTTCTTGGTTGGTCATTGAGTCCCAGTCCCGGGTCGGGTCATATGTACCGAACGTGCCCTCTTTGTACAGACGCAGGTCTTTAGGATCCAAGACAGTCAGGAAGCTCGTGATCATGATGAATGGGATCATGTATGTATCATTTGCGATGTCGTAGGTGCCATAGTTGAACTCATTGGCAGGGTCGGTAATTTCGTCCTGCGTATGCTTTTGATTAGTATGCGGAGGGGCAATACTCCTGTGCCGTATGCTTTTGACAGGATAAGCCAACTTACGAGAAAGAACCCGTTGTCCAAACACTGGCATAGATAGAACTTGCTTGCGATCTCTACTGGTCCTCCGTGCGCCTTGAAAATCGGTGCCATGTCCTCCATCAGGTTACGGGCGAGGTCGCAGGCCGTGTTCGTTGCAACAGCGGCAGATGCCGGCTCGGAAAGACCATCCCGATAATTAGCCCATATCCATCCAATTCGGGCCCGAATCTTGGTTAAGTCGTCGATCATGAGAGCATATGCAAATAGGGCCTCCTCCATATCTTGAATTGGCTCGACGACATATGTGGCGTTGTCATCCTTGACCGGTACTGGTCTCTTGATATCAGGGGCGTTGAGGAACTCTTCAGACGGTTCATAGACGCTCAGACCTGCAAACCTACCGCCCACCTCGTCTAGAGTGTCTGAGGGGTTGCGGGGATTGGCTGCGTCCTGAAAAGCAGGTGGAACTCGTGGCTTGAGGACTTGTCGAACCTGCTCCAGGACCCCGACAAAGTAAGAGTGCTTGGAATTGGCGTCATCAGAGGGGGCGCTGCCGAGGTCAGCAAGTCGACCGCCAAACGCAGACCGCGTGGAAATGACACGGTTGAGTGTATGAGCGAAAGCCAGTGGAACAACAACAGGCTTCTTGGATGCTGCCACACACTCAGCGAGCGGAATGAAGTCTTTGATGGCAATGGTGTAGTCGGGGCGAGCGGGCCGCGACGAAGAGCCCTGTGACTGTGGAGCGGCAGCCTTCGCCTGCTTCCTGGCTTTTCCCTTGAGGCGTTTGGACGTCTCAGGGGTAAGCGCCTGAGAAGAGCCGCCAGAGAGCAGGTCTGCGGGATAACCGCATGACTTGGCCGTGGACGCAAGCCATGAAGCCACAGCATTCGTGTCTTGCTTGTACTGCTGATAAACACTGACAAGAGGGCCCGGTAGCATCTTGGCAGATGCGTAGGCTGTTGATGAGGGTGTTCTCGTAAGATCAAAACTCGGTTGCATTAGTTGACGTTTCGTTGGGTCACAAGATCTGTTCAACAAACGGTCCAGATTCCCCTTGTCTCAAATGGGCTGGAACAAGGACGTGGTCTTGAATATTCAAGATTGTCCAATGTGAAGAGACGGGCGAAGGAAGTGGTAAGAAGTAGATGGGGAGTAGAATGGGGCCAGGCTCTACTCAAGACTGCAGAATGGCTGTGTTGCTGTTTGAGCAAACGGGGTCTTAGATTGCTGTTTGAAGTCTTAGACCAGCCAGCGTACCTAGGTACCTAGGTAGTCTTGGTAGTGAAGGGCAAAGGCTGAGGGATAGCATGGGTCCCTGCAGGGCTCCTTATCGATAAGGCTGCCACACCTACACTGCCTCAAGGCCGAAGGAGCAAGCTTTCTTCTTTCTTTTCCTTACTTGGTAGGCCGCGGCTTTCTAGGCAGCGCCGCCGTCAAGACGGTGCCCCTTAGCCTTGTCTATGTCGCAAGGCTGAGTCCACAAGCACCTATCGTATTACAACCATAGTTATCGACATCGTGTCCTTTTCAAGCGCGTCTTGAGCGCTTACCACTGTATGAAGGCGTCATGTATGTCCTCGGACGTATACGGAATAGAAGCGAAACCATCCACCCACCCATATTCGTCTCTCAAACCAATGTTATACGCTGAACCGGCACCCCTCGCTCCCGCAAGGCTTCAGGGAACAGCCTGGGGTCGGAATTTATGACCTCTCCAGTATTTTTACTCCGGAACATGCTGTAAATGAGTGGATCATCTCGCGTCCTCTCCTTTTCAAACGCTTCCCACTCTGGTGGCAACGGAATATTTTGTAGGCGAGGGTCATCGCGCTGTTCACGCTGAGTGTCGTTTTCAACGTAAACAGGGATGAACGCTTCGAAATCGGGCCCATCATCTCGCGATTCGATGTGATACGAGCGAGGCAAAGGTCCAAGGATAGCCTCTCCGTCCATGATCCCATGAACGAAGCAGTCTCCAATCACTTGATACGGACCCCCAGACGTCCGCCTGAGTACAATTGGAACTTTGCATCCTAAGATGACAAAGATCATATCTCCTAAATAATAATTGGTCAACTTGCTCATGCAGATGGGGATGTTACGCCTACCCTCTTCCAAATTCCCACGACGACATATACCGATGTACCCTTCCACTGTAAAGACAACTCTTGAATCAAGTAGGTATTTCTGATTCATAGCCTGCCAAAAACTCGTAACCTCTTGGATGTCGCTATTGAAGCCCCCTTCTGTATCTGTTTGTCTGACAATCATTCTTAGATCATCCAGCGCAGGGCAGAGAGCACGGTCCACTCTGTCTTGTAAAAGACCAAGAGTGAGGCTATGCAGAAATGCTTCCAATAAGGTGCATCCTGATCGATACATGGTCGTTTCTAATTGATGGAGTCCTTTAGCTCTCAAGTAATGGATGACATCCATAAAGCTGGTAAAATCGGGTCTTTCCACTTTATGTATGGATGTAATAGCGATGCCATCGACTTCGAGTTTTCCAAAAGACGGTACATCAACACGCGCCATCGAGGGACCACTAGAAGAAAAGCCACTGGTGCGAGAACAACTAAATGGTATCGCCTTAGACCAGTCTGGTACCCATGTCGAGCCGCTGTCTTGCGCACCATTAGTTGTGCCGCAGTATTGTAGGAGCTCAAGGCGCTGGGTCTCTTTGCAACAAGCCAGGAAGGCTTGTCTGTACACATCAACAACCTCCTGGTTATAATCCACGTGGTTGAATCTGAACATGTTCGGAGGTATCAGATTGGTGAAAGCGTAGATTTTATCTTTCGGGTCCTGGCAGAGGCGATTGCGGTGATCGTATAAAATATCTTCGAACCGTCCCCCGACATGTGAAGCGACTCCGCACACAAGGGGCATCATATCCCGAAGTTCTGGCGGAATGCCTTCGCTCTTGTTCCACAGCGTCAAAATGGCTCGGCGAAATCCGGGCCAGGAGATTTCGTGTTGGCCACATTTGATAATCGATAGTGGGTTGGCTAGCTGAATCTCTTGCAGTATCCATGCCCTTTTGAACCATTGGCTTGAGACTAAGGTTTGAATTGCATCCCATTGGTTGTCTTTGTAGGGCAAGGGACATTGGTTCAGAAACCACTGCGGCTCTTGGCAATTATGAGCTGGGAAGCAATAGTTATCTCGGCTCCAGTCCACCTGCTGTCCTAGATATTCCAAAATCGAACAAGCCAGGTCGCATCCGGGAAAACCTGGACCAAGCCAAGCCACAACTCTTTGCGCAAAGTGGTAAATATCGCCCATTCGTTTGACTTGGTTGTTACGTTCGTTCGTATCATTTTGGTTGATGCAAATTGCGTCGATCCACATTGTTCGCGGCTCGCTTGGGTACCTGACGTGCCGTAACACTTCAGCAAGACTTTGACGAACCGTGAGCTGTCTTGGTCGAGACAATTTCGCAATGGCCCTCTTATCTGACTTCTCAGGATGTCTTCGTGGACTAGATTGCTGGGGATGTGTTTGATGCTCCTCCGCAACCGCAATTTCCTCGCACAACTCGGGGTTTCCCCATGTATACGACAGAGCTTCGTATCTGAGAGCTGAGATCCTCGGTCCTTCACAGTAAGAAAAGTCGTACCCGTCGTAGTTAGGATCCGGATGGGTCCAGCTTGGCCCGCCGGAGCTGGTGAAAACGACCCGTCCCTCCAGCGTTTCGAACGCGGACCATCCAACAGGGAGTGTTTCCCTTATCTCCTTGAGCGGAGGATGGCACAATCGACCCTCCTCAACGGGGGGAACAAGTTGTGCATGCTTGATATAGATAGAGATGGGGTCTCCGAACACTCCCGGCAGGATTGTGACCAAGCGGACCTCGCTGTCTGTGACGAGGGGAGCATAACGGTATCGAGACATGCCTACTATCTGCCAACACATACAGGGTGTAGGAGAGAAGTTATGACGAAGCTGTGGCAGAAATTTTGTCAAACATTATGGGCGCGAGATGCTCACGTCAGAATACAGTGCCTCAATACCCCACGTGTGGCGGTAGAAGGCGAATCATAGCAAGGTTAGAAATTAGGCGATGTGGACTGACGTCAAATGTGAAGGGCGGTCCGCCACGCGTCACGTCTCCGCCATCCGACAGAGTTGTGTTACACAGTGGGCAAGGACGTCTATAGGTACGTTGCCAAAACTGCACCATTTATAATCTGATCTACCACACATGCCTTATCATTGACTTACCGTACTGGTAAATAGGGGGGATCCACAAGCGTTGCGGCCCCCTGCAAGCGTTACACATACCACAAGAGTTACACCCACCACAAGAGTTATCCCCTTCCACAAGAGTTAGAGAATTAAGGCGTAAAAGTCACGTAAGAAGATTTTACTAATCTAAAAGTTACTCTACTTACCTAAACGTAAAGGCTAACCGAATAGGATTTCATTTCTAAGGCTATTTTAATCCCTCCCTTCCCATAGAAGAGTGCTATATTGCCCATCGGTCCAGTTAAGTGAGTTATTATCTCTAAGTCTAGCACTTCTAGCTGGGTGAGATCTTCGTAACTACCTCTTCATAACTACCTCTTCATACCTAGGGTAGGTAGGTACGTACCTACTTCTCTCCTAAAAAGTCCTCACATAACTTCTACACCTAAATTCTCTAACTCTTACGGAAGGGTAACTCTTACAATAGGCGCAAGTCTTGCGGTAGGCGTAAGTCTTAAAAACGAGGCAAGCCTTGCGGGCCCCCGCAACTCTTGCGGGCTGCCTGCAGGCCCCGGTACGGTAGCTATTTGTATTTCATGTACAGGAGGAGCTCTCTCTATAGTACCGACACCAGTTCTTAGGCTTTGGTCTGACCGCCTGGTTTAACAGACAATCTATTTACCTACCTAGGTATATTGTGCTGAAGAAAGTCTCAAGCCCATTCTCGGAGCTTCGAGACGGAAATTCGGCATCCTGGTCTCAAATAGACTTTATTAAATTTATAAGAGTTGTCATAGGGGGCATTTAATAGAGCAGGACGGACGCTATGTTTTACCGCTCTAGTACAAGTTGAAAGTTGTACTACTAGTAATGAATCCACTTCATTTAAGCTCTTCCAGCAATGAGTTTCTGAGCAATACTTGAGAGCTTCGCCTCTCTTATGTCCCTCCCGTGACAATAACATCACACCGGAATCTTGAAGCCAGTGGCTCTCAGCTTCTGGAAGACCCCATCCGGATCCACCCCGTCGGCGACAGCCCTGAGGAACGCCACATTCTCCTCGCCGTACCACGCGATCGGGTCCTGGTCCCCCCAAGCGTAGTTCAGATACCGCCAGTCCTGGTACACCCCGAGCTCCCTGGCGTGGGCATCGATCTCCCTGCGGAACACCTGCGCGAGGGGCAGCATCCTCTCCTGCAGCTCGGGCGACCCACACGTCAGGATGAGGAGCCAGTTGGTGGCGGGCCCGTCAGCCACCACGTCCTCGAGCCCCATGAGGTTGCCCCCGCTCTGCTGGCTGTGCCTGACCATCGACTGCGTGAAGGGCTGGAACTGCGCGAGGATGTCGTAGGTGACGTTCTGTCCCGTCTCCCGCACCAGCTCCTGCGCTATCCTGTCGAACTCCGCGCCGTATGTCTCAAACGTATCGCCCAGGTATTCCACCATGCCGAGGTCGTTTTGGAATGAGCCCGTGAACCAGTTGGCGCTGCGGTCCATTTTGTGAGCGTCCAGGTGAAGCCAGGCATGCGCCTTGTGTGTCAGGCCAGGGGGTACTTACTACTGCCCCAGTGGCGTGGGACCGCTGAACTCGGGGACTATCTCAGCCACAGGTGCGACGCGGGAGGTGCTGCTGATGTTCTCTATCTTCCTGTATTCATCAAAGGCCGGGGCGTCGCTGACGGCGTCGCTGTTCGTCAAGATCGCCCGGTATGCGTACCCCCTGTGTGGTCCCCAGGACATCCCCACGATGTTCTGGCTCGCCGGGTCTCGGTCCATGCTGTCGGTGAAATCGACGTAGGCGCCAAACACACTCTTTCTGTCCGAGGCGTTGTACATAGTACTACCGCCCCACATATCCGGTGTGTTGACAGCCTCTGTGAAGCATTCATCAGTCCCAAAATCTCCACACGGCGATCGGAATGGCTCGTGGACTCACTTTGATCGATCCTGGTGACAAATCCTAGGTTACCGGAGCCACCCTTCTGAGCTTTGAAAAGGTCAGGGTTGGAAGTCAAGTTGGCGTTGACCACCGTGCCGTTTGCGAGCACAATCTCGAAATTGGTCACACTATCACAAACGAAGCCGAGGGCATTGCTGTGGAAAGAGTACTTCCCGGATCACAGTCAATAGAAGATTTCGGTGAAATAGAAGTCAGAAGTGACTTGGTCACTTACACCGCCGCCAGTCACAAAACCCCCGACGCCAACGGCTGAAGATCGGCCGCCAACAGTGGTGACTTCCCAGCCATCTTTGAGCGTCGTGTAGACCGCCCCCCACGTAGAACCAGGGCCTATCGAAGCGATATTGGTGATTTCGTCGTACGTTGTCGTGTTCATGTAGCCTAGAAACAGCACACAAATCAGCCAAAACGCGACGTGGTCGATAGAATCTCTCTCGACACTCACCAAAGTCAACTGTGATGCCATCTCTGACGCCATTGGACCCCTTGAAAGCCGAGTGAGCGCCACTGCGAATGCCAAACGGACACTGATGCTCGGATATGACCTTGGCAACGATCGACACATCTGCCGTGGTCTTCGGCAGGACCATGCACCAGGCGGCCTGAGCAGCGTTGGAGGAATAGTAGGTCTTCAGACGCTGGTCGTAGGCCTCCGTATCGGGCATGAGCACCATAGAACCAAGCTCAAGGTCGTTGGCGAAGGCGGAACACTACTTCGGGTGTCAGAACACTCAATTCTAGACGCTGCCAAATCTGGGAGGATGCTGGAACAGACGCAAGAGTCCTCTGGGCTGCGGCCGCTCTTGATTTCAACGCCCGACGCCCCAGGTAGGAGCAAGCCCAGGATTGTTTGGCGTAGGGTGAACTTCATAGCTCCCGAAGTCGAGCCGATCTGGCTCTTGACCGCCGTGGTAGAATGGGATTCCGGGAAGTCTAAGCTCGGGGAGATGGTGAGAGACTGGCGGAGATGGGCGAACGTGACAGGAGTTGCTTTACGTTGTTTGGGACAACTCGGCAGAGAAAGAACTACTAATAAGCATAGTTACACGAGATTCACGGAGAGGAAAATGGAGCTCATTCTCCACAACCGAACTCAACACTTGCCCTCGTGTAACAAGCCCTCTGTCGTCTTTGTCGCCACCGAAGATGCAGTACTACTTCACCGTCTCATGACTCCACAAAGACCTTCACAGGTCCACATAAGTGGAGGCTGAAAAGACACGATATGTAACCAAGTGGCGCCGTCTCGCTCTACATTGCTGCCCTAGGGGCGAAGCCCAGCCGTGCTAGCTAGGCGAGTCTCACGTAAGCTGCAGGCCTTCAGGGTGTGGATTGATGTCTCTACGGCTTGTCCCGCCGTGTTTCTGCGTGGACGGAAGCAAGCTGCCTATCATTTCTGTCTTTGCTGGTTATTTGGAGGGTCAGGTGCATGTCCACAACGGGGTGCTGCGACCTAAGAAAAATGTGAACTCGGTGCTTGGATATCATCCGCAGACCCGGTTGGTCTATTGCGTTTCAGTAGTGTAAATGGAATCCGGACAGACTCGGAGGCATGTTTTCAGCCGCCTACAAATCGTTTTATTTTCAATGACTGTAAATTATCTAGGTACTACTAGTATAGAGACTTCAGGACCCTATCCACAGCATAGTCCCGACTTCCCCTACAAAGTTGACGTCTCCAACAAAGAAAGATAAGTGGAACTTGATGAATATTGCATTAAATATTTCCATGTCTCTTTTCCTGCCCGGGCAATACTACAGTGAAGGCACGCAGGCCGACTGCTTAAGACGCGACTGACCAAACGCCATGCTACCAGATACCACAAGGAATAAATGAGCCCCCAGGAACATCAAAGCCAGGAAGCTCAAACCGAGCCCCATCACAAGATGCTACCCCATAACACCACCTACCCATGTATCAAACAAGACCCTCCCCATCATCACACAACCCCAGGTTAGCCAGCATGCTCCCAGCCTGCACGTCAATCCCAGCAGCCCTCTCGTCCTCGATGCCAAACGCAAGGAACATGACATCGTCCACGTACCCATGGTACCTGAGCCCTTTCGTCTTCCACGAGATACTAGTAACATAGAACATCTCACTCGACTCGGCCCTGCCAGGACTCTGGGTGGTCTGCCGCCCGGACACCCACAGCGGCCGCGCGCCGACGGCAAACACCTCGAACGGCGCCCGCTGCCGGAAGACGACCACGTACGGCTCGTAGACCGAGTGGAAATCCCGGTACACCTTGTGGTGCACGACGGCAAACACAAACGTGTTGCCGTCGTCGGGCGTGCAGCCCGGGTCCGCGCGCCGGCACAGCGTCACGGACAGCGAGTTGGTCGCCTGGTGCAGGCTCTCGTGGAACCCGGGGCCCTGGTGCTGGTGCTGCTGGCCCGCCAGGTCGGGGAGGTACCGCGCGAGGCACGCGTTGTCGCGGGCCGGGGCGAACCCCGTGCCCGCGCCGAGGTCCTCGCCCACGGACCCGTCGCCGTTGAGGCGCGCAAACGCCCGCCGCGGCGTCATGTCGTAGTGCACGTAGTGCACGTTGTCCGAGTCCCAGAACAGGAACCAGTTCTTCTCGACGGCGCCGTAGGGCGGGGGCCGCTGCAGCTCGGTGCCGTTAGGGGAGGCGAACTCGTCGTGGGCGGCGGGGGGCCCGCGGGGCCATGTGCTGCCGCTGCTAGATGATGATGATGACGCCTTCATCCAGTCGTCCTCGTCGGCGGCATTGCTGCTGCTGCTGCTGCTGCTTCTCTGCCCGCCCCACGCCTCCGGGACGAGGCCGCGGAAGTCGCGGATCCACTGGCCGAAGCAGTTGAAGTTGGAGTTGCTCCCGTAGATGGTATAGGGGTCGCGGGGCCCGTAAAACACCCTGGCGTCGTGCGGGCCGACGTTGAGGTTGAAGAACTCGAGGTCCCCCGTGCACTTTGTGCCGTCGCCGGACGTGGGCTGCACCGGCAGCGTCGTGGGCTCGCCGAAGCCGCGCCCGTCGGCCTCGATGCACGTCAGCGCGCCGTCGATGAAGATGGCGGTGCAGACCAGCTCGAGCGACGGCTCGACCGCCAGGCCCGGTTCCCTGTCGTCCTCGTCGCGGTCCCCCATCTTCTGCGCGACCACGATCCACGCGGCCTCGAGCCGCGGGTGCGGGATGATGTTCGGGTTGAGCACCTTTGCGCTGCCCATCCGGATGGGGAAGTACCGCCTGTCCTTGGTCGACACGGAGAAGATCTCGGTGTGCGGCACCCCCGAGCCGCCGGGCCTGACCTCGGACGGCGGCTGGAACCCGACGATCTCGCCATTGGGGCCGATGAACCGGGACGGTTTTGTCGGCGGGGGCGGCGGCGAAGACACCAGCGGGGCGTCGTTGAGTCCCTTTGAGCCGTCGGTTAGTGTGCTCTGCTGCGACTGGGCGAGGGCGAGGGCTTGGGCGGCGGCGGCCTCCTCGAACGGGGGCTCATGCAGCGGCTCCGGTGATGTCGGCGAACCGCCGCCGCCGGGCCAGTCACCCACCTGCAGGCCTAACAAGGTCTCCGTGCCGGCTGGGCCGACGAGCCTAACGCAGAGCAGCACCAGCAGGATCGCCGAGCCGAGCACCAGCGCGAAGCGCCTGAAGTCCCTGACCAACATGCTGCTTCTGCTGCTGCTGCTTCTGCTGCTGCTACCTCCTTGCAGCAGCGACGAGTATCGAAATATCTCCGCCGTGGGTGGGGTCGTATGCGGCGAGGGACAAAGCCAAAAACAGAAAACGGCGGGCGTAGGTCTAGATAGATGGGTGGGTAGGCTGGGGCTGATTCACGAAGCTCTGGGACAGCTACAGCTCGGGAGGGTAGGTGACTGAAGTGACCGAGGTGACTGTTGAAATGTTGTTTTTGGTGATCTGAACTCTGATGATCCGGGCAGACAGTGCGATCTTGACTTGAAACACCACGAAACCAAGGCGGCATGCGCCATTACTCGACACATTGAAGTTGGTTCACTCGTGCCACAGGCTAACACAGGGCAGTCGTCGAGCACGGCTTGCAAGACAGACAGACGGACAGACAGACTCTGTCTGTCTACTTAATTATCGTCCTGTCCGGGAAACGTCATTGCTGGCCCCGTTCATCGCATGATTTGACCAAGTGGTAGGCAATCCACCCAGCCCATTGGTTGTTGACATTGACAGCCATGGCTGGCACCGGCGCATTAAAACACCGGGTCTTGGAAGAACATCACAATTTGGAAAGCATCCGGGAAAAGTATGACCGTCAATGTCGTGGTGTTAGGGCCGACAAGTGCCGGTGCCAAGCTTTGCCCCAGAGCCTATGAGGCGCCGTAAACAGGCTGTCAGCCCGTGTCCGTGAGCAGAGCCAGTGTTGGGGGGTCGCCAGCCACGTTACACCTCAATGAGCCTCTTCTCTCTTGCTTCCATCAATCAGCCTTTCGCAGCAACAAGGGGATAGAGATGGGTGAGGCTGTGCCGGCGGGAAGCTTTCGCCTGTTCCTCCTCACGGTGCTTGCGTGCTTGGCCAATCTATCCAGTTCTGCGTGACTGGCACCCTTTCCTTTTCACATGTCTTTTTTTCCCGCCTGATTACACAGTAGCATTCTCCCTTCTTCCCCTTTCTCCCGCCTCGGGGGCCGCGGCTGGAGGGTGCCAAGGGGGTTGGCCACCCACGCGGCCGCTGCTGTGCTGCGACTGCAACACACCCACCACGAAGGGGGCAGATCACCCACCACCGACCCGCTCCTGTGCAGCGTGCACACAAGTCCAATAGTCACTCACCAGCATGCCCCCGTTGTACATGTACCTGACCATCGTCACACATACACACACACACACACACACACACACATATCCTCATGGATTGAACCGCCTCCCCGGGAGCGGGGGAGGTAGTGCGTGCGTCGAGTGACGGAGTGACAGAGTGGCAGACACCAAAACGGGCGTGGCTGGGAGCGCTACTGCACTCGGACGCCAGAGGAGCAGCAGCAGCAGCAGTGCCGAGGCGAGAGGACGAGCACCAAAAAGAAGCTTCAGCACATGTGGGGTGCGATATATTGCCCACCCACGCAGCCACGGCCGGTGAAGCTCGAAGGATTTCCCTCGGAACAAAAGTGACAGGCGTGACAGGCAGAGGTACCTCTGGACCCCCCCCGAGGAGGAGAGCGGGATCAACAAGGGCAGGGATCCCACCTCCCCTGCCGAGCAGCCCACTAGCCCGCGAGCGGAAACATCGTCCGTGCTGAAGACATGCATGGCCCCCTGTCCGACCCCAGGTTTTTTTCGACCTAGGCAGCTAGGTATCCGTACTAGTGTACTAAAAAGCCCCGGGCCTGGGGAAAAGAAAGGTGGGGACGTCATTCCACAGCAGCTCAGATATTGGGCGGGGGTGGGCTATAGAGATCTTGTTTCTCCAATTCGCCCGCCTGGGGAAAACATTGATTGATCGCTGCACAGCGCCAGTGGCATCTTATTGCCAACCAGATATGTATGCCAGATAAGAGACCTATTGTTGCTGTCGTTGTTCACGGCTGGCGCGCGGACACCGCAGTCACAGTGGCAGTTTTAATCTAGAGTTTCAAGGGCGGCCCTGCCGCCGCGGGAACAAAGGAGCCTCTCACGGGCTCGATTGGGTTTCTGGATGAAACGGGATGTGCGTCACGAACCGTGGGCGCCGCCTGTTTTCGTGCACGCCACGAACCATCGTGGTGTTGAATTTTAGCATGTGCCACACACACATTGCAGATGTGATGTGAGGTGCGGTGAGGTGGTGTTCGACTCGGCTCGGCGGGCCTGGGTAAACCTCGCATCCCATTTCCATTTTCAGAAGTGTCGGGATTCTTTCTGCCCTGCTCTGCCCTACACCTCTTGCCTCACGGCGACAGGATCGCGGGGTTGCTCTTCATGGCATGACTGACCGGTTGTCTCGATTAACAAACTGTATTTTGTCTGGATTCAATTGGAAGACGTGTATAGATAGGTACGTCTCCCGAGGTATGATAGAATGGCACGGCGAGCTTAGCCTAGCCTCGCCTCTATATTCATGCTTCCAGTTTAGGCGTCTTGGGCGGCATGCCCGGTGTGGCCCTCGTCTCTGGGCCCGGCGCGCTCGCGTCTGCGGGACCCAGTGTCCTCTTGTAGAACGCCTGCGCGAACTTGACTGCCGGCTCATCGATAAACCTCGTGACCATCTCCGCGCACCAAAACGTGACCGGCAACAGTATTAGGTGGGGCAGCAGGAACGCCACCTCCAGACCCATGGGGCCCACCATGGGCAGCGGCAGCTTGTTGACCCACTGTGGGATGTTCTGAGCCTGTTCCATGCCGTTGGCCCCGACCCACCCAACTGCCGTGTAAATCCTGTCGCCCAGCGTCCAGAGCACAGGCCCGTGGACGAGGTAGAGCGAGTATGAAATCCGTCCCAGGTATTGGCAGAAGCGCGTCTCAAAGAACCGCTTCAGCCAGGGCAGGCGCGGAACTGCCGTCACGAGGAACGCGGCGGCGAAGAAGAGGTAGAACCACTTGTAGTCAAAGGCGGCCTGGGGCTTGAGGAAGGAAAGGTAATACCAGCCCCGGTTCTTTCGCAGCAGCGCCACGTCCGTTGTCTGGGAGGGTATGCCGCCGAGGTACAGCGCGATGACGAGGAGATGGTAGTAGATAAACTCCTTCACCGGGGCCAGCCTGGCCAGAAACCTCGGGAGCTGGCCCTTGGCCGCCAGGAGGTCGAGGTCTGCGAGGAACATGCCCATCATGAACAGGCTGCAGTACCACCCGTCACAGATGTACATGAAGTAGACCATGAGGCCCACGGTGCACCAGAGCCTGGCCTTGGTCGTCGCCCGGGACAGCGCGAGCAGCGTTGTGTACACCGCTATGGACCCCTTCATCTCGACCGGTATGCTCCAGAGGTGGAAGTTGTAGGTGAACCACGGCTCCCCACCCATGTTGAAGATGAAGCTGAAGTTCTTGAGCTCGGCGTACCACCACCAGATCTCATCCCGCATGTTGCTCTGCTTCTTGGCCCCGTGGATCCACAGGCCGCCGAAGGCATGCCATGTCAGCATGTAGAGGAAGGTTGTGCAGATGAGTGGGATGTAAAGACGCATCCACCTCCTGAACAAGGCAGAGCCCAGGTTGTCGGCGAGTTTGGCCTGGTCTCCAGCCTGGATCAGGCTCAGTGGCTTCACAGAGAGCACGTAGCCTGAGATGATGAAGAAGTTGGCGACCGCGAAGTGGCCGCCATTGAAGAACAGCCGTATGCCGTGGAAGCTAGCAAAGCGGTGGTGGCCCTCGAACCCGAAGGCGTTCTCAAATATGTGATTTTCTTGAGGCGTGTGGGCCCAGAGCTCATGGTGTTGCCAGTAAACCAGAAAGGCGGCGAAGCCTCTCAAGCCATCGAGGTAGGCTGTCTTGCGCAGGGCCTCAGGCTGGCCGGTGGATTTTGCCTTTGGCCAGACGACGGCTTTTAGCCGCTTAAGCGCCCAGCTGGCCTTGGGCGAGTGCAGCATCCTCGGTGATGCTGGTTTCCACTCGGCTATTGATGATTTCCATGAATGCTTCTCGTCCCAGTCAAGGTGTTTGATCTCATCCCAGTCTTTGCTGTCTAGGATGCCTAGGCCGTGGTGTTTGGCCGACGTTGGCTCCCCCATACTGTTTCTTGTGGATGAGGTCGAGGAAAGACTGGGTTCCGGCGACTGTGCCAACAAGCCAAGCCCCAGGTCTTTTGGCTGAATAGAGAGTGAGAGAGGCGGTGGGTCTCTCCCTGTCCGTCTTGATGAGATGTTGTCCAAGAACGAATTCATGAAGACTGCAGGCTACTGCGTGACGTCGGCGGACTAGGCTGAACGTTCCGACTCGATATGTGCGGAGAGATATTTGGCATTAGCCACCCCGATGGTGTAGGTGTGATTCCAGGCCCAAGATGTTGTTGGCGTTTGATCTACCGGGCAGCGCGTGGCTGTAGTCGATTCTGCGCAGCTGCTTGCTTGCTTGCTTGCTTGGGCTTATCGCAGGTTCCCAGAAGTCGTCACGCCAAAACCCCTGGCTTCTCGGAGATTGGGTAAAAGCAGGGTGGATTCAGCACACAATTCGAAATGACTTTCACAAGCCAGGGCCTGCTTTGGGATCGGCCCGTATAAAGCTGATCAACCCCAGGCACCGAGGTCGAATTGATGAAGAGTGCCAGGCTCAGCGATGGGAGGCGGGGGACGGCTGCGGGGGAACACACCACCTTGTCGACCCGCCAGGTCATGTAGGGTGGCAGACCTGGGCACCTTGCAGATCAATTCCACGCTATTCCGTGCGCGAAGCAAGGTACAGGATGGCAGATGGCGAGTCAATCCTGCGTCCTGTGGGTGTGCGGGGGTACCCGCGGGCTAGAATACGATAGTGGACGAGGTGAGAACAATAGAAGTCGAGGTCCGGGGGGCAGGGCTGCGCAGAATCGGGAGCGGTTCGCGCGGAGAAGCTTCAACGGCTTCCACGCACAAAATAGCGCAGGCGCGGTGACGCTCGGTGTTGGCCACGTGCAAGATGGACAAAACGCCATCCAACAAGGTTTCAATGTGATGAGAATGACGTTTGGGACCAGCACAGGTGGCTGGTTTGACCAATATTTGCTGCCTCCTCGCTTATACTGGCACTGAGTCGAGATGATAGTCTCACGGCCCTGGCGACTTCGTAGCGCAGCGCCTCTGCTGCTGTTAGATGGCCTGCGGCACGCGGGCTGAAAAGGGCTGCACACCCTCCCCAGATACGAGAATTGTCACATGCACAGCGTCCTGCATTCTTGGGCAGGCCGCTGTGGCCAGGACAAAAAGAGGTGCTCGGCGGCCAGTCGGGGTGTCTCGGGGGCTTTATTAACCATATGGTAGTGGCATCGTAGTTCTTGGGTCATTACTGGGCACTTTGGCCCTCTCTGTGCGCAAGCTGGACACGATCTGGAGGGCGAAATGGCAGACTGGGCGGCCAATTGCGATTGGGAGAGGCACATGCGTTCCAGGTGTGTTGTACCGCGGCCCCGACAGCCCGAGAGACTCAATCGCCAGACGCCAAACGCGAGATGAGCTTGGCCTTGCGATTGGACGTTTGCCTCGCCCCCGAGATGGGGGTCTGATAGTGTGAAGCTGCAAGGGGTCCACTAAACAGGCGCTGCAAGGATGCTCTTCTGTCACGCTTGTTTAGTAAAAGTTAGCAGCAACGCCCGGCGCTGGGTTGCCTGTCAAGGCTGCCAAGGCCCTTCGATCTGGCCCTGATGACGGTCGGGCGAGAGAACCAACCCCTCGCTTGCGGCCCCGTTCGAGCTGCTGTCGGCCCAATTAGGGGCTGCATGACCGTCGGAGCCGGGTCGATCGCCAATGTGTTTCCTCTTTGCGGGAACCGCCCCGGCACTAGGTTCTGGCGGGTTAGCTGGTCATCCTCCTACAGTAGAGAAACAAGCATACTTGGAAAGACTAACGGCGGCGACTTGCCCCACCCGCCCTGGCCTACTGTACGATTAGTCCCCTCGCACGCAATACTGTTAGTTACGGACTGCATCGTGCATTAGGCCCTTCAGCCACCTCGACGACAGCGCGTGTGTCGTCTGAGCCCGGTGAGTCCGCGATGATCAAATCATGTGTCTCGCCGAGGTCTTTGGAAGACAGCCTAAAGATCTGGTGCCGGCGAGCTGGCTATGACTTCGAAGCCCGGCCATTTGCCAGCCGTCCAGGCCAAGGCGACGGTCTGGCGATGGCAGTGCTGTCGGCGAGACGTCTCGACGAGTAAGGGCGTTGGAAGAGGGTTAGGCATGCCAGACTGGGGAGTTGGTGCGAAGGCACGATGTCGTACGACGGTTGCACGGCGTTACTAGTCAGCACGATACCACCGCTGCAGCTTTGATCTCTGCCCCTCCATCCCGCCAAAGTCAATCCGGATGCACCCCCCGCTCAGCATCCAAGGTAACGCTGTTATCCTAGGATCCTGCGTGAACCATCGTCATTGCTCACCGATCAGATGTCGTCTTTCTGCCCAGCCATCCCCGCCCAGCCCTGGTCACCCTGCCAAATTAAGGGCTCCCTCCCATGCGCTGAGGGGAAGATAAATCGATATCATATCGTAGCAGTCCAGCACGTCTGCATGTCAGGCACTTGAACTAGATCCCCGGCAGCGTTGCAAGCGGCGGGAGGTGGGTGACCGACGTTCCTTGACAACCTGCGGCCTCGGACACGTTGGGCGGTGCACTTTGCCCATGCGTTATAGTGGGCCTGGCGAGTTCTTCCGGCATCACACCGCATTGGGTGGTGCCCCGATGAGTTTGCCTTCGTCGTAATTCAAGCTTCCAGGGTCAATCCGGCGCCTCGAAGCTGTGTGCCAGATATTGGGCGAGTTAGCGCAGACATGGGATGAGGCTTACCCACGCAGCCACGGCAGGAGGGGGGCCATGCCGACCACCTGCACCCAGAATCCTGGGGTAGTACCCTCCATCACCCTCAAACAATCCCGGAAGTCATTTTCCAATGTACTCTTGTACTGTACCTGGGGTACCAGATAGTCCAGGCTTTTCCCCTTTGATCCTTGTCTCCATCTCCCAATCTTCCCATCTTCTGGCCCTCTTCAAAGCAGGTCATCCCAATTCTCGACCCTCTCGCGCTTGACATTTTGGGTACCTCCTGGTCATTTGCTGTTCCTAAACACTCATCTTGCCAATACCGTGGCGACCAGACAACAAGTGAAAGTGGTTGATCATCATACATGGCTGGACAGTAAGGCGGCTCGTGAACATCGACGCTCCGCCCACGAGAGAGCCACTGGCCCGGCACATACCTTCACGATGCACTCCCCAGCCTCCTCGGCATCGCCACGATCGTCCCTAGGGACGTGGTCGCCCACGACTCCGAGCTTCTCAAGCAAGTTCAGGAACCGTGTTCCTACGCAGATGAGAAGATGCATTCCCATCTACCTCACTTGCGTTCTTGTTTTCCTCCTCATTCTAAACGCCGACCTGTTCACGGTGTCGATACCCAAAGGGAATAATCAGGTCTTCAGGCGTGGCGGGACAAAAGCAAAGCAAGGCTCGACCTCGACTGCTTCCGTCCAAGTGTTACCACCAACTACTGTTGGCTTCCCGAAGAAGATATGGCAGTCATGGAAGGTGGACCCACTGCACTTTGAGCTACGCGACAGCAATACTGCGCGGACGTGGTTGCAGAGGAACCCAAACTTTAGGTACGAGGTCCTCACCGACACCAACGACGTCGGTTATGTCGAGCAGCATTTCGGCCCCGGAGGCTTCGACCGTCCAGACATTGTCGACCTGTATCGCAACATCAACGCCACAATCATCAAGGCAGATTTGTTGCGCTACATGGTCATGTATGCCGAGGGCGGTGTATATGCAGACATTGATGTCGAGGCACTCAAGCCGGTCTCGCGGTTCATCCCGGACCACAGGTATGCCGAGGAGGACATCGACATGGTGATCGGCATCGAGATCGACCAGCCCGAGTTCAAAGACCATCCAATCCTTGGGAAGAAGTCGCAGTCTTTCTGTCAGTGGACGTTCATGGCGCGGCCTCGGCTACCAGTCATGATGCGTCTGATTGAGAACATCATGTCCTGGCTCGCCGACCTGGCCAAGCAACAAAACGTACCCATCTCAGAGGTGGTCATGGACTTTGACCAAGTCATCTCCGGGACTGGCCCGTCGGCCTTCACCATCGCAATCCTCGAGGAGATGAACGCCAACCGCGCCAAAGACACGCCCGAAATCACATGGGACGTGTTCCACGACTTGGACGAGTCGAAGATTGTGTCTCGAGTTCTTGTCCTGGACGTCGAGGCTTTCGCGGCCGGGCAGGGGCACAGTGACAGTGGCAATCACAACGCGCGGGGCGCGCTTGTAAAGCACCACTATCACGCGAGCAACTGGCCGAGCCGTCACCCACGATTCACCCACCCAGTGTATGGTCCTGTAGAGCACTGCAACTGGGAGCCCAACTGCGTGGCACAGTGGGACGCAGACACAGCCGCCTTCGCACTCATGACCCCAGAGGAGCAAAAGACGCTGGCCGAGGAGATTGAGGCCGAGAGGAAAGCCACAACAGCGCAGCAAGAGCAATTCCTCGCGAGGATCGCGCAGCAGCAAGAGGCGCTCCAACAGCCCCTTCACCTTGGACAGCAGCAGTTCGGTGCGCCGGTTCCGGCACCCGCAAAGCCCGAGCCCGAGGCCGAGGCCGAGGCAGAGGTCAAGGCCGAGCAACCAGAGTGATCGTGCCTTGTCGTTTGATTCCATTCTTCAACATACACAAGAATTCGGGTTTGGCCTCTATTTTGGAGCTCACGGCGTTTGAAGAGGGTAAGCGGCTTGACCAAGTCGCGGCGACGGCGGACGGTACATGCTGCAGACCTCTTGCCTGCTGACTGGGCTGCTGCTGCTGCTGAAGTTGGTTGTCTTTCCTACATAGAGACAAGGATGTCGTCGTTTCAAGCTTCGCGATACGGAGTACAGCCCCATATCCCTCCACTGTGGATCGCCAAGATTGGTGGTTGTCGCAGTGTATGGAGAGTGGAGAGTGGGGCATGTGCAAGCCAGGTGGAGCTCTTGCCCTCGAGGCGGCCGCGACGGTGTAGACTGGTTATCTGATAGACGCATATGTTTTGATGTATTATGATGCAGATGCGAGAGGCGCGGGTTCTTCTCGGGGATCAGGATTTATGTGGTGGGAAGAAGGGCCACAGCCGCCGTCGTACCTCGCTGTCATGGTCTCGTGGGCGGGGGCGTGGGCGTGGGCGTGGGCAGTGGCAGCTTCAGAACAAGGCTGAAGCCTGCCTGCCTCTGTCCGGGTGTCCCAAGGGAGTGCAATCCTTGGGGCTCAAGAGCCATGGCGGTCAACAAAGTTGACCTTGGTTAGGGTGGACTTGTTCGCAGGCCCAAGGCAATGCTCGAGACCCCCACGGCGAGATTGCAAATTGTCGATGCGGCATCGAGCTGGTTCGTGCCGCGCTGGGCAAATGGAGGGCTGTTCTGCGACAGAAGCTGGACGGGCCTGGCCACGAGGAGGTAGAATCAGCGGATAAGGGGATATACCCGTTCTAGTACAAGATTTTGTCAATAAAGACACATTTTCAAACAGACATCGTTCGTTGCAGGGGAGAATCTGGAAGTGTAAGAGGGGGGGAAATGGCAGCCTGTCAACTGCACATGGGGAAGTTGCCATCTCGTACCGCGGTTGGCAGGACGCGCGGACCAAATCACCACCTCCGACGGACCGAGGTGTTCGTCTGATGGTCCGTTCCAATGCGCGCCGGGGGGAGGCATTTTTAAGAATCAGGAATGGCATGAAGGTGGTGGTACAGAGAACATCAGATTGATTGTACCTAGCTGATTGTACAGGCTTCAAGGCCGTTGAATGATGCCATTGGGGGTTCTCTCCCTTTTCCTCCACGCCCTCCATGCAAGTAGTCGACAGCCAAGCTTGACCTCCAAGCAATCCTTTTCCTGACAGCAACCACTCCAGAGTCGTACAGACTTTTGTAAAAGACCTCGTAGTCCCCACCACCTCCGCCAGCTAACCCTGAGCCACTACTCATCGCCCGCCAGCGCACTCCGCGCCAACAGTATCGACATGGCCCGCATCCCACCCATCAAGTCCTCATCCGGAGGCACAGCCAACAGCCCCTGCAGAGAACCACCGACGACCATCCCCCCAAAGCCACGCGGCCTGCCCTGGCCCATGGACGCCCGGCGGGCAGCCGAGTGGCGGACGGCCTCGCCCAGCAGCAGCGACTCGACCTCCCCGCCGGCGATGTCCGCCTCCCCCTCCAGCATCCTGAGCGCCGCCGCCCACATGTCGTCCAGGTACGCCGCCTGCGCGTCGGCCGCCTCCCACACCGCCCCCTCCGCCTCCTCGCAGTGCGCCCGGTGCGCGGGCCACGCCCACAGCTGGCAGTACTTGCCGCAGTAGACGGCGCCCAGGCACCTGGCGCAGACGATGTACCGCGCCGGCGCCCTGCCGCAGTCGTCGCAGGTGGGTCTGATGTTGTTGTTGTTGTTGTCTGCCTCCTCTGCGGGGCCCTGTGCCTCCTCCTCGGGGTCGTGATGTCCTGATGCCCTCCCCGGGGGGCCCGAGGGCTGCTGGGAGCCGTGCCGTGCTTCTGTGGGAATGTTGTCGTCGTTCTCAGCTTGGATGAGGCTGTCGCTGCTGATCATGTGCGCGAGCGTGACTGAGTTCGGCGGCTCGCCGCTCCGCCGGGCGAACTCGCCGATGCCGACTGCCATCTCGGCGCTGGGGTCGTCGGCGGCGAAGGCGTCGCGGGATGTCGCCGCCTCGATGGGGTTGGATGAGCTGAGGTCGACTTCGGGGTTGGAGCGGCCGCCGGCCTGGCTGCGACGAAGTCGGGTGATCGGGGCAGGAGCAGGTCCCTCAGGCTCCGACAGCTCTTGCTCTGCACGTCTCTTGGTCCCGCGGGGCTGGCTGGGCGTGACTGCGCTGGCCTTGCCGTGTTTGACTTGCGCGTTCTTCTTCTTCTGGCCCCGTATGCTGTCGTCATACGCCCCGTCGAGTTGCGACGAGTCCGAGTCGACGCTGTCCAGGTCCAAGCCCTTCCCAATCCCAGCAGCACCGCCGCTCAATCGCGAGGAGCTGCGGAGGGCCCGAGACCTGGTGAGCATCCTGGCCTGTGCTTGCTTCTCGGCAGCTGGGGCTGGGGTTGGGGTAGGAGACGACGCGACTTTGGTTCGGTCGTTGTCTGGGTCTCTGGCAGCCAGGGGGCTCGACAGGACGATTCTCTCGATGTCTGCCAGAAGCTCGGGGATCGGGGCAACATTCTTGGGGAGGTCGGGCTCCTGCTCGATAGGGCCAGCGCTGTTGCCACCGTGTGAGGGAAGCTCATCGTGGCGCGTCGGCTGAGTGGATCGATCCTTCTTCTTTGATGATTTGGCGGAGCGGTCTTGCAGTTCAACCTTCCACTCCTGGGGCTTATCAGAGCCTTCATCAGAGCCTTCAGGGGCGGGCGAGGTAGCCTCCGCCTTGACTTTCGTGGGTCTTCGAGAACGCAGTGGCTGGACTTCAATCGTTTCCTCCACCATATCGGGCGACAAGGATGCGAGCCTCCTGCTTCGTCGTCTAACCGCAGCAGATCGGACACTCTGACCCTCGCGGACGTCACCCACTTTCTTGATTTCCCCGTCCTTCGAAGCCTCAGGCGGGCCGTCACTGGCCAGCCTTATGGAGCCCCTCGCCGTCTTGACCCATTTGTTGCTCACATGATCCTTGCTAGCATTCTCGGAGGGGGTGTCAACTGACTTGTTGCGGGGTGCGGTGATGGGCTCAGTCTCAGCTCTGTGAAAGACTGCCACGTTGTCCTGGGACAAAGGGGGATTCGGGAGGAGTGGGGGCACAACGTTGTCGTCCTCATCTTCCGTTGCTTCTGCGGTCGTTGCTTTGGCAGTCTTGTCCTCTTGAGGCTTGGGGTGGGAATCGGGGCTCGATGACGCCTGCTTGGGGCTTGCGTCTGCGCCGGGGCAACTTGACTCACGAGACTCACTGCTGCTCGAATGGCCCGAAGTTCTGTGGCCAGGGTTGCGTTTCTTCCTCTTCGTAGGGGGTCTGGCAGGCTGGTCCTGGGGAGAGTGACCTGTCAGCCTGGTGCTCCTGCGACGGCTTCGAACCACCGATCGCGTGTCCATCTTTCTTGTTGTCCTCGGATTGTTTGAGTGGTGCAGGGCGAGTCAAGTAAGATGGTTGAATCGAGTCCAGTGGGGGTTGCAGTTCAGGCAACAACAACTGACGGCAAGATCGAACTCGCTGGGCTGAAAAGATGTAGCGGCCGGGCACGAAGGTCAGGTGAATTGCGGTGAAAAAGGTCAGCTGTCAGTGGCCGTTTTCAGAGCCGCAGTTGGGGGGGAGGGGAACTGCTTTGCCAGCTTCAAATCCCCTGAAGCTTGGGCAGACTGAGTAAACATGGCAGACCTGCGCTTTAGTGAACGCAGGCCGTGGCCGAACAGTGTCACTTGGGGGGGGCCACCTGGGGCTTGCTGTGACTTTGAATATCTCCTTGATTGTGTTATGGAGGGTATCTCTCTCGACGGACCCATGAGGTATCGATCTCGTCAATGATCAGATGCAACTCTGCAAAAGAAAGCCCTGCAAGCCCTGCAATCCGAATCAAGAAACCATGGAGAAAGAAAAACAGCTGGAAGTGGAAAGGCAAGTACCGAACCAAAGCCTTCATCCGCAGAGCTCGTCCGCCCCACTCTTCAAGCCCAAACAGCCATTGATCCGGGTGCAACATGACGAACGTCTCACCAAACCTAGCGACCTGGAGAAGACGGGGTCGGGGTGTCAGAATCATCCTCGGGCTCCCACTTCTTGACGCCCATCGCGTCCTCAAACGCCATCATGGACGCGACGCGGAGGCCCTCCTGCGGACCGTACTCCTCCCGCATGATGTTCACAATGCGAAGAACAAGGGAGTGGTCCTCGATCGCCATGAGGTGACCCTGGGAAGTGTGCTTTCCGACCACGCGAGTCTTGACGTGGTATCCCTTCTCGCCGTCGAAGGTGGTCAGGATGTGGCGCATGGTCCAGGTGGCCTTGAGCGCCGAGGACGGGATGAAGCTGTCCACCTCGAAGTAGAGGACCCACTGGCCGACCTTGAACTTGGCCTTGCGGACGATGACCTCGAGGTCGCCGGTCACGGTGGCGATCTCAAGACCCTTGATGCAGAGGCCGCACGGCTTGCGGATGGCGGTCACCTGGCGGAGGGTGACCAGCTTGCGCTCGAGCATGACCGAGGTCAGGCCCCTGCCCCTGGTGAGGGCGCGGGTGGGAGCAAGGGGGGTCTCCGACTCCATCCTGACTTATCGCCGGCAGTTTCTGGTCTCGAGCTGGCTGCTGTTCAGAAGGATCAGGCCCAAGTTTGGAGAGAGCCGCGGGTGCTGGGCATGGTCAGTGATGAGGCCATTTTGATGATAGATTCAGGTTGCAGGGAAGCAAGGTGGGGAAACAAAGGAGATGGCTTCCTTTCAACGCAAAGGAATGGGGTGAACTTAGGGCTTTGGGCTGCTATTATCACATACCTCCTCAAGTGATGAATGGTGTGTCAAGGCTTGAGCTGTTGCTGTGAACACAGCTTGTTGCCATGGCAGAAGGTGAGGATTGTGGTGTGAGAAGTGAGAGTTGGTGTTGTGGCAGAAGGCTGGGGTTTTGCAGAAAGCAAGCAAGGTGCTGGAAAGCAAAGCAGTGCTGCCTGGGTGAGCGTCACTCACGATGCCGGCCCCACCGTCGACGGCAGTCGTCGCTAGCTCCGCCCCGGGGTGGCAGCTCGGCACGGAGCTAGACGGCAGGGCCCCACTTTTCCCGGCTCCGGCTCCGGGCTCCGGTGCCGGGCTAAGGCCCACCCCAGGTGCTATGATGAGGTCATCCTGGTTCTGCCAAGTTCCTCATCCCCCAGTAAGTAGCCATGGAGACTTACAAATCCATCCCTCATTGGGCAGCCCAGCGTTGAGTTTGAACCCACACTTGGTGGGCAACCACGTAACATTACGTCCTCGTTCCTAAAGTTTGCCTGCGAGCGGGATTCTTCGCCGAACTCTGTGGTGAACTGTAGACCAATTCCCCTAGTCTCTGATACAGTGGCTCTGGAAGACGATAAGACATTCACGACTGGGGTTGTCAAGTCCAGCGTAAATACTCAACATGGCCGAGCAGAATCGTAAGTGGCAGACACGTCAGGATGGCCTCGACAAGATTTTCCAGTCCTCAGAGGCGGTGCCGAAGCCTGGAGCGGGCGAGGTTCTCGTCCGTATCAAGGCTGTCTCGCTGAACTATCGCGACACCGAAGGTGAGTGCTGCATGGATACAAAGCCCCCACGTGTTGCGTGAAGACTGACGCATGACCTAGTCGCAATGGGCCTCTACGGCCACCACAAGACCATTGATGCAACCTCAAACCAGCCACTCGTCCTCTGTTCCGACATGTGCGCCGAGGTGGCTGAAGTTGGGTCTAGCGTTTCGTCTTGGAAGGCCGGCGACAGAGTCATGGGCACCTTCTGCCAGGACCATCTGACCGGCCAGATCCAGGCGCAACAGATGGGCTCCGGGCTCGGGTTACCACTGGAGGGTGTCCTGCAAGACTACCGCGTCTTCCCGGAGCATGGGCTGGTCAAGGTCCCCGACCATCTCACCGATGAAGAGGCGAGCTGCCTCCCCATCGCAGCCGTCACGGCCTGGATGTCGGTCAACGGCCTGCGGCCTCTGGGACAGCCAGGCGGCGAGGGCGAGGTCGTGCTCCTGCAGGGCACCGGCGGCGTCAGCGTGTCCGGGCTGCAGATCGCCAAGGCGGGCGGCGCAACCACCATCGTGACCTCGTCGTCCGACGAGAAGCTTTCCCGGGCCAGGGAGCTCGGCGCAGACCACGTTATCAACTACCGGACGACGCCCGACTGGCACGAAAAGGTCATGGAGATCACGGGCGGCAGAGGAGCAGACATCATCTTCGAGGTCGGCGGCGCGCGCACCCTGAGGAAATCGTTCAAGTGTGTGTCCTTCGGCGGCGTCATCAACAGCATCGGCTATGTCACCGGCAAGCTGGACGATCCCAAGGACGACCTGACCAACATCAACGTCCTTGCTCTCACGCGGACCGTCACTCTTAAGGGCATCATCAACGGGCCAAGGGACAGGTTCGAGGAGCTCTGTGACTTCTATGCCAAACACAAGGTGCGGCCCGTAGTAGATTGCGTATTCGGATTCGAGCAGGCAAAGGAGGCATTGCAGTATCTATATGGCGGCTCCCACTTCGGGAAGGTTGTGATACGTGTTGGTGCTTAAGCATCTTACTCCATGATAATGGAAGGCACAGCTCATGCTCGGACAGGCCTTCTTGAGTATCACATATTCGGAAAGCCAGCCATCAATCTCACACAGCGCGCAGACTCCCAGTCGCTAAATATTTTTGAATTTTGATAATTGTTGCTCACAGTCTCGGGAAAGGCTGTTCAGTCATTGGGCACAGTCGATTCAATGAAAAGAACCACAATTTGCAGGACGGTGATTCGGATCACAGAATTTGCTGTTAAGACGAGAACGGAGGTTTGGCCGTCATTCTACTAATTAGCGGTTTGTTGTCCTCATGTACCTGAAGTACTTAAGCTAGGTAGGTAGAAGCGATTCTCGCACCAGTTGACGCCCGACGCACACGCTACTTGTTAGTCCAGCCCGCCGTCAAGCAATCATCACAAAATTGACACCTTTCAAATTTGGGCGTTTTCATCTTCGTATAAAAGTCCCCTGCGCCCGACCCTGTTTTGACTTCCAATCCTACATTTGAACCTTCTCACTCCTATCTCAGCAAACACGTCATATCAAGGTATTCAAATTTGAAACAGAGCGTACCTTCCCTTCGCCCTTCTTCAACCCATCATGTCCTCATCACAGCAAAACATACTCTCCGGGCTCGCTCTGAGGCCAAAGCCTTCCAACGCACCCCCGGAAAGTGACAAAAATCAAGCCAAGAACGAAACCACTATCCTCCTACGCAAGTCCGACACCGAAGGCTGGTCCGAAGAGAAGCTCACCATGGCCCTGAACGACCACGCAGCGAAGAGCCAGCCACCTACAGACACACCTCCAGTCGCGCCTGCACAAGCCGAATCACAGGGACAGCCAAAGGTCACCAGTTATGAGCGAGTACGACGCTTGGCACGGTGGCAAGAGACCGTCCTCCTCCTCCGCCAGGCCGAAATGGAAGGGTGGAGCGACGAGAAGCTGACGCGTATGCTTCGCACCCGGGCCGAACTCCGCCAGGAGATCCTGCGCACAAGGGCAAACTCCGCCTGAGCGGCTAGAGAGTCGAGCCATGGGCAAAGGGATCTTTAGGACGATGCAGCAGCTTGTGGGGGAAACCGACAGGGCAGTATAGGCGGCTTCCTGCCAAATGGGCCGCAATACCACATCGAGTTTTGACCACAGCGCGGTATCGCCTTTCCCTTATTTTGGCTCTCGGCATTCGGTATTTTGTCTGGTCGAACCACTCTATGCATGCATGCTACCAGTGTTTGTTATACTTGGGGGGGGATTAGGGGCGGACCACATCTGGATGTTCGCTATAGTTGTGTCACCAGCGATTCAACAGGATAACTCATCAGTGGATGCTAAATCGCCAAAGAAGCTGGAGGAAGACCATAAAATTGTATTAGAGAAAATTCTAACACAATCAAGCCCCTGCGTTGCAAATACCATGGTTCGTGATCGTCAGTAGTTTCGTTCTTAATCTGTATATACCCCGAAGGCGTAGGTATGATCCCTTCACACAGCGGCGAACGCTCAAAGACCAAGATTTTCTGTAAGACAAAAATAGTGTACGAAGACTCTGCAGGCACGTGGTCTCAGCCTCGTGCCGCACAGAAAAGAGGAAGAAGTATGCCTCGCGACGGCGCCGTTGATCGTGAACACGAGTAGCCAATGGGTCAATAATCTGCCACGGCGATCATGACCATAAAATGACCGGTGGAACTTACAGCCATGGCCCAAGTGTTTGGAGATATTTAGTGAACCTTTTACTTTACGGGGCCCGGAACTGGACGGCCGGGTCATGCATGTGGAAGCCCTGGAGGTAGCTCTTGGATCCAGGATAGGACGGCCGGAACGGGTATGGTAGTCATAGGCTTGTAGGCATGGGAGGCATACCTGGATACTACCAATACATACTGTTTCACAATTTCTAATCCATCTAAATACAGCATTAATATGGGCACAACCAGACGTATGCATTCTCGCGAAATACAGAATCTGATTACCATTCATTACCCCACTCTACCTACTAGGGGGAGGGGTTTTTTTTAATATAAATAAAATATAATATCTATACACTATTAAAAAGCTTTTATAAGTATTTCCTAATAGTAAAATCCTTTCATTCTATATAAATTATATAACACTTTTTAATTTAATATAATTTACTTATTAATATACTATTAAAGGCCCTCTTCTAAGTATAAGGTTAAAAGATCTATAATTATAATTTTCTAATTAAATTTTATTTAACTATTTTATTATATTATAACTTAATCTAATCTTTAACTTTATTTAAACCTCTCTTTAAACCTATTTAATATTTTCCTCTTTAAGTAAGTTAAATTTAAATTAAAACCTTTAAGCTGAAGTTTAAGATTCTTATAAATCTTAATTTACTTTAAATTAAGCTTATAATCCCTTAGCTTCTTTAAAAATATATTAACTATCTTAAATAATAATAACTTCTCTTTAAAGTAAAAGTCTACCTTTATATAATTATAGATCTAATTATTAATAGTTATTTCTTCTTTTATTTATAATTTATTAAAACTATAAACCTAAATAATAGAGTATAATTACCTTACTTAATTATATCTTAGTTTATATAGTAGGCTAAACAACTACTTTTAAATAGTCTTACTTACAATATAATAGAGTAGATAGATAGGTATTTACTTAAGTAAAGCTAGAACCTTTAAGGGAATAATAGCTTTATCTTTACCTATTTTAACTAACTTATATTTAAAAGGCCTAAGTTATACAGCAACCTCACATATAGTACTTAATAGCGTTAAGACTAACTTATAGTCTATAATAGCTTTAACCTTTAATAAGCTAATAACACTAACCTAAACCAACTAAGCACAGCCTAACACACTAATATAGAAAGATATCTTTTAATAATAAATAGTATTATAAATATAGATTATAAAGTTACTATAAAAAGTCCTATATAGTAAACTTAACTAAATTAATCTTTAAAAAATATATTATATTTTATCCTTTTAAAACCCTAACTATTTACTTCTAACTTAATAGTAGAATTAAAAAAAATATAAATAGTCTATACTATTAAGGGCTTAATATACTAAATAAAAAGAGAGTTTAATTCCTATTAGAATTAAATTCTTTTTTCTTTTTTTTAACTTATCCCTAACTTAACTACCTATTAACTATTATTTAACTTAATTATATATAACCTATTAGAAACTATAAAAATATAGAAATATAAATTTTAATTTATTAAACTAACTTATAAATTTTAATTTTAATAATCTAATAATAGATTTAAAATCTTTAATATATATTAATATATATTAATATAATATTAAAATTTAATATATAATTAACCTTTTAATAAATTTTATTTATAATAGTATTTTATTAATTTTTTACTAATATTTAGAATATTTAGTTATAATATTTAGATTTTATTTAAATATTAATTTTTAATATAATTATACACCTATGTTAGGAACCCCCCCTCCCCCCGGTAGGTACTAAGGCCTGAATTCCTCATGGAAGTGTTATGTGTGACTGGGTGCTTTCGCAAGTCACAAGTTGTCCGTATTCCGGTATTTGCATGCGATCTCCATTGGTTAGGGATTACAGCTGCTTCGTCACTCACTGCCTGGTTCACTGACTGCGCGTCCTAGAAAGCAATCCTTGTCCGTTAGGAAACCCTGCTGGCCTTGGAACTAACATGTTTTGACACTTTTTTGTTTCCCATTTAATCATTCACCCTGGGGCAATCATCACAGTCACTAGGTATGCTAATTAACATTGCGATGGCGTGTTGAAAATGCGATAGTCACAGCTACCGCTTGTTGGTCAAGAACACTTGCTGTTGCTTTCATTCAAGACTATAAATAGGAACCTAGGCTGCTCTGTATTTCTCCTGCTTCTTACCATTCCAACGTCAAAACAATTCCAAAGTCAGACAACAAAATCTCTTTTGCCAAGCCAACAATCAACATTTCTTCACGAGACTGTCAGAAGGACCACCCTCGGAAATCCAACCCCAAATTTGACCAAGATAAGCGGCAGTACTCGTGTACTCAAACTGGTGAGCACACACCTGTTCCGACGCTGTCCTGTCCAGAAGCAGATACCAATACATGACTTTGTAGCGACTACACTCCATAATTGGGCACCAGAAACTGTGAGTACCATCCTATGTTGAAACCTCAAACGGCGGAGATACCATCAGTTTGACTGACAGCAATGCGTTGAGACCCACAGCTCAGCAAAGATGTCTGCGGATTGGACCTGTCCCCTGTGTGGGCACTACAACAAGACAGCAGACAAGTATTGCAAAAAGGAAGGTTGTGGCTATGTCCGTGACTCCATGAAGTAAAGCTCAGCGCCGGCGGTCTTGCATGCCCAAGTCTGGGTGTGAGGTTGAAGGAGTGAGCCAGGGCGGCATCCATAGCCATATTTGAGAAAATCACCGATAGTTTTCAGTGAGGGGTTGACCCTTCTTCAGCATATGAATTGAACACCAGCTCCTTGTGACTTTGTGTTTAAGCGGACTCCATGATGTTATGTTATACCTATGGCCTATTCTGCCGCTCACACTCAGTCATGCCGCTGAGATGACATTAAGATTTCGGCATGTCGAAAGAGAAGGAATCAGGGTATAGTGCCCGGGTAGATTTAGCATTACGGGCCCCTATACTTCCAACCGATTTATGATAGAGAGTCTATTGACAGCTTTTTGCCAAGAGAGAGATCCTCCCAGCTGAACTGATCACTTAACTCCCTTGTAACTTCGCATGTGACTGTTTTGAAATTTTTGGAGCTTGAGATCATGAAAATCAGCACACTTCCTCGCACACCTAACTCTTCTTATATTCCAAGTCTAGAACCACTGTAACATTGAACATAGGCACTGTTATAATTGTTGACTATGAACAGTTGGCCGTCCGAAATGAGGTAAGGCAAACCCGAATTTCCATGGTTTGGGGCGACTCAACGCTAACATGAGATGCCTTGTGGGTCAGGGATATGATACCCGTATTGCTAGTGAGATTCATGAACATTTCACCTGGGGTCGTGTAAATATACGGGCAAGCTTCTGTTCATGCTAAATACACATTTTTGTTTTGGCTCAAATGGATACTCAGGCTGTGCTCGGAGAGAAGAAAAAGCTTTTATGTGCAATGAAACGAATGAAACAAGAGCAATGATTCCCACCGAACTCCATTCCACCAAAAGAAGACATGCCGTTGTTTTCCGATGGAGTCGGCTCGATGCGAACGGGGTTTGAATACGCCGGAGCAGCATAACGAAAAGCTCAGCACATATGCAATGCCCCATTCTGATCATTAGATTTCCTTGATTGCCCACTTGGGCAACTTAGTTGTATATCGGCTCATCTGAGTCTGGCGGATAGCCTAGGTTGCACTATTATACAAAGGTGAGTGAGTATATTTCCTATCAAGTCAGGTTAAGAATGAGAGAGAGTAATGACTTACGCAAAGGTTGACTTCGTCGCCCTCCCCGCAAGTCTCGGAGCCCTCTGGGTTGTCGACGCAAGCATACGCCAGCCCTGTCACAGGGTCATCGTACGCATAGATCTCCTTTGTAAGCGGCCGACAGACAAAGTAGCGAGAGTCGCAATGCCCGGTCGTGGAGTTGAGCTGGAGGTCTTGGCTCAAAATGCAACCGCTCCCATAGATCTTGTCTGCAAGTGTGTGATGATCAGCGGTGCACATGGCAAGCTTCCAAGGCATGTCCAGCCTCATGAGGACAATCACGACTTGGCAAAGCCATTCACGGAGCGGCGATGGGATGAATCCGAGACTGGGAGATACAGGTTACACAAGTAGACAGAGCTTACACTGTGCCATTTCGCCCCCAAGATCGCGCGGCTCGGTTACGCCTAGATCAAAATCGTCACATGCAGCGTTCGCGAGCCCGCTCAGGCCCAACACGACGACATGAACGAGAGTGGAGGCCGGGAACTTCATCTTGGCTGTAAAGACTGGCAAAATTTGTCTGGGTGAAAAAGACCGAGCAGAATCGATGTGCAGAGCTTGCCATTATTCTTGTCCCTCGGGCGGCCAGTGAGCCTCCGAGCCTATTTAACCAATAATCAACTTGGGCATGTCGACCTTTCAGCTCTGAAGCTGCCGGCTAAAACTCAAATGCACGTACGTACATGGAGCATCTCGGCCTCATTTGAGATGCGTGCAGGATATTGACGATGGCGTCACAATAATGCAACGCTTCTGCACAGAAGCCGCGTATGAATGCAACATCGTGGTACCGCAAAAGGGCAGGTGGGTGGTTGAACAGGAGTAATAGACTTGTGTAAAAGCATCCCGGTAGCCGCTCGTATCCACTCGACCCCGGTACCCATGCGGGAGCGCCGCAAGGATTATACTCCTGCGAGCTTCTCATTGGGCAATGGCCGATCGATCGAGACCTAGCCCTCGGGAGAATAGGAAAACAACAAGGAATCCTTTGGCCAGGCTGGACGGCGGCCCGGCTAGCTCCAGGGGTGAGCGGCGGATGTAGCGGCAGATCGACGACCGAATTTGGATGAGATAGTTCGAGAGCTTCCACTACCCCATGCTCGAGTTAGTCTATGTTTTGACCGGTCTGCAGTTCCGACCAGTGAGATGGTGGGAATAGATCGACCTCGCTTGCATGGGAAGCTTTGCGGGGATTTTCTCCGATGCATGTAGTCACGCTCTCAGAGGAACTTGCCGGAGCCTTTCATGGTCCGTACCAATGCATGCAGTTCGGCCTCTGGTCCCTCATCTAGCCCCCAATAGTTCTGTCAATCGTGGAGGTTGGTCCATGGTTGTGTCATAGAAATTTGCTGAGCCTGCTTTCACACATGAAAAAGTTTTCCTGGAGCCAAGCCAAAATGGCATTGTCCACATGATATTTTGTCGTGCTGGCGGTTGATCTCTTACGGGTTTTCTCAAGACTGTCTGCAAAGTCCCCCGCTTGAGTGAATCACCAAGGTCGTGTTTTGATAACTGGCAGGTAAAAGAGATCACATGCGTGGTATAAACTTACATAGATAGGCTTGTTATCGCACAAGTGAAGTGTCGGTCCTCGAATAATAGCTACGGGTGACTCCGAGCCCAAGTATCAAATTATGTGTCATCTAGGGGCGACGTGTAGCATCCGGTGAGCATCAGACTCACACCTGTAATACAGATGCACCGTGCCATCTTGGAATATTTCATGACACCGGTCAGGGTCGGAAAAAGAACAACGACAATCTGAAAGCTTTCACTGACGCTTTGTCCCGTAACTCCGAGTTCGGTCGGTACCATATAGGTTGCGTTGCACAGCTTTGAATACTTGTAATCCAGAATTGCACGTGTTATTTGTCCCCGGCGGCAGATTGATGAGAATACCTTGGTCCTTTGAAACTCAGCGTAGGCAGGCCACTTTTGGGACACACTTCCAGAGAAGCTCGGTTGCTAGATATCAACAAGTGGCTTGATTCTTCGTACTCGCGTGGCCGAATGGCCTTCTATGGAGGCCATCTGTGTGGCATTGACAAAGTTCCTGGCGATGATAAATCCACTCACATAATTTTTTCTTCTCTTATGAGCAATTCCGTTTTATGGGTATCCATTGTCGATGAAAGATCACGACCGGATATCATATCAAATTGATATTTGCTGCTGCTTACTGATACACTGGTCGTCGAGTGAAAGCCGCTCCGTATGTACAAAGACCCTAATATGCCACTGTTCCTGAATCGACAAAGTCCAAGCGAGAACTAACCACTCACCACTGTTTTTTGACTGCGTTTGGACTGCCTCCATCCCCTCCACGTATCTCATAAACTCCCACCGAGCCATCAGCGTCGCCCACAAAGAACGTCTTGCTGTCGGAAGAGAAGGAAATCGAGATGACCCTGGATAAATCCAATAACTGCTCACTGCCCCCGGCGATGGCCATCGTCCCGCCGAACGTTGGTGTCCTCCAGACCTCCCTCCCGCCTCTTTGCGTATCGAGTATCACAAGACAGTTTTTCGTGCCGCCCATCCCCGTATCCGCCCCGGGGCCCTGCCGGTACGCAACATAACGGCAGTCCGGGCTGATGCACGCGATGGTATTCTCGTCCGGGATGGGGAACACCGACGTCGTGTCGCCCGCTAGGTCCCACACCAGTACCCACCGCTCGTGTACGGTAACAGGCTCGACCTGCCACGCGCCGGGGCGCCCGATCACCCGCACGTTGTTGGGTATCCAGATCGACACCACCAGGTCCCCGTGCGTGGCCAGCCCACACGGCAGCGCCGTCTCGAGCTCCGCGTGCCGCGGCATGCACACCCTCGTCGGGCGCGAGCTCGGCTTCGCCCCCTCGTAGCCGGCCGGGCAGCAGATGTCGAGGTCCCAGATCATCAGCATGGCGGAGTGCGGCGGCGGCGGGTGGCCCCCGCGCGGCGGCCTGGGCCCCGCGGCCGCGACCAGCAGCGGCGCCGTCGACGAGAAGGCCAGCTCCGGCAGCTTGGGGACGTGGGGCATGCCGGCCCTGCAGAGCTCGATGGAGAAGGGTTTCCCGAACGGCTTCTTGCCCGCGCTCTTGTTGGGCTCGCTGCCGCCGGCTTTCTGCTCGGTCACCGGGTACAGGTCGATCGCGTCGCCGGACTCGCGGTAGCAGGCCAGTGGTGGCGTCTTTGTGTCGTAGATGTCGGCCTTGACGGCGGCCCAGCGGAAGGCCGCGTCGATGGACTGCAGCTTCTTCTTGCGCTCCCAGTTCCAGATCTCCAGGCTGTTCCCGAAGCCCGAGGCGACTGCGATCAGCGCACTCGTCTCGGACAGGATGGCGTGGCTGTTGACGAAGAAGTCCCGGGACCTTGGCTGCATCGAGACATAAAAGTTGACCTTGATAGATGATATGACGTTGGATAGTGGCAGTCCGAAGATCTTCATCGTCTTGTCTCCGTGCTTGCTTGCCACGATGTATGATGCTGGCGACACATCTACTTGGAATGCTGTCACGGCGTGGCCTGATCCTTTCTCGTTGAAAGACAGCATCTTGGTCCGTGCCAATTCGATTGAAGGTATAGTGAAGGGCGTACTCCTTGGCTGATTATAGCGGGCCGGCACCTCACTGGGATCGATATATATCTTGTCGGGTGGGCTCACGGCGAAAAGCGGAAGAGGCGCAAGGCCCTCTGATTCTCGACGGTCAGAGGAATGCGACGCGGTAGAGCCGGCAATGGAGAGCTGATCGAAGACCTTGAAAGTTGTCGAGAAGCTGTCGCTTGGAGTCGGCGGGGACGGGTGCCCATCGACACTCTCATTCATAGATGACAGCGTTGTCCGCCGGGGATTCTTTGCAGGAGGGGTGGGTGGGTAGAGCGAACTAGAATTCGGGTTCGAAGTTGGCGAGATCATCCGGGGAGCTCGAGAGCCTCGGCTGGATATGCTTGAGCGGAAGGAGTTTTTCGAACGGTGTGAGGATACATGAGAAGTGTATGATGCCTGACGAGAGGCACCGGGCGTTATTGGCGCGCTGCTGATCGATGATGCATCGTCATCGGCTGGTGCGTGGACGGACGACATCGCTGAAGATGGTCGAGAGACGATGGAGCTGGCTGTTGATTTCATAGTTGAAGCAGTGTTGGATTTCCTGGTAGAGCCGAGGGACCATCTGCCAAATGCACTGCTCAATCGCTTTGCCGGTCGTAAACCGCTGCCGAGGAACGTCGGAGATATTGTCGGGCTCTCTGAATCGATATTTGGGGACATCACTGGCATGATGATCGTGGAGGTATCCCTTTCACCACAATGTTAGTCAAACACGTATTGAGTATTGTCCACTCACTCAAAACTCACTCTTTATTTTCCAATATCGCTGGCTTCCTCATTACTGTCGGGGGAGTGATCGGCAACGCCTTTTCTCTCGTATCTGACCTGCACAGCGACTGCACGTAAAGGCGAATATCATCAAGTGACTTCTTCAGAGTCGCATTCAGGCCGTCTCGATCCTCGCCTTCTTGGGCCTGCTGGATAGTCCGGCGGATGAGGGCCAACACTCTGGACGTGTCTTGGTCGAGATATGTTGAGAAAGATTCCGCGTCGGCGCCGATTTCCTTGGCCGCCGCCCTGTTTTTGGTCAGCGAGGGGATCAACTAGCCATAACGGTGAAACCGGCCGGCTCTTACAAGTTCACAACTTCCAGGGCGAGCTATGTAATTCGTCAGCGGAACGTCGTGCACTCGACCCGGGCAGTTGCCCTCACCTGCAGCGCCCGTCGGCAGGTCTGTAGCCCATCCTTCAAATCCCGTACCTCCGGGACCTTGGCCACCCAGAGCGCCTCCCGTAGTGGGCCATCGGCGCACTCATGAAGCACAGCATCGACGCGGGCGAGCGCATCTCCGCACCCGCGGACTATTGCGAGGATCGGGGGCTGGAGGCGGGTCGGTATCACGATCTCGGAGTCTCCCAGGCGTTCGAGAGGTGTTCGCAGGTCGAGCAGCTCGTATGCGAGGGGGTCCAAGTCTGAGTTGGCGAAGGAGGTGTTCTGCAGGAACTCGTCGACAAGCGTGGTCGTCTGCTGGGTGGCAGACAGCGCGTAGAGGACGGCGGCCTTCAGGAGATAAGTGTCCATGGTATGCATCTTTGCTGGCTCATTCTTCTGAGCCCATCTGCCGTAAAGGTCTCATGTGCAGACACAGCTAGCTGGTGGCGAATCTGCAGTACGAAGTGAGGATGGCGATAGAGTTCGGGCAGCAAAAGGGTTCTTGTAAAATCCTCGGGTGGCTGCTCTTCGAGCTCTTGTGAGATGTTGTACTTATGTGTGATTTGTCTCTGTCAGTGTGACCCTCCTTGTAAGCACTTACGGTGATGACCGCCTCAGCTCCGGAAACCCAGCCAGTCACGCATCGCCCTTGTCGGGCTTGGGCTGCATACCGATGGACCCATGTAAGCCAAACCCCCCCGAAGTCCTGCAGCCCGGCGGCAGCCAAGCTCGCGTCGCACCGTTGAGTGGGCGGGCCTGACTGCCGGTCATCTCGGCGTCCCCTAGCAGCTAGGTTGGGGAAATCCATAACTGCCCAGGTGCCCCAAAGGGGGGGCACTCTCCCAAATTCGGCACAAACGTGGTCGCTATTGAGTGGACTTTTGTCGCTTGCCATCGTGCGCTCAGGCACTATCGTTGCATCCAGGGACGGACTCGCTCTGCCTGGCAGTAGATCCTCTGGATCGTCGGTTATCATCTCCAACTTGAGAATATAAGCGGTTTCCTTGCATTCCAACGGTAGCAGCGGTCACTTGATTGCTGACATGTGGTTGACACACATCGTATGCTTATGTGAGATTCGAAATTTTTACATGGGGCTTGGGTTTCGTGTGCTCAATTGGGAGAATGCTTACTTTCGAGTTTTAGACTTCTGAATCTGGGTATTGCTACTTGCTAATTCTTCCAATCGCCTCTCCTCCTCGAGCGATCTGGGCGTAGCGACTGCGGGCTGCTCGAATGGAGTTATGCCGAACGCATAAAGATACCTTATTGTTGCTGCTCAGCTGCCAGTGGTAGGTTCTGCGCTAATGTGAACTCTAGAGCTCGTTTATGTGCTTCAGAATTTCGCCCCTAATAACTGCACCCATTGGGTGTTGAAGAATAGACTTCCGCTAGCAGCCGTAGACCATACCGGCACACATTTCCATAGAGTATTTGATTCGGCACTTCTCTGAATTCTAATCGGGATGCTACCCGTGCAGTGGCAGATGTTTACTGTCCGCAGAACCTTAAATGACAATGGCTGCGCGGGCGGTACTGTCAAGTTCACTGCAACCATTCAGCACACCCGCTCATCCAGCCTCCGGGGGCGCATGCTGCCACGATTATTTGATTGTTAATGCAAGCCGGCCCTGCAGCAAAGTTTGTGTTTCCCACGGCGTTGGCGGCCGGCCTATCCCTCCGGACCCCGGACCTTTCTGGGGAAACTGCGAGCACATCCTCACCTCACTATTCACAGAGAAGTGTCATAAGTGTGCACCATTGAAAGGTGATAGGGATAGTGAACCTATTGAATCAACTCATTCCAGAAGACATCTGAGACACAGGCATGCCGGCAAACCTTAGCTTCAAAAAGAAAAGCACTCAGATGCGACTATAAGATTCCCCAGCTCAATTACGCGTGAATTCCGCGCTCATTGGACAATGAAAAGAGGTACCGGTAATCTAAAGGTGATATGAAGTACACGAACTTTCACTGTGGAAAAGACGCATTCTACCTAATTTCATTCTTCGTGAACCTTGTGAAAAAACATGGATGAAAGAAATGGAAGTTAGGCCTCATTTTCAAATTATTTCAACATACTGGTATTTAAGTTCTGTTTTTAATAAAGTAAATTGATTTGACGCTCAGTTGCGCAGCCCAATATGTTGTCGAATAAATGTTTCTTGTTAACTCTCCCATACCTGGCTTCGTCCCGGCCAGCCGGAACGCTAATATCTTGGCCATCGTGGCTTCATCGCTCACTTCAACCCAATCAGAGCACCAGTTGGAGCTTACACATGCAGGATGTTGCGGTTGGCCTATTGCATTCTAGTATTATGTTTTAAATTGCCTTAGCACCTCGCTCATACAAACTATACAATCCAGCTTTAAGAGTTAATATTTTCCTATTTTAAAAGGAGTTTTTACCTTAAATAGCACCTTCTTATTCCTAATAGGGAAGAAGGTTATTCTATAAATATTAGAATATAACTTTAGGAGTTAATATTTTTCTATTTTTAAAGGAGGTTTTACCTAAAACTATACCTTATTATCCCTATTAAAAGAGGAATTTATTTTATAATTATTAAAATATAGCTTTAAAAAATAATATTTTCTTATTTTATTAGGTTTTTTAAGTTAATAAAAAAAGATATTATAATTATTATAATTAATTTTATTTTATAAAAGAATATTTAATTTTAATAATATTATTTTTATTTAAACCTTTTATATTTATAAATAGCTTAATAATAAGTTAATTATTTAAATTTATTAAATTATTATTATCCTTACTATTCCTATTATTATCCTTTTATTAGTTTAATTTTATTTAACTTTTAATTAAAGTTTAATTATAAAGAATAATTTAATATTAATACTAATAGTTTATATATCTACTAACTTTTTTATTACTACTTTTTCTTTATTATAACTATAAATATTTTTTACTAACCTATTAGCTTAAAAGCTAGACTTTAAGGTTAGCTTTTTACCTTATAGAAATACTATTATTAGCTTAGACTTTTTATAAAATAGCTTCCTAAAGCTATTAGAATTAAAGTTATTATTTAAATACCTCCTTTAAGCCTTTAAAATTATATTAAACTAACTTTTATTAAAGCTTATAAGCTTTAATATATTATTAATAAATCTATAAGCTTTAAAATAATTAATTTTAAATATATATATAAAATTAACTATTTTACTTAATCTTTATAAAAGTTAAATAAATAATAATTAATATAATTAAACTTATTAAACTTTAAAGTTAAATTAATATTAAATATTTATAATATAATATTAAGTTTAATCTTCTTTTATAAAATATAAAAAATAGTTATAAAATACTTATTTTTAATAACTAGTTTTAAAAATCCTTAATACTAATATTTTATAAAATATAAACTTTAAATAATCTATTAAATAACCTTAATAATAGTATTATCCTATTATAATAAACTACTTATAAACTAAAAGTAGCTTAATAAGCTACTTCTTATCTACTAACTTCTTATTATTTTTAAGGATATTATTATAAAAGTATTTAAATAGTTTATAAATTATAGTATATATAGTATAACCCTTATACTAATATTTATAAGTATTAATAATAATAAAGCTTTACTTTTAAAATAGACTTTATAAATATTATTCCTTAAAAACTTTAATATAATATATTTAGTAATTATTTATAAAAAATCTACTAACCTTTTATTTTAATTTAAAAATATTTAAATATTTTATTTTAATTTTTATATATTACTATTTTATTTTTAATAATTTTAAGCTTATTAAAGTTAACTTTAATTATTTACTTTATTTTATAAAATTTTTATATAGTTTATTTATAATAAATATAATATTTAATAAAATTTTATACTTTTATAAAGTATTAGATCTTTAATAGTAAAGGGTTATTTTTATAAGTTATTTACTTTTATAACTTAAAGCTTTAATATATTATAATATTAATATAGCTATAAAATAAGTTAAGCTATATATATAATAAAACTAGTTATTTAAGTATTTTATAATTAATTTATTATATATTTTATAGTACTTTTAAAGTTTTATATTTTATAATACCTCTTTTACTAATAGGAAATAAATAACTCTTATTACTATTTATATAATAATTAAAGTCTTAATAGTATATAAACGCTTATTATAAATATATTAGTTTATAAAGTAAAAAAGGTAGTAAAATTTAAGGATTTTATTATTAAAATATATTAACTTATAGTATTTATATTTATATTATTTAAATAAGCTATACTTTATAAGGTAGTAATAAAGGAGTCTATTTAAAATTAGGTTCTAAGACTTTACACTCTAATATTTAGGGTAGTTAAGGTAGATACTATATTAGAAGCTATATAAATAAAGAATAAGGTTATTAATGCTTAGTTAAAATATATTAATATTAAATATAGGACTAAGTAGGGCCCCTTTATATACTTTAAGGTTTGCTATAGTTTATAGCTTTTTATTAAGGGACTTATATAGTATAGATATTAGCCTATTTAGTGAAATATTTAGTAGAAGTATTTTATTTTCCTTTTAAAATAAATAATATTTCTTTTTTAATTATATTTATTAAGTAAAATAAAAATATTATAGTTTTAATTTAAAGAATAAAAGAGTATATTAAATAGAAAGATTTAAAGTAGGTAAAGAGCTTTATATTATTAAAGAATATACTATTAGGTTAATTTTATATTTAAATAATATAATATTTTATAAATTAAATTACTTTTATATATATATTATAAAATATAGTATTTAAATAATATTAGGATATTTAAGTTATTAATTAAGAGGTATACTACTTTATTTATAAAGATATTATTCTAGATATTAAGCTTAAATAATAGCTACTTTTATTCTACTATCTATTTTTAAACTCCTTTTACTTTTATAAGCTTATTTAAAATATTAAGGAATATAAGGAATATAATTTATATTTAATTTTTAGCTTTATATAAATTATTTTTATTAAAATTCTTTATAATTATTATTTTATTATAATATTTTAAACCCCTTTTATTTTATTTTAAATAAAAATAATAAAATATATAATTATTTAATACTTTTTTATAATAAGTATTTTTATATATTAATATAAAATAGGAAGTATATTTTATATAATAGAAAGAAAATTTAAACTTATATTATATTAACTTTTTTATTAATTATTATTTATATTTCCTTATAGGCCTTTATATTCTTCTTTTACTCTTTTCTTATATAAATATTCTAATTATAGTTTTAAATTAATTTTTATAAAAAAGAAAAAACTTTTATATATTAAGTAACTTTTTTAGCTTATTTACTCCTTTATTAATATTATTATATATTTATTATCTTTTTAATTATATTTAAAAGTAGTTAAATATCTTTAAGTTATTCTTTTCTTAACTTTTATATTTAATAGTACTTTTAAACTTATAGTTATTATTATAATATATATTTATTAGCTAGGTTTTAATAAGGTTATTAAGGTAATTAAATATAAATTATACCTTTTATTTCTACTATAATTAAAGGG